ACATACATATTACAAACACATACATATTATATACATACATACATACATACATACATACATACATACATACATACATACATACATACATACATACATACATACATACATACATACATACATACATACATACATACATACATACATACATACATACATACATACATACATACATACATACATATTCACATACATACATACATACATACATACGTACACATATATTCAGACATGTATGTGTGTTGATTGAAAGATTGGCTTAAATACAAGTGATGTTAAGCAACAAATGTATAATAGAATGTGATACTTTATATTAGACGTTCCGCCATACTCGCTTCTCTACTATCACCAGCTATAATAGAGCTGAGTTCTACCAAGTTACTAGCTATTTCCATTTAATGGTAAAGTCTAGATCTAGAACTAACTGGAAGAAAATAACACTGTTAGAGACACGTACATAATATTAACCCTAGCAATAGTTGGTTCTTGGTAATTTCTGTATTTATACAGAGGTTATAGCTAGAGACAGGACGAAATGGCGCTTACTTGTCGATGCTCAATTGGCGCTGAGAGATGATTGTGATTAATATATTTATATTCACTATCACAGACAACTATATTTCCATTAACTTGCCCTAACCTTAAAACTAGCCTATGCATAATACTAAACATTTCCTATTAAGTTACGGTGTTGGTATGGACTATATCAGTGCACAAGCGAAAGTTAGCCGGGACTTTTGAACGGATGTGTGGTACTAATCAGAGCTGGGTTGACTCGGGGACGTTTCACAGACTAGTCAGGTACCCATTTAAGCTGGGTGGACTCAGGGACGTTTCACAGACTAGTCGGGTACCCATTTAAGCTGGGTGGACTCGGGGACGTTTCAAAGACTAGTCAGGTACCCATTTAAGCTGGGTGGACTCGGGGACGTTTCAAAGACTAGTCAGGTACCCATTTAAGCTGGGTGGACTCGGGGACGTTTCAAAGACTAGTCAGGTACCCATTTAAGCTGGGTGGACTCGGGGACGTTTCAAAGACTAGTCAGGTACCCATTTAAGCTGGGTGAACTCGGGGACATTTCACAGATTATCAGGTACCCATCTAAGCTGGGTGGATTCCGAATCGCCTTACCGACTCGAGTCAGGTATCCATCAGAGCTGGGGCGGACTAAATGAAGCCCTGCTGATTCTAACCCTGGAACCAAACTCAGACTTTACTCGCTAATGCCGGGCTGGAGCTAATCAATAAGATCCTCGTTTGTTAGCTGGCTGACATTGATCTCATTAGAAAACATTTAGTTGTTTTCAAGAGCCGATTCTATACTTAAATGTTATATTACTAGATCTGTTATTAATAAAAGGGGGGCTGAAAATGACCGCATTAAAAAAGTTGTGATTAGTTGTTTGGTGCTAACATCAGATATGTGTCCATAGAGACCAAAAGCTGTGGCTGGTTCAGGAATAAGGATGGGAGGGGGAGGGGGGTTCTGGACGTGGGCTGCTTGTAACATTCTCGCAAAAAAAAATTCTTTCATTTTCAAGGCCGTTGGATGTTTGAACTGGCCGATTAGACCCCGATGGTAAAACGAAAGAAAACATGAATTGCGCTCCTGTGAATGTTTGCCGGGGCGGCTTGCTTGAACCCAAACATTCGCCCGGAAAATTGGCTTTATCCGGATAGGACATTCAAGGAAAAAAAATAATACTTTTTTTTTGTCAATCGAGATGTGGTCATGAAATGTATCTGCTCATTGAGCTTGTGAATATTCTCCGATTTAAAAAAAAAAATTCGCTGAATGAAAAAAACATAACAAATTTATCATGCATTGTAGAGTGTGTATTATTTTAATTACTTCAGTAGTGTGTTGATGAATTCTGTTTTTGTTGCGATGATTAAGAATTATTTGAAGGAAAAAAAAACAAGACAGTTTTTTGTTTACTCACAGTCGTAAACCCCAAACTAAAAAAAAAAGTTGTTGAAAATTACGCGCTGAAAATTATTAAAGTATATCAAGCAAAGTATTGATTGTTTGAAAAGTACTAAATACTGGAAGCGTCGAATCTCTTAGGTTCCGGGCTTAGAAGCCAGTTTTGTCCATTTTGAGGTATAAATTATTCGTAGCTGTGCTTTGATAATACACAATACAGACTCAGACTAAGACCCAGGACAAAGCTTCATTTAGTTATTTTTATTTTGCTGTAATGTGTGTTCTGTTGAGGTTATTGTTGCATAATACGCATGGGTCAATTTTGTTGCTGTTGTTAGAGCTATTCCCCAAAAGAAGAATCTTTTATTGATGGCCTTTCCAAGTTTGTTATTTTTTTTTTTTTTTCGTTGTTTATTTTTGTTGTTGTTGTTTTATTATTGTTTTGGACACTTGCACCTGACTACCTACATTCGCTGAATAAAAACGACGGTCATTTTTACACGTGAAGATGTGACGTTACTTAATTTGAAGTGTCGGATAGTATTCCTCCCACCAGCCCCGGGGTATACTTGACCTTTGCCCCCTCCCATCACGTGGCGTGCCGTTCTGGGAAATACCAAACACACAGTCGCACCGTCTGTTTTCATCCTCTTTTTTTTTTTGTTTCTATGTGGGGGCCCTTTTATCTGCTTCCACTGTCGCCGTGGCGGCTCACCTTTACCTCCCGCCCCTTCCCCTCCCCCACAGACCAAAGGTTGGCTCACTCGTCGACTGGCGGGGTTCCGTGACGTCAGTGTTTACACGAGTGCCGTACATCTGTTGGAGCCGTTTGCAGGCTCACCTCAGGTGATCTGGCTCGGTGTGGGGATTGAGTGATGGTGGGGATGGGGGGGGGGGGGGAGGGGGTTGTGACAAATAGAGACACGGCTTAATTAGGCTGATGACACTGTGCTAATTGACGTCCGCACTGACGCCACCAGTGTGTGCCGGACATTGAAGTATTGATTTAGTACTTAGGAAATCAACTCCACAGCTGACTTTGCTGTTTGACGTCTTCCCCTTCCATGCACATCAGAATATATACAATACATGCTTTTTCTTTAACTATTTCCTCATACAATTTATTTAAAACTGAAGAAAAACAATTTTTATTGAGTATGAACCCAGCACATGATGTGTCAAATATTTTCTTCTGTGATGGTTAATGAGAAAAGGATTTTAATTAATACATTAACTTTACGAATATCTCCACTTAACTTAAAGTGGTTTATTTTTGGAAAACCTTTGAGTCATAAACGCTCATACCCTGTTGATATTCTTTTAGCTAATTGTATTATATGTTTTTTATAAAGTCATTAATTTTTTTTTAAATATTCTTTACCTAATTGTATTATGGGGACGGAGTGGTCTAGCGGTAGAGAGCTGGACTGCTAACCCGCAAGTCTTGAGTTTGAATCCAGGTTCAAGTCAGTTGACCGTCCCTGAGTCCACCCAACTCTGATGGGTACCTAACTCACACTAGGGAAACTAAAGGCCGCTGGGCATAGTGCTGACCACACTATCTCTTCATATGCCGAGGTCACAGAAACAAGTGAACTCCACTTGCCCTATAGACCATCAGGTTTTAAAGGGAACTTTACTTTACTTACTTAATTGTATTATACGTTTTTTATAAAGTCACTAAGTTTTTTTTTTAAATATTCTTCTCTCAGAACAAGCTAAGTGGACCAGATGCACCCAAACTTTGCTCTATGTTGTGTCTAAAGGCTGCTGCTCCTCTACACCATGATCAAAAGGAAGCACTTACCCGAGGGCTAATTGTAAGTATCTTGGGGGGGGGTGTCAGGTGCAGCATCACACTTGTAGTGCTTGCATGTAATTACAGGTGCATTGTTGCATCTGTGTTGCTTGCATTTTAATTGCATGTACATCATCACGCCTGTTTCGCTTGCATGTAATTACTGGTGCGGCATTACACCTGTGTTAGTTTCATGCAATTACAGGTGGAGCATGACGCTTGTATTGCTTGCATCTAATTACAGGTGTAACATCATACCTGTAATACTTGCATGTAATTACATGTGCAGCATGAGATATGTGTTGATAACATGTAATTACAGGTGTAACCTCATACCTGTAATACTTGCAAGTAATTACAGGTGTAGTAATACTTACATATAATTACTCTTGTAACATCACACCTAATTTGCTTGCATGTAATTACAGGTAACTTCACACTTGTAGTGCTTGCATGTAATTATGGTGTAACATATCTGTAATAGTTGCATGTAATTACCTGTGCAGTATCACACCCGCGTTGCTTGTATGTAACTTACATGTGCAGCATCGCCTGCATTCCTTGCATGTCAGTATAGCCTGTTGGACCAATCTGTTTTCTGTTTACATGGTAGACAGTCAGGTGTTGGAGTTTGACATTAACCCTCTAGTGCCTCTTTAGATCATCATCTTAAAAAAATAGTTATTTGGGAGTTACAGGGTTAACTTTAGGTCTAAATATTAACACTTTTCTTCAATGAACGTGAGAATATAAAATTTAAACTATTGAAGATTTGTAGTATGATTTTTAATAAACAAATCCAACAGATAACTGTTAAGAGAGTGGCTGTACACTATTGGTTCACACTGTTCTATTTTAGAACCACTGAACATTGCTCTAAATTTATTTCCACCTACTGAACTGTTTCAGATTGTTTTTCTTGAAGTATCTGCCCAAAATATATTTTAAGAAGCCATTTATGAGTTTTGTCTTTTATTAAATGAAAACATCTGAGCTGTTGGAGAAATATTTTAGGTTACATTTTTATTTATGCTGGGAAAAAAATGTTCTGATATAAATTATAAATGTGTGATATACACCTACCTTCTCTATAGGGCTTGTAAGTAGGTCACTACTTCTCGTTCTCGTACTATGCAGCTAGTAGATTTCGAGACCGTAGACTTACAAGCCCTATAGGCATATGAAAGCTAACTTTTTTTTTTAATTTTTTTAGTTAATGAAGATGAATGACTTAACATTTAACTTAACACGTTGTTAAACTGTTGTTCCAGGAGCTTGAGCAAGGTATGCAGAGATGGCCACAGATGGCCAGATGCCAGTTGGCCCCACAACCAACCTGGACGTGATCAGACAGCGGGCCCTGAAGGCGGCCGAGTACTACCAGCAGCAGGGCTACAATGGTGGGGACCAGGCGGACCAGGGCCCCCACCCCGCCAGCAGAGACTTCAGGGTCCCCCCGCAGTACTCTGACAGCTACGGCACAAACCACAACCTGCTCTCCCACGGCTTCGCTGGGGACGGCACCGGCTACACCAACCTCAACCGGGTCCTGTCTGATGATTCGTTTGACTCGGCCATGGCCCCGCCGTCCAGCAATAGTTTCTACAGGGCCAAGATGAAAGCTGGGATCATTGACCTGCGCAGTTCATATAACGAGAGGATAGGAGCCGGCGGGGGGAGCAGAGCCAGGGCCAGGACATTTCACGGCCCGCATACGGGTACGAGGCCGAGGACTCAGACGTACGCCCTCGAGACCAAGCCCAGCAGCCAGCCGCAGCAACAACCACAGAAGTCAGCGTCAACACCGCACCACCCACAGCAGCAACCGGCGCCGCAGAAGCCAGCTAGGACGTTTGCCCCGAACCGGACAGTGCTGTACCGGAGCAGCAGCGACCTGGATATGGATACATTGGAAGCAGACACGCCCCCTCCAGCGCCGGCCAATCTTCACAGGGAGTACGGTAGCACATCTTCGCTGGACGTTCTCGGAAACAACTACCCCGACAGTTTTTTCTCCATGGTTAGTGAGTTTGGTAAACTCAACCCCTTAGACCAGCGCAGCCCCGCCCCTCCACGCATTCAGGAATTACTTCAGGGCAGGGGCCGGCTGGAATCAACATCAGAACCTCTTATACCAATGGCAGGGGAGTCTTCTAAAACTTCTGTACGCTTCCTGAATGGATTAACCCCAAGTGATAAAGACTTAACGGTGGACGATACAGACGGGGGTAAAGCAAGCAAGAGCAAAGCCAAGCACAAAGAAAGGAAACAGAGGGCTAAATCCATCACAGGTGAGGGGAGTGCAAGCATACTGAAAAAACTGAGGGGGAAATTAGAATCTGATCTGACCAGCGCCAAATCTGAAGACCGGAGCAACTCGGATGATTTGCCGTCCCGGACAGAAGACTACTCACGGCACCGAGCTTTTGTCCATTTTGACTGTCAGTCCGTGGGTGTGGACCTGGCTAAAGTTATCTACCAGCGCTTGCATGGACTTTCGTACAAGAACAACACAACCACAGGCGCCTCGGCGGCATCCGGGCAAAGGAATAGCTTAGCCCCGGATAAAGACGACCCGGATATACTGGCAGACACGGATGAAGGGGACGGGAAAAGCAACGAGCTTGTTCTGTCCTGTCCATTTTTTCGGAATGAACTGGGAGGGGAGGATGAGAGGACTGTGAGCCTAACGAAGGTGACGGCCAACAAGTGGATAGGTGGGACGAGCACAGTACCTGTACAGCCTGGCAATGGATACAAATCTCAGGTAGGCTCTTGTTGTCATAGCTACCCTCCGTGGTGGTTTTAACTGATATGCTTTTCTTTTACTTTCAAACTATTTGTTGTTGTTTTTTATGTTCTGTAAATCATGTGTTTGCTCCAGATTTCATAGTAAAATTTGTAATGTGCTTTATGTTATTTAAAAATTGATGATAGACAAAACAACTACCAATTTTTTTCTTCTTAAATCTAATAAATACCACATCTTAAATTACTAGAAAAAGAAAAGTTTCCCCAAATATAACTTCAGGAACCAATGTTTTAATAATTAATTTTTTTCAATTAGTATTTTTGTAAAGATTTTTAAAAATACACTTTTTATTATCAAACCATGAATAAATGATGGTCCTTCTTAAAGGTCATTAAAATTATCATGATGCTTTCATTTCGAAACCTCAATCAATAATTATTATTTCACTGCTCTGAAGAAGCAAAGGCTAAAGAATACATTAATAATAATTGTACCCTCTAATGTTAATGATGAGGCAATTAGTTAACAAATAGCTAAATTTTCCCATCCGAATCTTTGAACAGATCTTTCTGTTTGTTTCTTGCCATTTAACATCTGGACTAAATGTTTACACCTGTTGCCTACCTTATTTGAAGGTCAGACTGACATGAATTTTTTCAATTAGCTTCTCTGTGATCTTCACTTAAACAACATCGCTAGACAGGCATTATTAGGTTGGAAATCCCCCAAGGAAACAGAAAAGTGGGTAGGCTAAAACAAACATGGTGAAATAGCTTAGAGTCAAGTATGATGGTGTAATGCAGTTGGGTCCCTATGCTGCACAAGGGGTATACAAGACTGATGATGATTATCACTATGTGCTCCAGTTCATGGAAGTTGTACAGCTTAAAAATAAAAAATTTATTGCTGAAATCAAAGCATCCATTGCCAAAGATCCTTAGCCTATGAGCTTTTGTTTTGGGGTTGCCACTCACCCAGTCACAGAACTTAATTAAGGATGAAAAGAATTCAAAAATGAAGAATTTACTTTGGAGAACTGTTCTTTGGAAATTCTTGATCTAGTAAAAAGTGTTGAGGGATTGCGTGGGTTTGTTTAGTCTGTCTCTTATGTCATCCACTGTTGACCACTAAATTCCCACATCCCTAGATAGGTAAAAATGCATCAGTTTCCTTATGTGGAAGCTCTTCTTTGTTGCTGAATCACAATGATCATATATGTCCAGCTTAGCTTTAAGTCTCTATTCATTGCTCTTGTCTTGAGTTACACTTTGCTCAGCTGTGACTGTGTGCAAGTTGATGGTCTTACACCATGTGTGTTGTATGCTGTTGGTGATACATCATGTGCATTGTATTTTGTATGTTAGTGGTCATAAATCGTGTGCATTGTATGTTGATGGTCTGACACCACATGCTGTATGTTGATGATCTGACACCACATGCTGTATGTTGATGATCTGACACCACATGCTGTATGTTGATGATCTGACACCACATGCTGTATTTTGATGATCTGACACCACATGCTGTATGTTGATGATCTGACACCACATGCTGTATGTTGATGGTCTGACACCACATGCTGTATGTTGATGATCTGACACCACATGCTGTATGTTGATGATCTGACACCACATGCTGTATGTTGATGATCTGACACCACATGCTGTATGTTGATGATCTGACACCACATGCTGTATGTTGATGATCTGACACCACATGCTGTATGTTGATGATCTGACACCACATGCTGTATGTTGATGATCTGACACCACATGCTGTATGTTGATGATCTGACACCACATGCTGTATGTTGATGATCTGACACCACATGCTGTATGTTGATGATCTGTCACTATCTGTGCTGTATGTTGATGATCTGACACTATCTGTGCTGTATGTTGATGGCCTAACACCACATGCTGTATGTTGATGATCTGACACTATCTGTGCTGTATGTTAATGGTCTGACATCACATGCTGTATATTGATGGTCTGACACCACATGTTGTATGTTGATGCTCTCGCACAATCTGAGCTGTCATGCGCCTTAAAGTTTATAAGCTTGTTGTTAATTTTGTTTATTAATGTTGCATTAAGAAAAAAATCTATGCTTTATTTTTTTTTAAGTTTTTACTTTGTTGATGGGTTGTTGCTATTTTTAATTGCATTTGCTTAATTATTTTTTATTTGCCAAGTCATAAGTAAGGCTATTTTTTTTCTTCAATAACAAGACTAAAAAGAAATCTTTGGGTTAGCAAACAACAATTAGTTTACTTCTTGTTTACCTTGTTTTGTTATTACAAAAGTATTTCCATGGTGTATATTTTCTTTGTCTACAGATCCGCCATCCAGCCTGCTGTGGTGTAGCAATCCTGGACTCTTCACCCTCCCCCACAGGCCAAATCCTTCCACCACTTGTGTCACATCGGGGGCACGTCATTGAATATGTTGACCATGGGGCGTATTACTACAGGCACTTCTTTTATAACCATGGTAATGCAGATAACAAAAAAAATTTTAACTTGCCTTAAGCATTCATATGGGATGGCATGGAAGACTCAAAGAGTGTTTGGCTGTAGCCTGAATGTCTCGATTTCAGATCTATATTTGGACTTGTGACTGTAGGATGTCCCTGAGTCCAGGTGATGGGCACCTGACATGTTGGGGAAAGTAAAGGTGGCTGGGCGTAGTGCTGACCTCACTGTCCCTTCATATGCTGAGGTCAAGAAACATGAACTCTACTAAATTTGCCCAATGGATCGCTAGATCTTAAGAGGAACTTTACTTAATCATTCATGATTTGAATCATTAAGTCTTTCTTCTTCTGTCCCTTAATCTAGGAGGATCAATGATCATTGGGGAAACATTATAAGTGTCCTTCTGGACATATTCCTCCATTCCACCTCATTCTTCCCACATCTTCAGTGCCTCTCCCAGTGTCAAACCTGTCCATTTCCTATATTGTCTTCCCCTTGACTCATTAGTTAGGGCAGCTGAAGCAGAGTTCACCTTTTTAGATAACTGCCATTTTAAGCTGCCTTAAATTTCCCCAACCCAAGTCAGGTACCCATGAGAGCTGGTTGAACTCAAAGACAACATTAGGATTTGAGCCCAGAATAAATCTTAACACTAATTTAAATTCTAGTTTACACTTTAAAAGAATTATTTAAAATTCATAAATAAATGTTCATTTGTCCAGCTATTTTAATTGTTTTTTTTTAATGGTTTGTTCTGGGGTTATTTAGAAATAATTGACAATTTTTTTGCTGTTGTTTGTTCAGAGCACCAAAACTATTTTGGGACTGATGATAACTTGGGCCCTGTTGCCATCAGTGTGAGGAGGGAGAAGCTGGACGCTGAGGACAGAACAAATAATTTGGGGAGGGCAGACTACGGCATGGCGCAGTACAGGATTATATGTCGGACTAGTGAAGTAAGTTGACAGGACAGGATTATATGTAGGACTAGTGAGGTAAGTTGACAGGACAGGATTATATGTAGGACTAGTGAGGTAAGTTGACAGGACAGGATTATATGTAGGACTAGTGAGGTAAGTTGACAGGACAGGATTATATGTAGGACTAGTGAAGTAAGTTGATGTCACAGTACAGGATTATATGTAGGACTAGTGAGGTAAGTTGATATGTCACAGTACAGGATTATATGTAGGACTAGTGAAGTAAGTTGATATGACAGTACAGGATTATATGTAGGACTAGTGAAGTAAGTTGGTATGATGTCACAGTACAGGATTATATGTAGGACTAGTGAGGTAAGTTGATGTCACAGTACAGGATTATATGTAGGACTAGTGAAGTAAGTTGGTATGATGTCACAGTACAGGATTATATGTAGGACTAGTGAGGTAAGTTGATGTCACAGTACAGGATTATATGTAGGACTAGTGAAGTAAGTTGGTATGATGTCACAGTACAGGATTATATGTAGGACTAGTGAGGTAAGTAGATATGACACAGTACAGGATTATATGTAGGACTAGTGAGGTAAGTTGATGTCACAGTACAGGATTATATGTAGGACTAGTGAAGTAAGTTGGTATGATGTCACAGTACAGGATTATATGTAGGACTAGTAAAGTAAGTTGATATGATGTCACAGTACAGGATTACATGTAGGACTAGTGAAGTAAGTTGGTATGATGTCACAGTACAGGATTATATGTAGGACTACTAAAGTAAGTTGATATGATGTCACAGTACAGGATTATATGTAGGACTAGTGAAGTAAGTTGATATGTCACAGTACAGGATTATATGTAGGACTAGTGAGGTAAGTAGATATGACACAGTACAGGATTATATGTAGGACTAGTGAAGTAAGTAGATATGTCACAGTACAGGATTATATGTAGGACTAGTGAAGTAAGTTGGTATGATGTCACAGTACAGGATTATATGTAGGACTAGTAAAGTAAGTTGATATGATGTCACAGTACAGGATTATATGTAGGACTAGTGAAGTAAGTTGATATGATGTCACAGTACAGGATTATATGTAGGACTAGTGAAGTAAGTAGATATGTCACAGTACAGGATTATATGTAGGACTAGTGAAGTAAGTTGATATGATGTCACAGTACAGGATTATATGTAGGACTAGTGAGGTAAGTTGATGTCACAGGACAGGATTATATGTAGGACTAGTGAAGTAAGTTGATATGATGTCACAGTACAGGATTATATGTAGGACTAGTGAAGTAAGTTGATATGATGTCACAGTACAGGATTATATGTAGGACTAGTGAGGTAAGTTGATGTCACAGGACAGGATTATATGTAGGACTAGTGAAGTAAGTTGATATGATGTCACAGTACAGGATTATATGTAGGACTAGTAAAGTAAGTTGATATGATGTCACAGTACAGGATTATATGTAGGACTAGTAAAGTAAGTTGATATGATGTCACAGTACAGGATTATATGTAGGACTAGTAAAGTAAGTTGATATGATGTCACAGTACAGGATTATATGTAGGACTAGTGAAGTAAGTTGATATGATGTCACAGTACAGGATTATATGTAGGACTAGTAAAGTAAGTTGATATGATGTCACAGTACAGGATTATATGTAGGACTAGTGAAGTAAGTTGATATGATGTCACAGTACAGGATTATATGTAGGGCTAGTAAAGTAAGTTGATGTCACAGTACAGGATTATATGTAGGACTAGTGAAGTAAGTTGATATGATGTCACAGTACAGGATTATATGTAGGACTAGTGAAGTAAGTTGATGTCACAGGACAGGATTATATGTAGGACTAGTGAAGTAAGTTGATATGATGTACAGGACAGGACACAGTACAGGATTATATGTAGGACTAGTGAAGTAAGTTGATATGATGTCACAGTGCAGGATTATATGTAGGACTAGTGAAGTAAGTTGATATGATGTACAGGACAGGACACAGTACAGGATTATATGTAGGACTAGTGAAGTAAGTTGATATGATGTACAGGACAGGATTATATGTCGGACTAGTGAAGTAAGTAGATATGTCACAGTACAGGATTATATGTAGGACTAGTGAAGTAAGTTGATATGACACAGTAATACAGGATTATATGTAGGACTAGTGAAGTAAGTAGATATGACACAGTACAGGATTATATGTAGGACTAGTGAGGTAAGTAGATATGACACAGTACAGGATTATATGTAGGACTAGTGAAGTAAGTTGATATGACACAGTAATACAGGATTATATGTAGGACTAGTGAAGTAAGTAGATATGTCACAGTACAGGATTATATGTAGGACTAGTGAAGTAAGTTGATATGATGTCACAGTACAGGATTATATGTCGGACTTGTGAAGTAAGTAGATATGACACAGTACAGGATTATATGTAGGACTAGTGAAGTAAGTTGATATGATGTACAGGACAGGATTATATGTAGGGCTAGTGAAGTAAGTAGATATGATGTACAGGACAGGACACAGTACAGGATTATATGTAGGACTAGTGAAGTAAGTTGATATGATGTACAGGACAGGATTATATGTAGGACTAGTGAAGTAAGTTGATGTCACAGTACAGGATTATATGTAGGACTAGTGAGGTAAGTTGATATGACATCACAGTACAGGATTATATGTAGGACTAGTGAAGTAAGTAGATATTACACAGTACAGGATTATATGTAGGACTAGTGAAGTAAGTAGATACGATCTCACAGTACAGGATTATATGTAGGACTAGTGAAGTTAGTTGATATGACATCACAGTACAGGATTATATGTAGGACTAGTGAAGTAAGTAGATATTACAGTACAGGATTATATGTAGGACTAGTGAAGTAAGTTGATGTCACAGTACAGGATTATATGTAGGACTAGTGAAGTAAGTAGATATTACACAGTACAGGATTATATGTAGGACTAGTGAAGTAAGTAGATATTACAGTACAGGATTATATGTTGGACTAGTGAAGTAAGTAGATATGACACCACAGGACAGGAGTATATGTAGGACTAGTGAAGTAAGTAGATATGAAACAGGACAGGATTATATGTCAGACTAGTGAAGTAAGTAGATATGACACCACAGTACATGATTATATGTAGGACTAGTGAAGTAAGTAGATATGAAACAGGACAGGATTATATGTAGGACTAGTGAAGTAAGTTGATACATCACAGTGCAGGATTATATGTAGGACTAGTGAAGTAAGTAGATATGTCATCACAGGACAGTATTATATGTAGGACTAGTGAAGTAAGTAGATATGACATCACAGTACAGGATTATATGTAGGACTAGTGAAGTAAGTTGATGTCACAGTACAGGATTATATGTAGGACTAGTGAGGTAAGTAGATATGACACAGTACAGGATTATATGTAGGACTAGTGAAGTAAGTTGATATGATGTCACAGTACAGGATTATATGTAGGACTAGTGAAGTAAGTTGATGTCACAGTACAGGATTATATGTAGGACTAGTGAAGTAAGTTGATATGATGTCACAGTACAGGATTATATGTAGGACTAGTGAAGTAAGTAGATATTACACAGTACAGGATTATATGTAGGACTAGTGAAGTAAGTTGATGTCACAGGACAGGATTATATGTAGGACTAGTGAAGTAAGTTGATATGACATCACCATTGTTCAGGATTATCTGTACAATACCACCATTGTACAGGATTATCTATATAACACCACCATTGTACAGCATTATCTCTATATGGCACCATTGTACAGGATTATCTGTACACCACCATTGTACAGGATTATCTGTACACCACCATTGTACAGGATTATCTGTAACCAGTTAGTATTCAGGCTTATCAGTAGGACTAGAGAACTATGACACTAAAGTAAAGGATCACCTAAATGACAACAGTATAGGAGTGTTTGGACACCGCTCCCCATAATAGAATTATTTATAGTGAAGTTTTTCTTTCTTGGTAATTTTCTTTGCTTTACTGTATAAATGTATCACAGCAAACGACACATAAGTTTACCATTTAAGTATAAAAGCAAATTAAAACTTTAATATAAAACATCACCCAATTTTTTAAAAACTACAAGTAAAATTTTGAAGACTGCATCGTAGCCTGATAGACAATTGGATTATTGCTCCTTGAAATCAAGACGCAAAGCCTAGGCAGTAAATTGAGAAGAGCCAGATGTTGTCCTTGTATCAGCCCCCCCCCCCCCTCTCCCCACACCGCTGATGTACCCAAGGGAGTGACATTACCTATACCACCTGGCATCAGCTGTGTCACTGCCTAAAGGAAACCAGAGCTGGTAATCCTATGGATAACTTCCCCTCCTGTTTCATTTAGGAGTTTTCTCTCCTAGTGGGGTAGATGTACCCAGCTAACCAACCTCATGTACAACCATATAGTTATAAATTAATTTTTCAACACATGAATGCAGCAGCTTTGTATTTCCCATCTTTAAACCACCAAACTAAATATAATCTAGTATGACATTTTAAACTGCTGCACTTCTTTGCTCATTTTATGCAATCCAAGTGTTGAATCTATTGTTCTATTTCACATTTTTTGTTCTTACTTTTTTACTTATCCTTACACAATGAAAATAAAAATATTTTCCCTTGGTTTACAGAATGTATTCTAAGTTCTGTTATATTCTCTCTCCCCCAGCTGACCACATTGCGGGGGTGTATACTTGAAGATGCTATACCCTCTAGGCTGAGCAGCTCCAGGGGAATACCAATCAAAGATGTCCTGGAGGTGGCCCTGCCTGAGGTCCAGCTGTCTTGTCTGAGGCAGGCGGTCGCTGGACCCAAGACTTGTGAGCAACTGCTCAAGTTGGATGAGCAGGGGGTGAGGGGTGTTTTTTTTACCTATAAACAATTTGTCTCACCTCTGTATGATTTGTCTCACCTCTGTACAATTTGTCTAACCTCTATACAATTTGTCTCACCTGTGTATGATTTGTCTAACCTCTGTACAATTTGTCTCACCACTTGCAATTTGTCTCACCTCTATACAATTTGCCTCACCTCTATACAATTTGTCTCACCTCTATACAATTTGTTTCACCTCTGTACAACTTGTCTCACCTCTATACAATTTGTCTCTTTACAATTTGTCTCTTTACAATTTGTCTCACATCTATACAATTTTTCCCACTCTACATACATAATTATCTACACGATTTTTTTTACCTCTAATTTTCTATTTTTACACAATTGTTTAGATTAACCTTTTAAAATAGTTTCTAATAGTAATATTAGTTTGATATAAGCTAGGTTAATGTTTTAATAAAGACCTTTGCTCCATCCTAGATAAGCAATACCTACAAGATAGGCATCATGTACTGTAAGGCAGGCCAGTCTACTGAGGAAGAGATGTACAACAATGGTAAGCTATTGGCTCTGTGTTTGCTTGTGCCTATACACATCACTAGACTTAGGGATACGAAATTATCATTTTTACTAAGTTGTGTATACACGAAGACCTACATGTCTGTTTATACATATGTAATAATAGATTAACATTGGGGTTTTTTTTTTTGTTTTTTTTTTTTGTTAACATTTGTTCCCTAACTTTTATTTGAAACTAATTTTGGTATTTCCCATGAGTAATTGCCTTTATTTAAAAGTTTAATAAATAAGTTGTGTCCCTTAGATTGTTTTTCAATCACCCTCAGGCTTTAACACCAGCAAGTTTCAGTATAACTAAACTCTGTGCTTTAGGTATTACTGCCTACTATACTTACCCTCAGTATCCACTTATTAAAATAATGGCTTTATGTTCTATAGAAGATACAGACATAAAAATTGTTGCAATTTTAAACTGATATTCATAGTTGATGTCCATATTTAATATTAAAATCTTTAGTAGACTGTCTAAAACTGCACCATGTCCAATTAAAGGAAAAAACTACATGGGTTAAAAAAAAAAATTAAATTTATCTAATAGGTGATGTTTAACACAAGTATTTTGTTTTTTGTTACAACATTTATATTTTATGTCATTAATGATGTCCCATTATATTAGCTGCTTTTCTCTGATTGGTGTTTGTTTTCGTGTTTAGGAATTGTTAGTAAATATTGTCATGGCTGTATTCTTTGATGTAAAAGACTTTTATTTTCTCATCATGTAGAGTACAGTGAACCAGCCCTTGAAGAGTTCCTTAACTTGATCAGCCAGAAGGTCAGGTTAAAAGGTTTTGAGAAGTATAGAGCTGGTCTAGACTGTAAAAGTGAGTGGTCAGTTTTTTAAACAATTAATTTAGAGCATCATTAAAACAGTTGAGTTGTCAGTTGAGCAGTAGTAAGTAGTTCCCTTTCAAACCTGATGGTCCATGGGTCAAGTAAAGTAGAGTTCACTTGTTTCTGTGACCTCAGCATATGAAGGGATAGTGTGATTAGCACTATACCCAGCCGTCTTTACGTTTCTAATGTGAGTCAGGTCAATAAAACCTCCTTAAGTCCACCCAGCTCTGATCGGTACATTGACCCCCACAAGAACTGTTTTAATTATATATTTTTTACACAAATTAAAAAAGTGGACATTAAATTAATGATACAGATGTAGTGTGTAGGCTGTACACGTTATTCTGCAACTACTGTTCCAGCTGTACACCAACTACTGTTTCATCCCTATTTTTATTTTCAGCTGACACCACAGGCACTCACTCGTATTACACAACGTTTAACAACAACGAAGTCATGTTTCATGTCTCCACACTGCTGCCTTACACACCCAACAACAAGCAACAGGTCAGTTTTGTTAGTGGTGGGTCAGCTTTGTTAGTGGTGGGTCAGTTTTGTTAGTGTTGGGTTAGTATGGTCAGTGGTGGGTCAGTATGGTCGGTGGTGGGTCAGTGTTGTCATTGATGGGTCAGTTTTGTTAGTGGTGGGTCAGTATGGTCAGTGGTGGGTCAGTATGGTCGGTGGTGGGTCAGTGTTGTCATTGATGGGTCAGTTTTGTTAGTGGTGGGTCAGTATGGTCAGTGGTGGGTCAGTCTTGTCATTGATGGGTCAGTTTTGTTAGTGTTGGGTTAGTATGGTCAGTGGTGGGTCAGTATGGTCGGTGGTGGGTCAGTGTTGTCATTGATGGGTCAGTTTTGTTAGTGGTGGGTCAGTATGGTCAGTGCTGGGTCAGTCTTGTCATTGATGGGTCAGTTTTGTTAGTGGTGGGTCAGTATGGTCAGTGGTGGGTCAGTATGGTCGGTGGTGGGTCAGTCTTGTCATCAATGGGTCAGTTTTGTTAGTGTTGGGTCAGTGGTGGGTCAGTATGGTCGGTGGTGGGTCAGTGTTGTCATTGATGGGTCAGTTTTGTTAGTGGTGGGTCAGTATGGTCAGTGGTGGGTCAGTGTTGTCATTGATGGGTCAGTTTTGTTAGTGGTGGGTCAGTATGGTCAGTGGTGGGTCAGTATGGTCGGTGGTGGGTCAGTCTTGTCATCAATGGGTCAGTTTTGTCATTGATGGGTCAGTTTTGTCAGTGGTGGGTCAGTATGGTCAGTGGTGGGTCAATAGTGTCAGTCTTGTCAGTGGTGGTTAATTGTGTCAGTGGTGGGTCAGTATGGTCAGTGGTGGGTCAGTATTGTCATTGATGGGTCAGTTTTGTCATTGATGGGTCAGTTTTGTCAGTGGTGGGTCAGTATGGTCAGTGGTGGTCAGTTATGTCAATAGTGGGTCAGTCTTGTCAGTGGCTGCTAACTGGTCATGATGAGACAGTAACCATTGCAGGTCCAAACTAACATCTTTGTTAAAAAGCCTAGGTCTTTCCATGAGCCTACTCAGCATTAATGAAGACCCCGCATTAATATAGAGGGGCTTAGGATACTACTACTCGTCATAATTTTATTATTATTATTACCTGACAGTTGAAAAAAATCTTCATTCTTAAATTTTTTAAATACATTTATTTGAACCTTTTCCTATTTTGTTTTCAGCTTTTAAGAAAACGTCACATCGGCAATGATATTGTTACCATAGTATTTCAAGAGCCAGGAGCTCTGCCCTTCACCCCTCAGACTGTCCGCTCACAGTTTCAGCATGTTTTCGTCATCGTGCGAGTGATCAACCCCAACTCAGACAGTGCACGCTATAGGTAAGTGGTGTCTGGCGCTAGTCTTGTCAGGGAGGTGTAGCATTGCGATTTTTCATGGCTGGCATTTCTGTCTTACTGGTGGGACATTGTGATCAGGTGGTTTGGCTCACAGGTATTGTTCTCTCTAAGGGGAAAAAGCTAGCGTACAATGTCTATTTTGTGTGCGTGGTGTTTTAAAAGAATATACCAGGATATATATTTTTTACAAACTGACTGCGTGGGAGGTTTAAAACTACTGTGCAGCCGCACAACCGCGCAGCTTAGAGGGAACATATCTCTACTTCCCTGTTAGTGCTGACGGCACAATCCTTTAATATGCCTTATTATGTCAGTCTACAAGAGAACTTCACTTAGTGCTGATGTAAAGAAACAATTGGTTAACAGTGATCTAATTTGTTGTCAGAAATAACTTTTTTTTAGCTCACATGTTTATGTTGAAAGGATAAAATGTAGTTACAAGTATACACTGTGGCAGTAATTTGAATTGTAGTACTATTTTTGCAATTCTAATTTCAACACTTCGTTTATAACTAAAATCTTGTAGCCAACTCATTGTATAACAAGAGAGCATGTAATAAGTTAGTTATGCATTGTTCAGTGGAAACTAACAGTATTGGAATTTTAGTAATTCATTAAAAAGACCTTGTTATATTTAAAGATGCTAAGATTGTTACATCTGATTTTTCTCTCTCTCCTTCTAGTATCGCTATAGCCAGATCTAAAGATGTCCCTCCATTTGGTCCACCCATACCACAGAACTGCAGCTTTAAAAAGTCCCAAGAATTTGTGGACTTCTTGTTAGCTAAAGGTATTTGACTTTCTCCTTTTGCCTTACACTGTTTTTCTTCTTTGTTCTTAATTCAAATGTTGAAGGGGATTTTCTCGAACACAATTAAATATTGGGTGTCAACATGTTATGGCCAGTTGACTCCGATTTCAGCCTTTGCTTCCATAGTTTCAGTCCATCCAAGAACAAACTACCAGTCAGAGTTGTTAGATTTAAGAGTTTTCTCTCCTAGATGGGTTGCTGTCCCCAGCTATACCTCATTTCCCTGGGTGTTTTGAACCAGGGACTTTAAGTTAAGCCATCCTCCTCTTTACACTGTGTTTGTTTAGTATTTTGTGCCAGGTAATAGTTTATATAATTTATTCCAATAGCTAGTTTGTTGTAGTTTATTCTAGCCAATTGCAATGAACCAATTGCTAGCTATTGGCGTTTTTAAATATTTGTATGGTATAGGCCTTGAAATCATTAAGTTAAAGCACTAGTTTAACATTCCCACTGTAGGGTTGATGATCATATAACATGGTGTTTCACTACCTAATGTAGTCTATCAGTTCCTAATTAGATATCTCATTTTCTATGTTGGTCTTAACCCTGCCTACATTGGTCTTACCCTTGCTAATTGCCGAATTGCCTGTATACTTCCAGTGATCAATGCAGAAAATGCCGCCCATAAATCAGACAAGTTCCTCACCATGGCAACAAGAACAAGACAGGAATATTTAAAAGACCTAGCCATTAACTATGTCACCAATACACCCATTGACTCAGGGTCCAAATTAAGTAAGTGGTGGTTGTTTTTTTTTATACAATTTAATAATCAAAAAGTTGAGGAAAATACTTCTATTAATACATACGCATTTCTAAAAAAATATTTCAAAATTTTAACCATCTTTTTTAAAATCAAAATGATATAGATCTAGAATATAATTAACAAATTTTTCTATTTTATTCTAAATTATAACCGTGTTATTTAATTTTTTTTTAAAGTTCCAAGAGAGTGGAAAAAAATGTATTTTTAAATCAGACAATGCAAATGACTAAGTGTTTCTGTAGGTTAAGACTAATAATATAGCAGGGAATAAATTTTAATCTAAAAATGCAACTTTTGTGTTTCAGGTAAATTTGGACTTGGGAGTGGCAGAAAGAAGGAAAAACCTAAACAAAAGGTAGTGCCTGACATGTTTGCCAAAGGTGCTGTGGTGTGGGAGGTGCAGGTGGAAGATATGGGAACAGCCTCGCAGGTTTGTAGGGTGAGGGGGGGTTGTTGAAACAGCCTCGCAGGTTTGGGGGTGTTGATATGGGAACAGCCTTGCAAGTTTGTAGGGTGAGGGGGGTTGTTGAAACAGCCTCGCAGGTTTGGGGGGGGGGTGTTGATATGGGAACAGCCTTGCAGGTTTCGAGGGTGTTGAAGAAATGGGAACAGCCTCTCAGGTTCATAAAGTTGAGGGGTAGGGGTGTTAATGAGATGGAATCAGTCTCCCGGGTTTGTGAGGTGGGGTGGGGGTGTTGAAAGTATGGTGATTTACTGTTGAGAGGAACTTTACTGTTACATTGCATATCACATCATTATTTAGCAAACAGGCATTAAAAACTCATTCAGGCTATGTAAATAAATCTTTTGAAAACCCTGTGCTAAGTCCAACTCCACTTTATTTGCCTCCAGTTGTTGTTAAATTAAAAATTAAAAAAAAACCCTGTACCAAGTCTAGCACCATCCCTAATGATAAAGTAAATAACATCTCAGGACAACACTGATCTAATGTCATATGTTGACCTTCACAACTCCTTATGATAAAGTAAATAACATCTCAGAACAACACTGATCTAACATCATATGTAGACCTTCACAACTCCTTATGATAAAGTAAATAACATCTCAGAACAACACTGATCTAACATCATTTGTAGACCTTCACAACTCCTTATGATAAAGTAAATAACATCTCAGAACAACACTGATCTAACATCATATGTTGACCTTCACAACTCCTTATGATAAAGTAAATAACATCTCAGAACAACACTGATCTAACATCATATGTAGACCTTCACAACTCCTTATGATAAAGTAAATAACATCTCAGAACAACACTGATCTAACATCATATGTTGACCTTCACAACTCCTTATGATAAAGTAAATAACATCTCAGAACAACACTGATCTAACGTCATATGTTGACCTTACAGGTTGAATGCCTTCTGGCCATAGCTGCTGACACCATTGTGCTGGTGGAGGAGACCAACAAGGATGTCATCTTCACCATCCCCTGCAGTACAGTCATAGGCTGGACCCCACAGCCCAGCAGGTTGGCCTCTGACTTCCTTCAAAACTTCCTAGAAATATACAGGGAACAATATCTTCCTGTTCTCTCCTTCTAAAAATAAAGCATGCAATTTTTCCACCATTCGAAAATTTCTTTTAACTAAACAACTTTTTCCTAATCTTTTTAACATTTTAACAACTTGATCAGTCTGTTTCTGTTTTTATTTTGTATTCCTACTATACTTGGGGCTTTATTTTTTAATCCTATAAAGTAAAAAAAAGGTGAAGCTTCCCATTCAGATCTAAAGATCCATAGATCCAATGACGTAGAGTTGTTATGTTTCTTGACCTTGGCATATGAAGGAGTAGTGTATTGTGTCAAGGTACCCATCAGAGCTGGGTGCACTTAAAGGCGTCCTATAGTCCAGTCCGGAATGAGATCCGAACTCGAGACCTCAGGGCTAGTAGTCAAATGCTCTACCATTCAACTATGCTGTCCCACTTATTCATCCTATCTTAACAGTTAATCTTTGTTTACTTTTCAGCCTGCGCCTGTACTTAGGTGCAGGTGAATGTCTACTGCTGAGGTTTAATTTTTTGGTCTACTTTTTCAGCCTGCGCCTGTACTTTGGAGCAGGTGAATGTCTACTGCTGAGGCCCATGTCAGGAGAACAGGAGGAGATGCAAGAGATTATCACTAGGCTACAGGCTGTAACACATGGCACAGAGGTCAGTAGAATTGGTCAGTAGAATGGTCACTGGTACTGGACCGTAGAATTTGTGACACTGGTCAGTAGAATTGGTCAGTAGAATGGTCACTGGTACTGGGCCATAGAATTTGTGACACTGGTCAGTAGAATTGGTCAGTAGCACTGGTCTTTAGTATTGGTCATTAGCATTGGTTTGTGGCACTAGTCAGTTTGGCTTGTTTTGCAAATTGATCTATGTCACTATTAAGTAGTATTGGTCAGTGGCAATGGTTATTATCACTGTCAGTAGCACTGGCCAATGGCTTGTTTTACAAATCTGTATTGCTCATTATATTCCCAAAGCACTAGTCTATTGGTTGGCATATTTGAGCATGGAGCCCATTGGACATTTGTATAACTATGAGTCCTAGCAGCAATGTATTAGAAGTGCCTAGTTGTAAACAGGGCAGAGAAAGTACAATACACCTGTCTTTGTTGTCTACCCATTGAGGGCTTGTATCGTCTATTAAAGTTGGGTGGGTTTTCAGGGTTGCACTAATACAAAACTAAAACCTGCTACACCACAATGTTGCAAACTCAAGTCTCTTAATTTTTGCATCTGCGCACTGTGTAAGTTAGTTAATGCTCATCACAAATTACTCCTTCGATTATTTTGAGGAAACATTTTGTGGCTTATTCATAAGATATTTGATTTAAAAGGAAACCAGAATTTCTGCATTGAAATATCTGATAATTGTAATTACTCTTATCTTTACCTAGCCTTTATACTAGGGTACAAAAATCTACTTTACTTCTACAGACTTCCAAGATGGCCTTGAAACGCAATGGGCTTGGTCAATTGGGTTTTCACATTCAATCCGAAGGCATTGTTACAGATGTTGAACCTTTTGGTTTTGCCTGGGAGGCGGGGCTTAGGAAGGGCAGCCGCCTGGTTGAGATCTGTAAGGTTGCCACGACAACGCTGTCACATGACCAGATTGTTGATCTCCTGCGCACGTCAGCTGTTGTTAAAGTTGTCGTTGTTCCTCCAATGGAGGACGGTTCACCCAGGTAAGTTTCTCTCCGATTCATTGGTTAAGTTTAGTTAGTCTTTCTGGCGACCAGTGAAGTTAAAATAAGTAATATTTACACCTAGTAGATTCCTTACAACTCAAACTTTCCCACAACAGTTTTTTCCCTCAATTCCAACTTTTTGAAAATTGTCTATATTCTTAATTAAAACATGTAGTAATCTTTCCTTTTTAATTGATTAATTTAATGGGCGGTTTGAAGATAAAAATGTGAGTTTAGGTGCCTTGGTATATTTTATCAATCATGATTGAATTTGTAGTGTGATTTATTTTTAAATTAACCTTATGCCGCTGTAAAAAATGTTTGTTTTGTTTAAAATCTATGATTATATTTTTCATGTACACTTTTTTTTTCTCTTTTTTGTTTTTTATAATTAGCACACATATAATAAGCAAGTATGATCAAATGTTTATCATAGGTTTTACACTATTTCATATCAGATAGACATGGGCTTGATTATATGTTCATTCATATACAGTGGCTGCACAACTTTTCTTTGAAGAAAATAAATCTGTTTTTTATGTACTGTTGGATGATTGGTTTCAGTTCACTGAAAAGTTTATTTTTAATCCTAAATTTTTGTTTTTATAAAATATTTTATTCACTATCCTTTATATCAAAGCAAACCTATTTTAATGTATCCTGTAGCATCTGTGTTTTACTCTGGCTAAAATGAAAAATTGCATTCACTTATGGGACAGGAAGGTTGATTGGTTGAATGGATGTTTACTTACTCAAGGTTCATGGGTTTGAGTTTGTATGCCATCTCTGAATCAACACAACTTTGATGCATACCTGATTTACCTCAGGGAAAGTAAATATGGCTAGCCTTAGTGCTGACCACACTGCCTCTTCATATGCCAAATACAGAGAAAAAAGTGAACTCTGCTGCACCCACCCCTGTTCAGTTTGGTCTAATTACTTGCTTAAAGTTTACCTGAATTTTTTTTTTTACATATGAACTACTGCAATAATGTAAAGTTATATATTTTTCTCAAACTGCATTTGAATGCTTATAATATTACAGTTTTTATTAATATTAGCATGATGCATTCTCTGCTTTTAAAAAAAAATTATTAACAGTCTTATGGTCATAAAGTAGGTCAGTGATGTATGGTCAGAGAGTGGGTCAGTAACATATGGTTAGAAAGTGGGTCAGGAAAGAATGGTCAGGAACTGTTAGAAATGTATGGTCAGACAGTAGGTCAGTGATGTATGGTCAGAAATTGTGTCAGTAATTTATGGTCAGAAAGTGGGTCAGTAATTGATTGTCAGAAAGTGGGTCAGTAATGTATGGTCAGAAAGTGGGTCAGTAATTGATTGTCAGAAAGTGGGTCAGTAATGTATATCAGAAAGTGGGTCAGTAATTGATTGTCAGAAAGTGGGTCAGTAATGTATGGTCAGTAAGTGGGTCAGTAATTGATTGTCAGAAAGTGGGTCAGTAATGTATGGTCAGAAAGTGGGTCACTAACTTATGGTCAGAGAGTGGGCCAGTAATTGATTGTCAGAAAGTGGGTCAGTAATGTATGGTCAGAAAGTGGGTCAGTAATGTATGGTCAGAAAGTGGGTCAGTAATTGATTGTCAGAAAGTGGGTCAGTAATGTATGGTCAGAAAGTGGGTCAGTAATAGTTTTCTTGTTGTCCAGTGTTTTCATGTGTTGACAGTGATAAAAAAAACTAATCTTGTTAGAGTGATAGAATGGTTGAGTTTTAATTATTCATCTTATTGAATAGAGATTTACTGTCAAATGGTTTAAAGCAGGGGTTCCCAACCTTTTTTTACTCTAGAGCACATTCTTAAATATTGGTAGGGTGGCGGGCACCACCTATTTTAAATCGACAAACTCCTTACAGAGGCGTAGCGACCCTTTCCCGTCACCCAGGGACAAAACTTTCGATTTGCACCACCCTCCTCAAACTTTCGATTTGCCCCCCCCCCCCCCCTTCAAACTTTCGATTTCCATCACCTTCAACCTTTCAATAATGTTTATGAAAAAAATTCTGTCGAATAGTGAGAGGCGGGCACATACGAATCGTTCGGCGGGCGCCATGGCGCCCGCGGGCACAGGGTTGGGAACCCCTGGTTTAAAGGATGAATCCGTTTTTGAAAATGTGCAGCATCTTGATGATTTAACAGTGTGCTGCTGTCTGTGCTGTTGTATGTCACACCACCACCACCACCACCCCCTCACTGCACTATATCTCTAGAACTTTCTCTCACTAACCATTTGGCTGCTCCAAATTTTGTACAGATCTTCATATTTTTTCTGGGTCCAAAAGATCCTTAAATTGCAATGGCAAAACCTGTTTGTGTATTATTTTTTTTAACTATACATCTCTTGTTTTTATGTAATTAAGAAGTAATATAGTCTAAACCATTGATGTCAGAAAGTTATTGAATATTTATTTAAATTTTGCTGATAGGTTTATGTTTTTCTTGAGGTTAGTTTTTAACATAACTGTTAAATAAAAACTAGCTGTAAATTTTTATTTATTTATTATTATTATTTTTATTTTTTTCCCCTTTCCTAAGTCCACTAATTAGACAACAGTGAGAGAAAGTAACAAGTGCTATTAATAAGTATCCTTCAACCAACCAATTAAACACTCAGTATTGATTGAGTATCTTTACCCCCCACCTAATTTAATATTGATTCAAGAGACTGTCGATTGATTTTAAACACAACTAGAATACCCGTCATCCGTTGGATAACTGTGGGTTTCGGGGGTCATCCATAAAAAAACATCACGTCTGTCACTCAGAGGCATAGCGAGCCTTCCCGGCGCCCGGGGACAAACATTTCGATTTTAACCCCCCCCCCCCCCCAAGATTTCGATTTTCAACCCCCCCCCCCTCAAACTTTTGATGTGCACCCCCCCCCCCACTCAAACTTTCGATTTGAACCCCCCTCAACCTTTCAATTTATTTTTCGAAACCATTTTGGCGCCCCAACATATGTCCCCCCGCCCCCCCTTCCCCCCTCCACCTCCCCCGCCTCCCCTCCCCCCCCCGCCCCCCCCCCCCCCCCCCTTCTCGCTACGCTACTGCAGTGTCACTTATCGTCACAAAAAACAGACCCCACATTCAAAAATATGTTTCTTATCTTTTAAAAACACCGAAAACACCGATTTCGGACTATCCCTTCATATACTGACGTCACATGTGACCTACTCAACTCTACTTCACCTGCCCAGTGTCCCGCCAAGTCTCAGACAACATGTTTTTATCGTTTAAAAACGATTCCAGCCGATCATGTCTCTGACCACACTATCCTTTTATATGCTTAGGACAAAGAAACAGATGAACTCTACTTCACCTGCCCTGTATCCTGGCAAGTTCAGATAGGCAACTTTATCATTCACATCTAAAAAAAAAAAAAATTGAAAAAAAAATATCATTGACATATTGGTCTAGAACCTGTGCCACCCACATGAGAGCGGGCTACGCTACCAACTTAGCTATTTACTCGTGACGTCACAAATGAATTTTTATACTATACTTTTGAGTCTCCGCGCATAGATCTTGATATTAGGCTAGTAGTAGTAACTTTCAAATTAAATTTAATCTTAAATTAGCCAAACAAAGATTTATATAAAATAAAGAAGTTCTGAAATTAGCTAGATCTAGATAATTCTATCTAGATCTATATTCTACGACTCGCTTGCTTAGGTCTTATTAAGTTTAGTTTTTCTTGCTAGATCTAGATCTAGATCTAGATCTAGATCTAATCATTAGCTACGCTGATAGGCCCGGAGCGAGCATTTCAAAATTACCATATTCCAAACAAAGATTTATATAAAATAATAAAGGTCTAAGATAGTTTAGTATATAGAAAATCATTATTATCTAAATCTAGATAGAATTATCTATATTTTAGATCTACGACTGAGCTATATTTAGAATTTACGTTTATAATTTAGCAAAATTCCGGTATAGAAGCAGCGTATGAATCTTAAGCTGCGCAAATACGCCCTGGAGCCTGCACTTCAAAATTTGCATAGTCGAAACAAAGGTTTATACAAAATAATAAAGGTCTAAAATATTTTAGTATATAGAAACTCATTATTATCTAAATCTAGATAGAATTATCTATATTCTAGATCTACGACTGGTTTGCTTAAGTCTCGTTTCTTTTTTGGTTTGTATTAAGATCTATAACTAATAAATTTTTGATTTGACCTAGATTTAGATTCTAGATCTAGATCTATAAATAAATAACTTTCTTGGACAGATTGTAGATCTAGAGAAATTTATTGTAAAACTAAATGAAAAAAGACAGTTGAAAATTGATATAAGTGTTGGAACGTAATAAATACAGCAAACGGACGTATTGTTAAAGTTATGACCGACAGAAAATTAGATTTGATTTGACCTAGATTCTAGATCTAGATCTAGATGATAGATCTATAAATAACTTTCCTTCGACAGCTGATCTTTAGATCTAGAGAAATTTATTGTAAAACTAAATGAAAAAAGACAATTTAAAATTGATATAAGTGTTGGAACGTAATAAATACAGCAAACGGACGTATTGTTTAAGTTATAGCCGGCAGAAAATTAGCTTTGTAACGCGTTAAACTTTTGAATGGGCCACAAAGTCTATGATGGAGTCCGCCATTTTTATTGAACCAAAAAGTAAACACATCAAGGGACGTCACTATCCCCACAAAGTTTATTCAAAGTATTAACATTTAAAAAAAAATACGGTTAATTTAACTATGAATAAATCAATAAATTAATTATAGTCTTTAAATAAATTTGTGATTAACAGTCTGTCTGCATTAAAAAATTATTCTCTACCTACATACTATTTTACAGCTCTACAGATAGAGTCGAACATATCGCAATAGTCGATCAGGCAAACAAACAAACAAACAAAAAAACAAAAAAATAAATATTCAAACATGTAAACAAACTTGACTTTTAGTAGTATATAGATAGATGTCCACTGTTTGATTTCTGCCTATACGCTCTACACTGTTGATTGGTGTTTATGCTGTGTGTTTTTGTTTTAATCACCACAGTAAAATAAGTATGCAAGTTTTGCTTAGGAAAGAATATTTTGTCTGCCTTAAAATAGTTTAGCTAGTAAATCTTATGTTCATTGTTTCAACTTTCAGATTAAATTACTTACTAAATTAGGTTTTAAACTTACTAAATTAGGGTTCAAAAATACTAAATTAGGTTTTAAAAACTATCATTTGTCCTTTCCCCCAATTATTTAAACATTGTTTTTAAATACATACTTGATGTTAAAATGGGAAGGCTGTGAAGTTGTGTTTTTAGGTAACAGTGATTTTTATTTTAATGATAATACATTTGTTATGGTTGTTTCAACCCTCTTCTGTTACTTTGTTTTGGTTTGTTTTGTTGTTTTTTTTTTTTTTTTTTGATGAAATTTGAGACTTTAAACTTTTTTATATACCAGAAACTAACTTGAATGTTCTTACACTGTCCCTGGGATTGCTCTAACACACAACCTCTCATGCCTTGTGCTTTTGTGTATGTTTTATCCACACATTTCTCAGCAAAATGTTCACTTTTTAATGTGGCACTTCACATTATTTTAAGCAAATGTCAATTAAGTTATTAATTCTGTCATTAACTATTCCTGTAATTATATTGCAAAGTTTAAACTTGTTTATAAAAAGTGTAACTATATTCTATTTTACTAATTAATTAACTTGTATTTGTTAATGTAAGCATAGACAGGCATTAATTTTGTCTTATCATTAGGTTGAATTTTATTCATAAAATTGTACGCTTGGAACTGATCAATATCTTTTGGTCCTGTCTTTAATACTGATACATTTTTTTACTGCTGTTACTGTCAGTGTTAAAACTACCATGATTTAACACTGACTTGATCTTTACATGACCCTATCCTCAGGTTGGTGAGTTAAAATAAGCTAGGACAGAGCCAGCTCATTGCGTTGACCACCAACATGCTGTCCACCAATGTACTGTCCACCACTGTGCTGTCCACCCAACTAATTGATCCCAAACTTTTCCTGTCCACCAATGTGCTGTCCACCAATGTGCTGTCCGACAAAATTGCTGTCCACCTAACTAATTTAGCCCAAACTTTTCCCGTCCACAGAGGCTTTATCACACTCAACACCCACCTCCCCCACACCTCCATGATGTCCATTAACACCATTATGGTATCTAAGCAGTTCACTGCTGCCTCGTATCAAGGTTCCATGGAATCTGTCTACATGCCTAGGTACTCCTGTCTTCTGGGTGTGGAACTGTCTGAAGACGCATGCTAAAAAAAGTTTTTAGTTTATTTTATGGATCAGTGGGGTTTAGCTAGTGTTGCAATTTTTTATATTTTTTTTTGGTGATGCTGAAATACAAGTGAGAAGTATTTTTGGATAGCACTACTAACTATTTAGTTAATTATTATGCGAAATTTGTTGCAAAAATCATTGGTATATGTCACAAATGTGTCAATGATTTTCTGAAGAATTCTAGTGACTATTTAAGAGTTGTTTTTTAAATTTAAAAAAAAAACCCATCTTAATTTCAATGATGTTGTTTTCACAAATTTGAATACATTAATTTTTCAAATACTCCAAATTCCAGACTTTTTAAAATATGTAATATTTAGCTGAATATTTTTCTATCCTACTCTCATATTTTGTGTGAAGCCTAACCAAAAAGTAGTTATTTGTGTTTGCAAATCTCATTTTAAGGGCTAGTCCTAGTAACCTTTTTTTTTTTTTGTAACTTCTATGAATTTATGGTTTTACTACTTTTACTGTAAGGAATCAAACAAACATCAAATTGGTTATTTCAGTCACCCTAATGCTGTCTGAAAGTAGAATATACAATGCTATCATAACACATAGCACAAATTCTCTTGTTGCTTTTAATAGTTCATATTTTTTTTAAATACTATTTTGGGAGTAGGGGTACTTGACTGTAGTAATGAGTGGGAGTCAAATCAGGCAGTTCTTGTTGTGGTTTCATGTGTTTTTTTTTTAATCTTTTTTTTTTCTCTGGTTTCTATGCACAATGTCTGCCTGCTGCTTGTCATACAATTTCAAATCTTTTTTTTTTTTATTTCCTTCAATATTGCTGTTTTTTAAATTGCTTTATTTTATCAAATTTCTAAATTATTGCATAATTTGTTCAATAGTTGCATGCAGTAGCCAAATAACATTTTTTTCCCCCCATCAAAGCAGTTTTACTTGATTCATCTTTACATTCTGTTTGTGATTAAAATGATTTTTATAAATATCAGTGTTTGCCATTTACAGTGATCTGCCATTTCATTTTGTAAAATAAATGATGTTTCCTCAACCATCCAGTTTCACTGATCATCTCCATACTGCCTTTATAAGTCTCACTTAGTTCATATGCACCTTTTCTACTATAAACAGTATTTTTTTAAGACATAATCTGTTATATCCTTTACAGTTTATGATGAATTTTTAAAATACTTTACCCAGTGCAATTATATTGTGATAACATTTATACTATCATATTATTATGTCAACAGTACTTGTTCATGTTTTTATAGTTCACAAATGTTCCTTTAAATTCATCATTACAAACTTATAAAAACAGAGTGTGCAATATAGTTGTGCTTAGCTTATGCTGTGCATTTTTTATCCTAAAAAAGTTAAAGCTCAAATATGTTTATCATACATATATATGCAAGTACACTTATACACACACACACACACACAAGTACACACACACAGATGCTTTTATATATTTATATATATAACATAAATTATATAATAGATATATATAGCCTATTTATCTTCATTGTAAAACTACAAAGACAGAAACTAATAACATGATATTTTAAAAATATTAATATGTTGATGTGTTTCCGTTGATGTATCTGAATTGTCATCATTGATAAAACAAATGAATTCACAAAACCAAAGCCATACATTAACAGTTGCCATTAGCTTGCTAGACCTAACAAATGACTTTGAATTTTTTTTTCTTCCTAATAACCACTGATCTGGTGGATGGGTTTGTGCCGTGGTTTCAGTGGCGTGGTACTTCTGTAGTTGTTTTTATTTCATTGTTTCGTATAACAGTGTTGTGGAAATAAATTTTTTTTCAGTGTGCTAGTGTGGTTTTTTAGTTTATTTTTTTATGTGGATAAAGTCATCTTTTTTTTTTTTCTTATAGTTGTAGCAAGCTTAATTCAATGCAAGCTTTTCAACACTAAGTTTTTTAGTATTTTAAATATATATTTTTTACATTTGAATTTATGCTAAAATTAAAGCTTTGAAGCTTTTTTTTATCCTAATATTGAGCTGCCTTTTTACTTAGATGCCTTCATAATGAATCTATACCATTCTTGTTATGATGCTTGAATTCTAAAAAAAAATGGTGAAACATCTGGGTTTTTTTAAAGAGTTTAGAAAAACTGAAATTTTTTAGACAACATAGTTAAGAATCTTCCTTTTTAAAAAACAAATCTGCCTAGGTGCATATAAAAATCAAATTTTTAAAAATACTTTTAAATATGTTTAAGAATGTTTTCAAATTTTGCATCCACTTCAAGATGCTGTTCTGTTTGAATTTTCAGGGGAGATAACAGCTTAGCCTCTCCTGCCCCTCCAGCCAACAACAGCACTGGCAAACCCTCCCCTTCATCGCAGCAGAAAACCTACCACCAGCCCCCTCAGCCCACTACCATGTACGACCAGACACCACGCCAGCGGACAACGGGGGGTCAGCACGGCTACTCCGACTCCACCCTGTCCTCAGGTCGCTCCTCTGACGACGGGCGGGGCTCGTATTATGGTCACTCGCGCCAGGAGTCATCTGAGATGTATGGGTCAGTCCGGGGGAGTCATGAGGGTCACACAAGCTCAGGGGATGAGCTGCATTCTAGGAACAGCTCACATGATAGTTCTGACTATGCCATGTCTGGTAAGTCCACTGACATTCTAGGAACAGCTCACATGATAGTTCTGACTATGCCAAGTCTGGTAAGTCCACATTCTAGGAACAGCTCACATGATAGTTCTGACTATGCCATGTCTGGTAAGTCCACTGACATTCTAGGATCAGCTCACATGATAGTTCTGACTATGCCATGTCTGGTAAGTCCACTGACATTCTAGGAACAGCTCACAGGATAGTTCTGACTATGCCATGTCTGGTAAGTTCACTGACATTCTAGGAACAGTTCACATGATAGTTCTGACTATGCCATGTCTGGTAAGTCCACTGACATTCTAGGAACAGCTCACATGATAGTTCTGACTATGCCATGTCTGGTAAGTCCACTGACATTCTAGGAACAGTTCACATGATAGTTCTGACTATGCCATGTCTGGTAAGTCCACTGACATTCTAGGAACAGTTCACATGATAGTTCTGACTATGCCATGTCTGGTAAGTCCACTGACATTCTAGGAACAGTTCACATGATAGTTCTGACTATGCCATGTCTGGTAAGTCCACTGACATTCTAGGAACAGTTCACATGATAGTTCTGACTATGCCATGTCTGGTAAGTTCACTGACATTCTAGGAACAGCTCACATGATAGTTCTGACTATGCCATGTCTGGTAAGTCCACTGACATTCTAGGAACAGCTCACATGATAGTTCTGACTATGCCATGTCTGGTAAGTCCACTGACATTCTAGGAACATGATAGTACTGACTGCCATGTCTGGTAAGTCCACTGACATTCTAGGAACATGATAGTTCTGACTATGCCATGTCTGGTAAGTCCACTGACATTCTAGGAACAGCTCACTTGATAGTTCTGACTATGCCATGTCTTGTAAGTCCACTGACATTCTAGGAACAGCTCACATGATAGTTCTGACTCTGCCATGTCTGGTAAGTCTACTGACATTCTAGGAACAGCTCACTTGATAGTTCTGACTATGCCATGTCTGGTAAGTCCACTGACATTCTAGGAACAGCTCACATGATAGTTCTGACTGCCATGTCTGGTAAGTCCACTGACATTCTAGGAACATGATAGTTCTGACTATGCCATGTCTGGTAAGTCCACTGACATTCTAGGAACATGATAGTTCTGACTATGCCATGTCTGGTAAGTCCACTGACATTCTAGGAACAGCTCACATGATAGTTCTGACTATGCCATGTCTGGTAAGTCCACTGACATTCTAGGAACAGCTCACATGATAGTTCTGACTATGCCATGTCTGGTAAGTCCACTGACATTCTAGGAACAGCTCACATGATAGTTCTGACTATGCCATGTCTGGTAAGTCCACTGACATTCTGGGAACAGCTCACATGATAGTTCTGACTATGCCATGTCTGGTAAGTCCACTGACATTCTAGGAACAGCTCACATGATAGTTCTGACTATGCCATGTCTGGTAAGTCCACTGACATTCTAGGAACAGCTCACATGATAGTTCTGACTATGCCATGTCTGGTAAGTTCACTGGCAACATTCTAGGAACAGCTCACTTGATAGTTCTGACTATGCCATGTCTGGTAAGTCCACTGACATTCTAGGAACAGTTCACATGATAGTTCTGACTATGCCATGTCTGGTAAGTCCACTGACATTCTAGGAACAGCTCACTTGATAGTTCTGACTATGCCATGTCTGGTAAGTCCACTGACATTCTAGGAACAGCTCACATGATAGTTCTGACTATGCCATGTCTGGTAAGTTCACTGGCAACATTCTAGGAACAGCTCACTTGATAGTTCTGACTATGCCATGTCTGGTAAGTCCACTGGCACCATGCAGTGGCACCATACAGTGTCGTCATGTCTAGTAAATTGACTGACAACATAAGTGTCGTCATGTCTAGTCAGTTGACTGACAACATACAGTGTCGTCATGTCTAGTAAGTTGACTGACAACATAAGTGTCATCATGTCTAGTAAGTTGACTGACAACATAAGTGTCGTCATGTCTAGTAAGTTGACTGACAACATACAGTCTTGTCATGTCTAGTAAGTTGACTGACAACATACAGTGTCGTCATGTCTGGTGAGTTAGATGACAACTTCCGTTGTTCAATTGTGTTATGTGAAAGACTCACTACATTGCTTATCCATTAAAGCACTCGTCACCATCTTTTAAAATTCAATTTTTTTTTTTCATTTAATTTCAGCTGCCAGTGTAAAATCATGGGCAAGTCATAGTCAGGTACTCATTTCTTTTCATTTCTTTTCTTAAAAACAGTTTTTTATAAAAAAAAAACATATAAATACATAATAAGCATTAGTTTTCTAAAAGAATCTATAAAATTTATCTCTACCAACCCACTATTCATAGAATATATAAAAAGTTGTATTATTAATTTTGTTTATATATCGAATATATGAGTACCAATGTAAAGTTCTTATTTTTATGTGGATTACTTTTACAGCCACCCCTTCGGAGAGGAGAGCGTGTGGTTGGCAGCATAGATGTTGGCTTAGACGGGAGTATCTACGCCCCCACCTCCCAAACCCCAAACAACAAATATCCCTCCAACATCCCAGCCACTGGCAACATTTCGGTTGAGCTTAGGAAGCAGACGCAGAATACAAAGTACTTGCTGGGTCAAGGTCAGGGTCGACCTGCGCATGAGCAGGGTCGGCAGCTACATGAGGGTGGGAATAATCCTGGGTCAGCCACGAACCTGAGCCAGATCAGCGAGGGCTCGTCGAGTGGATCATCTCAGTACACGCAGCGTGGTGACGCTGTTAGACTAATTAAAGGTGAGCCTATACATAATCTTTTGCACTTTCATAACTTTATTTTTGCTTAACTTATAATTTATATTCACTACTTTTTCCTAGCTTTAAAGTAGCTTGTGAAATTAATTTGTTGTTTTTTTAGTGAAAAATCCTACACCAAATGTGCCAACATAACACTGCTAAGCTTAACCACTGCTAAGCATAACGGATATAAAACATTGAATACAAAATACATTTAAAGAATAGTTTATGGCAAAATTGTGATTAGATTTCTTTAGTTCTACCAGACTAAAAATCCCTAATCTGAAAATGAATTATGGTAATTTTTTGCAAGATAAAAAATTTAGACCAGTTGTCTTAAATTTTAGAATTTAAGTTAGACCAGTTTAGTCTGACGTTGCTGTGATAAAATAAATTTTTTAGACCAATTGTCTGACGTTGTGTCCTCTGTCTCAGATGAAGTGACCCGCAGGAAAGAAGCTCTGGCCTCCACCAGGGCCAACAAGCCTGTGATGAAGAAAGGGCTGACAGAGCCCCCAGTGCATAGTCCCAAAGCTACCAGAAGGTAAGAAAGGGCTGACAGAGCCCCCAGTGCATAGTCCCAAAGCTACCAGAAGGTAAGAAAGGGCTGACAGAGCCCCCAGTGCATAGTCCTAAAGCTACCAGAAGGTAAGAAAGGGCTGACAGAGCCCCCAGTGCATAGTCCCAAAGCTACCAGAAGGTAAGAAAGGGCTGACAGAGCCCCCAGTACATAGTCCCAAAGCTACCAGAAGGTAAGAAAGGGCTAACAGAGCCCCCAGTACATAGTCCCAAAGCTACCAGAAGGTAAGAAAGGGCTGACAAAGCCCCCAGTACATAGTCCCAAAGCTACCAGAAGGTAAGAAAGGGCTGACAGAGCCGCCAGTGCATGGTCCTAAAGCTACTAGAAGGTAGGGAGTTAACTCCGTGCAATCAAAAGTTGGGTTTCTTTTGGGTTTTTTTTTTTTTTTTGTTTTTTTTTTTTTTTTTATATTTCTGTGATTCCCAGAGCTTCTAAAAAGGTTTAGATGTAGTATGTGCTCCATTTAATCTCAAATATAAAATAAATGTTAATGGTTGGTGCTGGTTAACAGCCTAAAACCTTCAAGGTTTACTATAAAAAGTAGTAATCAATTATTTTGTCTTGAGGGTGACAGTTAAAAACAAAAATGTCTTCCACTGTTCTAGAAACCTGTCTGTCTGGTTTAGATGTAGTATGTGCTCCATTTAATCTCAAATATAAAAAAAATATGTTAATGGCTAGTACTGGTTAGCAACCTAAAACAATGATGTTTACTATAAAAAGTAGTAAACAATTCTTTACTCTTGAGGGTGACACTTAAAAACAACAATTTCTTCCACTGTTCTAGAAACCTATCTGGCATGTCCTCGGAGGAGTCCCTGGCCACAAGGTTAAGGCCTGGTGTCACCAGCCAGAAGAGCTCAAGAGACAAAGCCAGAGCAGATTTCCAGGAGGAGCTGATGAGGCTGATTGACCCTGATCTCTCGGAGAATGATCTAGTGGGCTTTAATGTAAGTCTCATTATTTACTTCTTTTTATTCTCATGGCTCGTCAGGACTTTGAACTGGTTTTTACTAATGAACTGGCTTCCATTCAGAGTATTACCTTACTTTTCAGTCAAGGAATCTACCTGTACGTAAACCAGGCAGGCTTCAGAGAACTCTCTCGGATGAAAGTTTGCACAAGTCGGGGAGTAATGACAAGCCACAAGTAGATGACCCCGCTACTCAAAGGTCAGTCAGCAAGTTGTCCATGTTTTTAGAAATAAGTTTTGTTACTTTTGTTTGCCTTTGTTTTTATTATTTTATTTGATGCTATCAATACTACAGTGAATTTTTTAATTTAATTTTTTTTAACCTACTATTAAAATAATGTTATTATTAAAAAAAATTATTATTAAAAAAATAAAATAATTACAAAAACCCAATGTACCGTACAATTCAAAAATGTGTTTTCTCTGTTTATATATGCCATATAATCCAAAGGTGTATTTTCTCTATGTGCTTACATATGCCAAACAGTCCAAACATGTGTTTTGTCTATGTCGTACCTAAAACCAATGCCATACAATCCAAAGATGTGTTTCTCTCTATGTGCTTACATAGGCCATACAACCCAAAAATGTGTTTTCTCTAGGTGCTTACATAAAACAAATCCCATAAATCCAAAGATGTGTTTTGTCTATATGATTACCTAAAACCCATACCATACAATCCAAACCTGAGTTTTGTCTATGTGGTTTCCTAAAACCAATACCATACAATCCAAACATGTGTTTTGTCTATGTGGTTTCCTAAAACCAATACCATACAATCCAAACATGTGTTTTCTCCATGTGATTACAAAAAGCCTATGCCATACATAAATGTGTTATCTCCCCTAGGTTGTCTCCGCGAGCCGTGTCAGACCTAGCCAGTGCCAGACAGAGAAGTAAGTCCACCATGGATAACCGTGTGCCTTTGTTAGAGTCTGCAGCAGCTTTGGACTGGTCTAAACTAGTTAATGTTGCATCCAAGGCTATTGATGGTTAGAAATTTTCAGCTTTAGAAAACAATTTTTTCTTCATTCTTTTATTTTAGAGCTAGTTTTATTCAGTATCCCTGTTATAAGCAGCTGTTTATTACATTCTATCTTTTTTTTTAACTGCTGTCCACTGTAGAGAAATAGAAGACAGGAGGTCATGTTCTTACAAATAAGTATTTGGGAAAAAATATCATAATATAAAAAAATCAATTAAAAAATACTTTATTTTTTTTATTTTAACAAATGCTTATTTTTTCTTATATTTTACATATTATTTTGTCTTTTTTTAACCTTTTTTTTAACATCTCCTTTTATTGACCTTTTTGTCTCCCTACGTTTACCTTTAAGATTTATCTTTTTACTTACTAGTAGTAGATCCTGTCAGAGGATAGCTTTTGTAATTATTAATTTATGTTAACTTGCTAGTCCAGAAGTTGAACTACTAACTGGAATATATTTATAATGTTAGTTTAAAAAATTTCTCCAGAGACTGACTCAAGACCCAAGCATGGCCAGAAGTCACTAGGGAGTGAGAGGGACGTTGGAGGCCACCATCACGGGGAGGAGATTGATCTACAGGAGGACCACCCCCCGCCACGCCCACCCTCTCCGCAGATGGGTCTCTCAACATCACCTTCAAGGTGGGTTTTTGCAGGAAACTTCCAGCGCTGTGTGTAATATGCAGGGTTCGTACGCAGTCTGGAAAGTCTGGAAAAAGTCTTGAATTTCGAAAAGTGAATTTAAGACTTAAAAAAGTCTGGAAAATCGCTAGTTTTTGGGCAGGATTTTTTAAAAGTCTGGAAAAAGTCTGGAATCTAGTTTTAGAAACAAAACTTCGTAGTCCATATTTTCCAACTTTAAAAATTGCTATTTTAAAGTGAATTTACTCCAATTTTTTTCCCGCGCTTTCGCGCGGGTTACACTGTGTTGTGACGTTTTTTCGCTGGTTCGCAGAAAAAATGCTCATTGGGAGAAGAGGGGAAGGGAGGGAAGAGATATTTTGTGGCACGACTGACCGTGTGAATGTGTTGCAAGTACTTACAATTGTCATTTAATGAAAGAATGATCGCCGTCAGAATTGTTAGGCTCTCGATTTTACCCGCTATTTTTTCATCGTTTGAGTTTGCATGCAGGCAGTCATAACAAAAGTTATGGGAGAGATGTGTGAGTGGTAGTTTAGATATAATGTATCAGTCTGTAAGGCGTCATCCATTTATGAATTACAACAATTTTTTGGATTTTAGACCCCCCCCCCCCCTTTCCCCACTCCCCCCCCCCCTCCCCGCCCTCTGTCCACACGCGTTCACTTACTTTGGATTAATATTAGCATTTATAAGATTAATAAGTCGCAAGGCCTCCTTGGGTTCATACCTGTAATTCTGTTTGCTTCAGCTTAACCAAGAGGTACTATTTTTTATTAAGGAGTCGACCATAAATGACGTCACACTCCGGAAAGTCGGGAGGAGGGTTTTATAATAATGTTAGGGCAGATATAAATACCGTGTTTTGTTTACATGCTGTGATGGTTTTTAAAACACTAACACAGTCGTCTTAATTTTACTTTCTACTCACAAGATACAAGTTTTATGTTTGTTTTAGAATGTAATCACAAAATCTTCTGACCCCTTCCCCCCTCCATGTGTACGTCATAAATGGATGACCCCTTTAATTTTAATTCACCTTCCATTAAACTGTTTTTTGAAATCTTTGCAAATGCTGACGATTAAAGTTAGACTACCCCGCCCCTCCTTGTAACATCGGTCCTTTGTGTGAACTCACCGTGACCCCAAGTGCGTAGTTGGTACCGCTTGGTAAGTAAGGTGGGGGAGGGGGTATAAGTCACAGCACAGTTCCTGTTATGACGTATTAAACAGGCATACTGAAGTCTAGACTACTATGACCTCACAGTGACCCCTTCACCGTGTCGTGTATGTGGGGGGGGGGGGGGAAGAAGGATACCGGCAACTTTTTTTTTTTTAAATTGCAGACCCGTTTCTCAGCTATTACTATAAGCACAAACAGTGAATGATTTTTTTTTTTTTTTGCTCTACATTTTTTTTTACAAGTAACCTATATTTATTTAGGCTACTTAACAAGAGCAGACCTAAATTAATACATTACATTATTATTCTTTATAGTAATTAACTCTCACTATTATGCAATACCATTTTAATGATAGTTTAATTGAAAACATAAGCAATTAGATCAGGAACAGATTACATAAGTCTAATGTTGGAAACAAAATAGTTGCATCATTTTAATCAATTATTTTAATTGTTAAAATTTTAGGTAGGGTGGAGTAGGCAAACTTAGAAAAAATGTTTTTTTGTCAATTTGGCTAGAGAAAGTTCACTGTGAATATAGCCTAAAATAAATGTCAATTTAGTATAAGTAATTATAATGACAGTACAAATAGTGCATCATTTTAAAAAATTATTCGCTAACACATTATCTGTCTAAAGTCTGGAATTTTTCCAAAAAAGTCTGGAAAATGTCTGGAAAAAGTCTGGAATTTCATTTTCAAAAAGCAGTACGAACCCTGAATATGAGGAGGTTACCCGAGTCACCTTTTCCTGTGTTGCATTTATGCCCTGAGTCTACCTAGCTATGTTGGGTACCTGACTTCATTAATCTCTTTTATAATGAACCTCCATACCCATCATTCCCCTCCACAATATCCCCCTTCCCACAATATCCCCCCACCCCTCCACAATATCCATCCCTTCCCACAATATCCCCCCCATTCCCACAATATCCCCCCACCCCTCCACAACATCCCCAAAACTCACCAAGTCCCCCATGCTAAAGTGACTTCTCTGTGTCTAGCATGAGCAGCTCCTCCCTCCTCAATATCATATCCTCCCCATAATACCCCCCCCAACCCACCATATCCCCTCATGTTAATGTATGTACTCTATGTTTTTCTAGCATGAGAAGCTTCCCCCCCCCCACCTTACCATAATCCCCCCCCCAACCCACCATATCCCCTCATGTTAATTTACATACTTTATGTTTTTCTAGCATGAGCAGCTCCCCCCTCCCGCAACCCACCATATCCCACCCCAACCCACCATATCCCCCCATGCTAATGTGAGTACTCTATGTTTGTCCAGCATGAGCAGCTCGTATGTGTCAGGTGTGACCAACCCACAGCAGCGTATCCTGGAGCTGGAGCAGCGGGTCAACAAGTTGTCCCAGGAGCTGGATAAGGTGAGAGGTAAACGGGTTCATAAGTACTCGCTTTTTTTTATTTACCCACGCTGGAACATAGGCCACATTTTTCACCCTTTTTTTATTTTCAATCAAAACTTTGGTTTTTTTCTTTTACTATCTCAGCTTTTTTTAATATTGAATTTGTGATTAGTTCAGCTTTTTTACTCTTCGGGGCAGGTGTTTGGTCTGGCTTATTAATTTAACTCAACAGTTTTTATGGTAGAGCCATTTGATGATGCTCTTTCTGGGAATAAAGAGCCATATGGACTTTTTATCAAGAGAAAATGTTCTTTCTACAAATGAAGAAATTTGCTGGATTAAAATTCTCTTTATAACAACTGATATTGGTTTTTTTTTTTTTCATGCAATTTCTAATTACTTGAAAATGTTTTTGTACCTTGTTTTAGTACTAAAAACCTGTAACTAAACAAAGGTTAATATTTGTCAATTAAGAGCAGCAGTTTTCTATTCTGCTGTTTACATTTTACTTGGATTGTGCATTTCAGTTTTATCCTGGGTAGTGTTTTTTTTTGTGTGGTGTTGTTAGGTACAGGATATTTATTTATAATTTTTTCTCTCATTACTCTGTCTTATACTTTTGATCAACCCATGTTCTTTAATCAAAACACTTTGGTATTTCTGCCATGGATTATTTTTACTTTAACTAACAAAGCTAGTTTTGCTTTACTAAAACGAATAAAGCATATTTTTTTTATTTTACTCATTACCTTTTAGTGTAATTTTAAAATTCAGTTTTATTTTTAACTTTTTATTATTTTTATTCAATCTAAAGTTACCAAAATCTATTTTTGTAAGGTCAATACATTTTCATACTGCAGAATTTTAAATAAAAAATTCATAATCTTTAAATCAAACAAGTTTTTTTTTCTAATTCAGATCAATAATACTGCAAAATCAATAGCTAGTGCTTAAAAATAAAATTAACTGCTTCAAAGAAAGAAAAAAAATTCTTTCTTTGAAGCTTATGGTCTGAGTTGACGAGCTCTGTATTTTTACTCCTCATCACATAGTTTTCTTCTCAAACTTTCTTCCCCCTAGACCCGCCACGAAAAAGCCGAGCTGGAGCTAGAAATCCAGGACCTGAGGGCAGACAACGTCAGGCTGCAGGAAGAATCTCAGACAGCCGCCACGCAGCTGCGCCGGTTCACAGAGTGGTTCTTCAACACGATAGATCGCCAGTGAACAAAACCTATCTTTGAATGTGTCAATAAACTATACTTGAGATGTTGCCAGTATATGGAGCTTTATTGGCGATGTTGCCAGTATATGGAGTTTTATTGGCATGAACAAACTATACTTATCTTAAGATATTGCCAGTATATGGAGCTTTATTGGCATAAACAAACTATACCTATCTTAAGATATTGCCAGTATATGGAGCTTTATTGGCATAAACAAACTATACCTATCTTGAGATATTGTCAGTAAAGGAGTTTTATTGGCATAAACAAACTATACCTATCTTAAGATATTGCCAGTATATGGAGTTTTATTGGCATAAACAAACTATACTTGAGATGTTGCCAGTATATGGAGTTTTATTGGCATAAACAAACTATACCTATCTTAAGATACTGCCAGTATATGGAGCTTTATTGGCATAAACAAACTATACCTATCTTAAGATATTGCCAGAAACAAAAGCTTAATTGGCATGAACAGATTTAACCTATCTTCAGGTGTATACTATAAACATCTTTGTACCCTTGTATCAAGACGTGGCCTTAGGCATTGTGTTATTTCAGTTCCTTGAAAAAAAGGTTCTGAGTTTGGTATTTATTATAGTAAAATGTATTGATTATCCTTAGGCTCATTCTTATAGATATTTGTGTAATGCATTGTATAGACTTAAACTACATACTAAATTCATTCATTTATAACTTTTTTTTTTTAATTTTTATTTAAGTTATTGTTAGGATAAGATCAAAATACACAATGTAATTTATAAGAAAGTTTCCTGAATATAATCTGCTGTTAAAATGTTATTGTTACAGATAAGCTATTAAAAAATAGTTGATAAACAAAATAAAGTTGACACAAAGTGGTTGTAACTTCTATGTAAAATAAATCTAGTTTACTTTTAATTTTCCTTAAAATAAATTATTGATTTAAATAATATATTTATATTAATGAAATGTTTGTGATGTGAACAAGGTATGAAATAATTTTATTTGCTGAATTAGATTTGTATTGTATCTAGCCTTTTATATTGCCAGTCATGAATTATTTTCAATGAGACAAGGTTGTTACTTGGTTGTAGTGAATTTATAAAACAAGGTTGTTGATTGGTTGTAGTAAATTTAATTAAAAAAACAAGGTTGTTGATTGGTTGTAGTGAAACCAATCTTATGCATCTTGACATGGTTATTTATCCTTAGCATCTAGGCAGCAATGCAGTTCACATTGTTGTTAACTTTTTTCACACGTTTTATTTTTCTCTGGTTTGGTTTTTTTTTTTACTGTTACACTGTTGTGATTGTCTGAGTGACAAAAACATGTCGATAAAAAAAAACTGACTGCTGAGTTTATTAAATATTGTCAATGTTCTTTCTTTGATATTGTGACTTACAACACAGACTTGTGCTGTAAGTGGGCTAATTGTTGATTCAATTAGCTCATTTCTTTTTTATACTTTGTTTTTGTACAGAGAAAAAAAGGTTTATTTTTCAATTTATAATACTTTAATTTGAGGCACCTTGCAATGTTAAAACAATTGTATGTTGTGGCAGGAACTAAGGTACTAAGTTAAATGGAATCTCTTTATTAGTCTTTCTTTAACCATTACCTTTAGTCCTGGTGTAATTAGGTTGATTAAATTCTTAGCGTGGATTTAAACGTGACAATGTTTCCAGGTTGTGGTATGTCGCAGATCTTTCAATTATTTTTTTTTACACTTCTTTTTTTTTTTCTTGACTGCTGATTTTTTTTTTCTCTGCTTTAGTTGAAAAATTTGTTTTACAATTCAGAAATCTGCTAGCATTATTGTTTTTCTTTCTACTGCTTAACACAAAAGCACCAAAGATATATTTTTAATTATTTATTTTTTTCCAAGACAAAATAAAATGCTCTTTAAAATTAAATTAAAATTTACAATACTTGTTCATGACAAAGGTAATTATAATGTTAAAATTGAATGGGATGCAGTCTTCATTTAATTCTTGATAAGTATAAAGAATGACAGCACATAAATATTACTCATATAATTTTAAGAACATTCATTTATCAGACCACAAGCAACATGGCCTAGCACAGAAATCTTAATTTGATGTCAATGTTGTTGAATACCAACCATATAGAATCCAAATAATGAACTAGTTATACACACAGATTTAATTTCCCGTAAAAACCATGTCACTCTATATTTATAATACAGTTCTTTCTCTTAGCGATTTGTGATTTTCAACTGTAGACAGAGGACTAACTTTTTCTTTGTTCCAGAAAAATCTTATTTTTGCACAGAATATTTTGACTTCTTAAAATTGTGTATTAGGTTTATGGTTACAATAATAAATCCTAAAAATTTATAATTTCCATCTGGAAAATATTTTTGTTCCTGAATGCAAAAAAAAATGTCCTATTTTATTTTTAAAATGGTCATTTAGATCTTTGTGTAGGTTTAAGCTCTGATTTCTATTCTTTAGTTTGTATCTAATATAACTAAATTGAAACACTTTTCTTTTTACATAAGTATTCTATGAACAGTGCTTGCTTCCAACTTGCCCAGTTAGATAAACCTTGTCCATTATACACCTCTCTTTGTACTGTTTGAGAAAAACAGCTTTTCCAATTAATTTTTTTTTGTTCTGACACAATGTTTTCCTGTCTGTAAGAAAATGTACGATAGCCATAAAAAACAAACTGGTATATTTTTGCAGTAGGATGAGCTCATGGATAGTTTATTTTTGCATGAAAAAATTAAAATCTCCACATGTTAATATGTAAAGACAATATATTCTTCATACCTGTTTAGAATGAGACAGCCTTAAATATTTTTATTGACTGAAGAAATCTTATAAACATTTCACATTAATATTACTATAATAAGATGCATGTAAATTAAAAAATGATTTAAACAATAAAATTAAACCAGTGTCGGGTTATCTACAGCTTTTCCCCCATTTCATGACCATAATTTCTGTTGATTTTATTATTCAATCGTACTCCAATAATGGAAAAAGTTTGTAAGAATTTCTACATATAACCAGCATCGCAAGTTATTTTGCTGTTGTGGTTAACTCGATTTGCTATGCCGTATATAGAGCCATCTCTAATCTGCAATAAAGTGTACAATAAGTTTCAACTTATAGAAAATACATGCTCTGGTTTATTTTTGTTTAAACATGTCCAGTTCTGTCAATAATTTCAGTTGTGTTATCTTGTCTCTCTATGCATGATCAGTGTGAATCTTTTATGTTGTTAATGAATATATATATCAAGCACTAGTCACATGTTTGTATTGTGCATTTAATAGGTACTCCCTGGGTACTGTGTAAATATTCAAGTCAGCTCTTCAATTAAGAAAATGGGGAAAAAAATTGTTATAAATTACAACAGCAAAATTCTGAATTGCAATATTATGTTAAGTTGTATATCAGTGTGTGAATATTTAATGTATATTGTGTTTGTATGGAAACATGTTTTGATTTATAAATGCATTGAATCTTGTGAACATAATACCTCATTCAGTACAAATGCTAGTTCCATTTTCCTTTATTTTTGTATTTGAAAGATATTTTAAGGTTTTTCTTGCTGTGTCTGCATTTGTGTGTTTGATCCCCATTTTACTGAACAAAAAAAAATTAATTAGAAATCATTTAATTGATTTTTATTTTTTTAAATTAGCAACTATGTTGTATTAATTAAAAATGTGTGAAGTTTAATCATTATTTAAAACGTCTAGGAAAGTAAAAAAAATTTGTTTTGTGATCAATTCATTCATGCTGCAGCCAACAAATTAGGTAAAAAGATTTGTAGTTCAAGTCAAGGTCACAAAAGAGACCACTTTTATTTTAATTTTTTTACTTTTGGATTATAAAACCTGAAGTTTGTATGAAAGTTTGCTGTGTATATACAGTAGCTGTATAGAGGATCTTTCTGATCTTTACAAATGTATATTTTACTTGTACATTCATTCTCTAAATCTATCAGTAAACCATTTTCACCTAGAATTGAGTTCAGTTGGAGTTTGTTTTTTTTTATTTGCAATTGTTAAACATTATTTCTCTTACATAGATAGCATCAAGTAGGTTATTTAACCATAGAATAATAATAAAAGGAAACAAACACAAAATGAGTGATCTTAGACCTCACTTATTCCAACTTTTTTATTACTAATACAATTCTACAACAGTTTTGAAAAAGACTAGTTCAATAGTAAATGAGTCATTTTAAACTTGTTTATTTACGTAAAAATGTCATTAACAACTAATGTATAGTTTTTCAAAGACAGACAGAAACACCACATTTCAAGTTTATAGGAAGATTGTGAACTTATTTACAGGAATAAGAGGCCATGCAAACAATAGAGCAAAGGACAAAGGGCTTAGTTAAATAATAATACTAGTTTTCATAAATTTTATCTATAAAAGTAATCATACACTGCGGTAAATATAAACATCTTGTATAAAACATAACTCGTCAAAAGTAAATCAAATTAATTATCCTCATTTTTTCATCACAGTATAGAACACACATACTTTGCTACTTTTAACTTAAAATTATGACAGTGGGTTTTTAAATTACGAGAAAGTTATATTCATTTTTAGGAAAAGGTTTGTGGAAAATGCAAATTGTAAATCTCATCAAGTAAAGCTAGGAGCAGAGTACTTTCACACAAGTAACAGAAATTATGGCTTTGTAATTTTATGAATTTACTTTTTTAACCAAAGTTCTCTTATTTTAATAATTTTATCAGAAACTATCATTTACAATTTAAGTTATCACTAACTTGAAACAAAAAAAAAATAGCCTTGATAGTCATCTTGCAGACAGCAGCTGTTTTTTTTTTAGGGTAAGACTAAACATTTACTTTCAGTCATTTTGTTTTTTAAAATTCAAAAGAAATTAGCGATAAGTTGTTTTGAACAGCAGCTTCAGTTTTTTTGAGTTCATAGATCCTCATTTTTTCATCACAGTATAGAACACACATACTTTGCTACTTTTAACTTAAAATTATGACAGTGGGTTTTTAAATTACGAGAAAGTTATATTCATTTTTAGGAAAAGGTTTGTGGAAAATGCAAATTGTAAATCTCATCAAGTAAAGCTAGGAGCAGAGTACTTTCACACAAGTAACAGAAATTATGGCTTTGTAATTTTATGAATTTACTTTTTTAACCAAAGTTCTCTTATTTTAATAATTTTATCAGAAACTATCATTTACAATTTAAGTTATCACTAACTTGAAACAAAAAAAAAATAGCCTTGATAGTCATCTTGCAGACAGCAGCTGTTTTTTTTTTAGGGTAAGACTAAACATTTACTTTCAGTCATTTTGTTTTTTAAAATTCAAAAGAAATTAGCGATAAGTTGTTTTGAACAGCAGCTTCAGTTTTTTTGAGTTCATAGATCATACAACAATCTCTTCAAAGAATAAGTTTTAAAAGTTCTCTATAAGTTGATTTCACATTCCATTCTGCTCTTCAATTTTACGCATTTTTAAAGGAAGAAGAGTCACCATTTCCCGACAAATATTTAGCTCACTAGTGACAAGATCCTGAGCTGAAGGGTTTGTCTCACAGTAAGTTTTAACAAAGCTGTAACACTCCAAGCTTTTCGCCAAACATGAAAGCCTCTGTGATGTGTCAGGCTCCAGAAACTTGGAGTACAACCTCCCCATGCAGAAGAATGCAACCAGTGCGGGGCGCACATCACCCTCAGGAAACTCTGAAGGTAACTCTGGTTTCCCACCTTTTAATGAATCGATGTATGCTTGGTACTTATCAATACTTTGCTGCACAAGTTTATTGATTTTACTGGTACTGTAGGCTGTAGCTCTGGTCCTTTCCATTTCAATTTGAGTCACTTTCAAATCCACCATTTCACTGAAGGTTTCTGCCATCTCAAACATGAGCTGCCGGCACACTAACAGATAATGCTGGGGGTTCAGTTCTTTCAGCAAATCTGAAAGCATGTCAATTCTTCGCTTGTGCATTCTGCACTGTCTGCTCATGTCAAGTTCAAAGAAGGCTAAGAGCTTGAACGCGCGACTGTGGTCTTGAGTAATCTCTACAGCATCACTTGCGTGCGAGTCTAAAGAGTAAAACGCCTTAGCATTCTTTATTTTGTCAACTACAAATAAAAATATTTTCCTCGCTTCATCAAATGTCCTTACAAATTTGTCGGTCACACGTTCCTCGTACGCAGTGAGCTCCAGCTGAAACTCTTGAAAAATTTTGTCAGACCAAGATCCAGATGCATTTCCATTAACATCAGAATTTTCTGTTTTTTTGTCAGCATTATGGTCACATGGTTTTGAAGTGCCTGATGGTCCTTCTTCTGCATCATCACGATCTTCAATTTCACTCATCATTTTATCTCTTGAACTTTCTAAAATACCCAGTCCATATTTTATCCAGCATCGTTCAATATCTGCTTCTCTTTGGCATTGAAGCTCCAACTCTTGTTCTGAAAGTTCTTCTGGATTTTTCTTAGAACTTTCAAATATTAATGTACCACTAGCTAAACAGTGTCTTGCTTCAGTAAACTTTTCATTTGACAAATAATACTGCGACAGGGTCGCTGCGTTTAGTCCCCAATCAACAGGGTTAAAATCACCACTTTGAAGCTGTCTTTGCAGAGTCAGGTGACAGTATTTAGCAGACAGGGAATTTTTCTCCAATTTTGCATACACTTGGGCTAGGTAGTACAGAGTATGTGTGTGAATGCTTTCAAAAGCTTGACACCTTTGGCGAGCTCTTTCACTCTCATCTCCTTCGTACTGTTCAAGAAGCTCTATAAATGCCAAAGGAGCATCCCCTATATTTTTTTTGTAACTTTCATAAAGACTTTCTGCAAGTACTAAATATTCTAATGACTTTTCCAGATCTCGCCTTTCACTCCATAAAATACCCAAATAATTTAAAATATTGATATGAAGACTAACAGCATCATTTAATTCATGCTCTGTAATGCGTTTTAAACATGACATTAGGTAATCTTCGCCTTCTGCTAATTCTTCAGTGTCCATATAATTTAGACCTATTGCTTGTTCTATACAAATCGAAAGTGTGAGCAAACTTTTGTGATCTACTCCCTCTGCAGGAACATCATTCAATTTATCTTTCACCTTATTGCAGATTTCTTTATATATTTCCCTAGCTTTGTATTTTGACCTATATGGTTCCTCTTCTGGGTCATTCTTTGATTCTTCATCTGATAAATATTTAGCTTTCTTGTAAAGATCGACCACTTCGTCTCCAAGGAATCTTCCTAACACAGCCATGATGGTTACTGCTGTGCCTTGACTGTATCAAGCAGTTAAAAATGACACTGAACTATTTTAGTTCGACTATTTTAACTGATAAATTATATTGTTTTAATTATCTTAATTTTTCAAATAACGTGATTAATTGTTTTTGTTTATTTTTTTATGAATCTGATTTAATCTAGATCTAATAAAAAACAAAATGAAAACTGCGGTGCTGTTATCTATTCCATATCCGGATTGTTGTTTACATTGCCTACAGATGTGACAACTCATTGAACTGTTTTTACTTAGGCTAGATAAAACAAATTTAAGAGATTCTTAATAGTTTTAAAAACAAAACGACTAACGAAGACAAATATATAGACTTAGAAGACAGATCTATCTAGTATTTTTAATGGACCGTTCGCTCTGGGATATTGCTATCGAGCAAGCAAGTCGTAGCAAAGGTGAATTTTTTGTGGTGAATGGAGGCGAGCGAGTTGACGAGATTCCTTCCATAATGTTGTTGTCATGGAATAAAAACGTGTTTTTTTAGATTTAGACCTTAAAAAAAATAAAAAATAAAAACTTAAGCCTAAAATTAATTTAGAAATTTTATATTCTTAGAATAAATGCTATAAAAGTTGCAAATCCAGAGAACTTGAAAATAATTTGTTGAGTTTAAGGCTACATTTCTATTTATTTTCATCAAGCCTAAGTTATAACCGGATGTTTCACTTTCGTAAGACAAATATTGATTGGATGTACAGTAACTTAGTGATCGATAACTATTTGTTTACAAAACTTTGCAGATCAAGTTTTTAAATAACAATGCAAATTTAAAACCCCATTACCTAGTTTTCTTTTAGCTTACAATGTGTACAATAAAATCTATGGCAGCCTATCCAATAGCAGGATGCCATGTTTATGTCGCCATTACACGTGAAAACCAAATTGTTTTTGCTTTTTTTTTAATTTTTATTTAGTTACCGAAAATATTATAAACATCAAATACATCCAATCTTTAGTAAAGTCCGAAAAAAACCAGACAGGCAGGATTTTATAACCATATTAATTGTAAATACGCTGTGCATGATTTTTTAATGAATTTATACACCTCTCAAATACCTTTGAGACTTTTCTCGCTGGTGTCCATTAGTAAATGTACAGTAAATTAATATTATCGTTTTAGGTACGTAAAATCGCCCGCGGCTAGTAATGTCCGAAAAAGTTACCTCGTTGCCAAGGCTTTAATAGAAGTAAATGGTAATATATTTGTGTCAAATACTACAGATAGGCCTAAATGAATACTAAACCTAAATCAATGGCTAAATAAAATATATTATATACATCAATATTCATATAGACCAGAAAGTAACTATTAACAGCAGTGTTTGCGACCAAGATTTGCTATATAAACAGCAGCCATTTGTAAGATAGAGTGGCTTCCCCTGAATCTAGCGCTATAAGTTTAAAAAAATAAATAAATAATGTAAATGAGCATGGTTGCATCTGCTGGAAACATCGCTAGTCTTCATTTATTACTGAAAAGTTTTAATCCAATTGTTTACAAACAGGTACATAAATGAAACAAGGAAACATTTTTGTATTTTTCAAAACATAGATCCTCCTCAAATTGTGAAATAATTATTAAGATTTAAGGAGTCACCTGTTTTTCACATTACTAGTCGCGGGAGATTTTATGTACCTGAAACGATAGATTACCAATTTTTTTTTAAAGCAAGCCTTAAAAAATGTACTAAAAACTAATGCCTATTGCTAATATTAAGTTATATACTAATAAAAAATTTGAGAACTTCGGCTAAATTATTTAATCTAGAATCTGGCCTATAAAATTTATACTGATTACAATCATGACTTTACTTTAATTATTAAATTAAATCCTACTAAAAGTGGGTGCAGAGTAGGGTGAAGGCCTAATCCTAGTATCTATGTAGTATGTTCTCAATAATTATAAATATGTTGAGTGACATTAATTTTAAATCTTATTCTCACATAGCAAAGTTTTCTAACCAGACCCACAAAAATACTAGATCTAAAAAAATCTAGATGGGCAATATTATTAGTAGAGATTCACATGGCCAGAACAAGTCTAGAAACAAAGTTCTAAACCTAAGAAATACTTTTCTCAAGTTTATGCTTCTAGTTAAATTACTAGTAGTTTGTCTGTTTTGTTATTTGTTAAACTGTGACATTTGTGGTATGCTTTGCTCTGTTAGATTCCATTTTATTCTATAGCTACATTTCTTATATAGTTATATAGTTAGACTAGACACACTAAGTGGCATAGACACACTTTAAAAGTTCAATTAGTTAAGCTTCAACTGTATTCAGGCTAGACTAATTTCTCATTTTTATTATCACACACGTTATATTATTTTTTCAGGAAATGAAAACTCGTTATCTGAATCTGAAGAGTCAACAGTGATTCTTGTTGGCAGTAAAAATTCAGTAAGTTAATTTTGAGGTTCTTGTTGTTTGAATATTTTAGATATATTTTACTAACCTGAGATATTGTATTAAAACCATAGATAAAGTATTAAAGGGTGGATATGTTTCGTTGGGCACACCATCATGTGACTATTGAAATTGATTGACAAGGTGGCACATCATATTTACCGTATCTTAAATATATTTCGTCAGTTTTACTTAATTAATATTTTTTGTATATGCAGGGAAAGACATCAATTTTGCTGCGATATGCTGACAGGTAAATCACATACATGCTTTACAGGTTTTAAAAATAATAACCACCTTTATATTTTCATAGCTTATCTAATTTAAGCCCAGTTGCTATTTAGGGTGTAGTTTAGATTCACTGATTCGCTTAGAGGCCTATATTTTAAAAACTATTTTATAACGAATGTCAACAGATATCTCCACATTACTATGAGGAGACACAAAACTAATTACAAAGAAGTGAATAGTTAGTTAAGTTGTGATACAGATACTTTTTTTTTGCGTTTACCATTTCTTTTAAATATTTATTCTCATATACTACATTCTATAGCTCAGTTTAAAAATCTAAAGTTTAAGAAATGTTTATTTTATTTGTACACAGAGATGAGCCACCAAAGCCTACTGTGGCACTTGAGTACACACATGCCAAAAAACCTAAAGGTGTCACAATTGTAAGATTCTTTTGGTTTTTAAAAAAAAGTTTACCATTAACAGCACTTGTTTCCTTTATGACATTGATTCCTGGTTTATTACTTGTAGGCAAAAGATGTTGGTCACATTTGGGAACTTGGCGGTGGAACTTGGCTGACAAAACTTATAGACATTCCAATCAATCCAAATATACTTTTGTGAGTGAAAAGCTTGTTTTTTTTTTTAATGTCATATTTTTTCATTTATCCTAAATATTAATTCCAAGCAGGTAAATATACACTAAGGTACAATATAGTTTATCATGGCAAATATTGTTCCAGTGGCTCATAGTCTACATATCATACTCAAGATCAGTAACCACAGCAGTTTATTCCCTTCATACTGGTTGTCTGTTTGTTTTTTATAGTCTTCTCAGTTTTGTTGACTGTGTTTACATATTTCTTTTTCAAGCACTAACTACCCAATTTAGAACATATGTAAAAATAGAATTATAAATCATTTTGAGGCTCTGAATGCATCTTGGAAAGATAAGTTATATATTTCCCTGTTTTGTAATTGGAAAACTAAAATAACAACTTAAATTTTTAAAAATGTTAATTCCCTTTTTTTTGTTTGCCTAAACTAAATACGTTTTTTCCCTGTGAAATTTTCATACTGTAATTGTAATAAACCCTCTCTTTGCTGTGACAGGAACACAACTCTGATCTTAGTGCTGGACTTATCTGCTCCTGCTGAGCTGTGGACCACCATGGAAACTCTGTTGAAGGCGGCCGAGTCCAGGGTGAAAGAGGCCATCAGAGAAGCTCAGGCTGTTGACCCTCAGATTGAAAAAAAGCTGAAGAAGAAAGCTATGGAGAGGGTCGGCGAGGATCATCCGGTTAGACTTTTATTTTTACTGCCTATGTTTTTATCTATCATCAATAATTACGATACTAAAGTTACCCTAACAATCCTTGGTGGTGGATGAAGTAGAGTTCATGTTCTTTGACCTCAGCGTATGAAGGGATGGTGTTGTCAGCTGTATGCCCTGCCACCTTTATGTTTGTGCTTGAGATAAATGAGGCAGATGAAGTAGGATAGTGTGGTCTGCATTATGCCTTAGTTTCCCTAATGTGAGCCAGCTGCCCATCAGAGTCGGGCAGACTCAGGGATGTCCTGCAGACACAAGTCCAGACAAAGATCTGCACTCAAGACTTTTGGGCTGAATATGATACTAGTTTTTAGAGTTTTTACATACAATCACACAAACGTTTTATCTTAGAATTTTTTTATATTTTTTATGACAAAGTTTAAATTTAAATCTAGTAATTGTAAAGGATCTACTTTAGTTTGATGCAGAAATGAGAATAAAATATTAATTTTGATAGAATGTCTTTAAATTTAAACTTCATTTAATCCCCATGTCATTTGTATTCTTTATTTACCCATGTTCAGGACAAAGATGAACTAAGGCCATTTCTGTTGCCATTGGTTATCATTGGGAGCAAGTATGACATTTTTCAGGTCAGCACACCTGTCTTATAAATTGTATTTTATCATTTCTGTTTGTGAATGTTAATGTGTGATAGAGCACCATCATGCTATCAAAATATTTTTAAAACAGAAAATATTGATAAACCTAAAGAAATTAACATGTTAATGATGTTTTGAGTTTATATATAATTGTTACTAAATTTACTTACTGCCCTTTCTGTATTGATTCTCATAAATCACAAGTTTTGTAGTGATAATATAATGATTTACTAGGATGCACATTTTTAGCATATAACTTATAATTATTCTCTTTAGGACTTTGATTCAGAAAAGAGAAAGAATATTTGTAAAACTTTAAGATACGTTGCACATGTGTATGGTGCTACACTTCAGGTAATTTATTTTATAACGCTGCTATTGTTTAATTATTTTAAGAAATAACCAAATAAAAAAACAGTATGATTTGAAATGTAAATATATATATATTTTATGCTTTATTTCCTTTAAAAAGTAAAACTTATTTTAACATAGTAACTTAGATGTGTATCTTTTTACATTGTTACTTTATGTAAAATTTCCAACCCATATCAATTATATTATTTTTTTATTTCAAGTTCTTTAGTATCAAACATGATCAGCTGGTCACAAAGCTCAAAAGTCTTTTAACTTATTGTCTTTTTAACAAAGATTTCAGGTTAGTATTTTCTGAATTTTAAATATAAACTGTTTTTAAAGTTCCACTATATTCAAGGTGTTATCAATTCTTCATCAGACATTTTGTCAACAACTGTATAATATGTTTATTTAAGCCAAAGAGTTTATTTATAAATTCTTCCTAAATATTTTGTAGTAATACATATAGTTGATATAGGAATTTATCTTTTCTTCCAGTAAAGCAAATCAGGTGGACCACAACAAACCCATCTTTGTATATCCAGGCCAAGACACTAAAAAACAAATAGGTTGTAAATTACTTTACTAGAAGATTAGTGATAATGTTTACAACAATATTGAAAGTGTGTTGATAACATAGCCACCATATCAATATTATTTAAATGTTTAAAATTTAGGAAGTTACCAACTTTTATAATCCAGTGTTGTATAGATGAGTTGTTCTAACTATTGAAATGCTTTTCATTCCCTAGGTCCACCTCCCTTGTCAGAAAGTGATATCGGAAAATATAAGCCAGAGTATGTGAAATTAGTTCAAATTTGTTTTACTTTCACCTGTTTAAAAACAAGGCATTATGTGTAGGGCCTATAACATTTAATTTAAAAAAACCAGATGTTGCCATGATTGGGGTTAAGGTGTTTTTAAATTTTATTACACAAAGTGTTGTTTTCAGGGGGAAGGGGGGGGGGGGGCTGATGAACTAACTAAACGGTTTGCAAACAGCTTTTTGTGAATTATAAAAACTTGTTGTCTAAAAGTATAACAGCTTATAATAGCATTTAATTTAATAAAACTTTACAGAGATTGAATGTTCAGAATTTTTCATAAATTATTTGAACCTTTGCCTCTTTATCAACCTAAATATTTTCTGGCTTCTCAAGGTAAAATTGTAAACGAATATTTTAGAAATGAAGTGTTACCATTATCATGATAGTTATACACTTTAGATAAAAATATATAACTGCAATATTATCTTCACTACAACCCCCAAGAGCATAAGTGTCACTTCATGTTTCACTTATGTGTACTTATCTACTTTATCTAACAAAAATATGCAGTTATCTATGGACTTCAAATGTCTTTATCAACTTAAGCTATGCTTGAACTGGTTTACCAAGGACTCAAATTCTCATTTTTAAACTTAAAAATTAACTTTGATGAACTTTGATTGAATAAAATGTATTATTTACTTTTAACTCTAATGTTTGTATTTACTTTCAGAGACACGATAAGTTTGTGGAAAAATGCTTTTACTAAATTATTCCCCCAAACTGTAAGCAACACATACTCTATTTGATTATTGTTCAGTTTTTATTTTTAAATAGTTTGTTACTATTAGAGAATAATTTGGGAAATTACAGTTAATATGATGAACTGGCTAAAATAAAAATCCACTCCACTTCAAAAGCTTCAGGCCTTATTAAAATATTATCTGCTTTGTTTAATCAGGATTGTTTTATAAAAAATTTTAAGCCATTGAAAGTTTGTTCCAACTTTTTTTCTAATCACCAAACTGTTCAACTTTTTAGAGTGTAAACAATCCAGCAGCTATTGATGATCCAGGGAAAGATCCACAGTATGCTGAACCTGACATCGACACACTCAGGACACAGAAGGATGAAGTGAGTTTCTTTTTAACCTCATTAGCATCTTTAATATACAAATATACTGTAAAAAATGTGATTGTCATTGCTTTTGTGGTCAACATTAAATTGCTGCAGTTGGGATTTTTAGTCAAATAAATTTAAATGTACTTCATGCATTTTATTTTTGTAATAATGAAGCAAAATCAGAATTTTTTTTTGAATACCAAAGCAATTCATTATGTATTTGCCTGTCACATATAACTATATTAGTGATGGGTCTTGGACATTACCCCTTGTCGATTCTATCAATCCCCCTCCCCTATGATGAAAAACCTTGACCCAAACCCCAAACACAAACCTATACTTAACCCCAACAACAATACTAACCCCCAACTCTAAACGTACATATAACCCTAACATATTACCCTATAACTAGCCCTAACCCTTAACCTGACATCCCTAACTGGGCGAGGAGTAATTGCTCTGGGGGGTAATTTGCAAGGGGGGGGGGGGGGGTAATGTCCTGCTCCCATACTTAATGTACACACTAGTAATGCTATCTGATGTTTAACATAGTCTGTTTAAAATATATTGTTTAGGAGCTTACACACTAGTAATGCTATCTGATGTTTAACATAGTCTGTTTAAAATATATTGTTTAGAAGCTTACACACTAGTAATGCTATTTGATGTTTAACATAGTCTGTTTAAAATATATTGCTTAGGAGCTTGAACGCTAGTAATGCTATTTGATGTTTAACATAGTCTGTTTAAAATATATTGTTTAGAAGCTTACACACTAGTAATGCTATTTGATGTTTAACATAGTCTGTTTAAAATATATTGTTTAGGAGCTTACACGCTAGTAATGCTATCTGATGTTTAACATAGTCTGTTTAAAATATATTGTTTAGGAGCTTGAACGATACAGAAAGCTGGCAGAGAGAAAAGCCAGGGATGTTGAACAAAATGGCTACATCATTGCTTAAAGAACATGCATTCATCACTCAAACATTGTTCCTGTACAACCATCACACACAGAAGCGACAGCAGCAATTAAATGACCCTAAGTATAAAAAATAGATTTTAATCTGCTTTTATTTAAAGCAGGATTGAATGTTTTACCACTTTGTGTTTTTTTTAATCTCCACTATAGATCTCCTACTGTTGCTATTTAAGACATAATTTACTTGTGTTTTTTTACATAGAAAAGTTATTTATTATGAATATAAGAACATTTGGTTAGGATATTAACTATGTTGAAAAATTCCGTCCAGATTTTATTTAAGGTTTTTTTTTCATAGTTGTTAAGCTTGTAATGTAAAGCACACAACTGCCTTGTTGTTAAAGCTTAAAAATCTGTTTTATATTAAATTATTTAATAAAAAATTGTATAAACCAAACCTTGAGTGACTATATTTTTCTAACTAATTATATACTAGCTTGTTTGGTGTTCTATTTTGACATTGAAAAAAAATTGACTTTAGTTGAATGCTTTGGTTGAAATTACAATTTATTTTAAAAAATGTATCATAAAAAAAAATTATATTAAACAATTGTATTTTAAGACAGGGACATTAATTTGATAAAGCACATAAGTTAACAATTGTATTTTAAGACAGAGACATTAATTTGATAAAGCACATAAGTTAACTTTTTTTTTAAATCGACTCATTTGGCTTATATTGCCAAGAAACAATCTAAAAAGCTTACTGATTAAATAAAAAGATGATAAAAACAAAAATTATGCAATATATTATTCCTGCATTAAAATTTTGTTTACAAAAATCACATTTTTAAATTGAGGCCACAAATGGCATTGTGGCTAGGTATGGCTGCAGCTCCTGCTAGAGCTATGCCGATGGAGTCTGAGATAGCAGCCATGCTGATGCAGTATTCCTTCTTGTCTGCTGATACATCATTGGTGATTTTATAGAAGGTGTTTACATAGGCAGCCCCTCCCAGTAGCCCTTCCCACAGAACAATGGCAAAAATTATCCAAATGTTTGGTATGTATCTGTAAAAAATCTGGCATGTTAATAGTGCCAGGTTTACAAACTGTAAAACAGGTAGAACCCAAAGAGCTTTGATGTGAATTAAATTAACTGAAGACCTCGAGATGAAAACTCCAATTTGATAGTCAACCTGGTACCACCTGTACTGCTCACTTTTAGATAGCCATTGTCCATTAAAGTACAACAACTCGTGTAGACCTTGATTTATGAAGTACTCACCAAAGTACACCAAGGTCAAAGGTATCATGTACTTGAACAGGGTTGGGATAAGCCTGACTTTTTCTTTTAAAGTAAGCGTGTACTTTGTAATTTCCGTTGTCTGTTCAATAACAACATCGTTAGAATTCATCCTGTACAGCGTGACAGTTGAGCCTTCAAGCCCTGTCACTGAATTGTCCGAAACCGAGCCCAACTTTTTAAAACTCATTTCTAAATTGTGTTCCTTTTCCTCGGGCTTGTCCAAGATGAAAAGGTAGGCCACCATCATTAGAACAGGGATGACAACCATGATCAGAAGAGAATCTCTGGGGGACAACCCAGCGCTGGTGAAACCTGCGTAGACCAGGGATCCGAATATCCCAGCTCCACCCGTCCCTGACGACCACAGAGATACAACATTCCTGCTGTAAAAAGTGGTCAGGCTAAGAAACGCAATCTCACCCAAACCTGAACTGACACTCGCAAAGACGACTCCCAGAATGCTAAGCCACATGGCATGCGCCAGAGCAACAATTAAAAAACTACTCAGCGCGAAAACTGCCACCAGTGAAATTTTAATGCCGTACGGAATTTTCTCCAGGAAAAATGGAAAAGTAAATTTGACCACAAGAGTTGGCAAAATATCAGCCAACAAAATAGCTCCAGTGCTGACAGTGTTACATTCTAAAAAAGAAGGATCAGTTTCATTTTGTGTTTTATTGACGAGTACAGTGGTGATGTTATGACCAGAACTTTTCTCATCTTCTTTCAAAATGTCGTGAGCTGCACTCAACATGACCACATAAGCAAAATTGTTGCACAGGCCAAAAATCCAAAATGCAACCAAATTCCTCCAGTTTCTTTTTTGGCCATTCTTATCATCCTTTTCTGGTTCTTCTTGCTTGGTTTTAGATGTTGATTTCTCTTCCCCCATGTTGAAATAAACACAAATTTAGTTTCAAATTTTGAAATATGAAATCCTTTTATATCAGAAAACACAATTCTTCCAACAAATACATTGATACTTTTTTTAATCACTTTTATAAAGAGATGTCCAAAAACATTATATAAAAAGGTATACTGTTCTCTCCAGTTTCAATTACTATGTCATTTGTATACTATAGAAAAACATCTATACTAAAATTTCACAAGTGAATGAACTAAAAGTTTATCAAGTGTTGTAACATGAACACACTATTTGGTAATAAGTGAAGTGATCTGATGGATGTGTTGATATCAACTATCTAATGTTTGAACTACTTCTTTAACACATTTTCTCTAAATGACAAGATTAGCTTTATCTTAACTTCTGCTGTGATATTATCTGCATCTTGTTTTATATTAAATTATCTCAAGTTAATGACACTGATAATTGCTTATAAATTCTTGTTACTGTAAGCCCCACAAATAAGTGTGTTGAGAAATGCATGGTTTTTTATCATACATTAGGAGGTGTGCCTTTTTATAAATCTCTGATTAATGCATTTGATGACAAAGTGGCTACAGTTTTAGTTGAAATTACTGAAATATTAATTTTTACAAAAATAAACAAACTTAGAAGCTTAAACAATTTTAAATTATTTTATATTTTTGTAACAAGAAAATTACTTTAAATTTTTAAATTAAATGTAGAAGAAGATTACATTACCATAGCACAAATAAAATGCAGATTGCATGTTTTGTGTCAAGGAGACTCATGCCCTTACTTGAGACTCAGGTTATCAGTCATGACACCCCCCCCCCCCCCCAAATAAGAGAATGGAGAAGTTCTAATATGCAACTGCAGTAGAGCGCTAGGCTGCTAACTCGAAAGTGTAAAGTTCGAATCCAGGTTCAAGTCAGTAGAACGTCCATGAGTTAAACTCTAAACCCAACTATTATGGGTATCTAACTCATATTATTTAATAAAGACGTGGGACATAATACTGACCACACTATTACTTCATATGCAGAGGTCACAGCTACAAGTGAACTCTACCTCACTTGCCCATGGACGGTCAGGTTTTACATGTTTTAACACTGCTGGCTTGTAAGGAACACAAATACTTGCTGAATGGGATTTTTTATATGAAGCTCTTGTGTGGACCTAACAGCTCAGAGAAATCTTTGCTTCATTTTTTCTCAATTTACAAGTGTTGAAAATAGTGTTCTTACAGTAAAATAATGGCTAATTAACACAAATCATAAGCATGAGATAAGAATGTCTTACAAAGGTATGTAATTATCACTCTATATGATCACTAGTAGTGTTCAAGTTCTAATAGAAGATAAAGAAAATATTTGGTAAAAAAAAAGTCTTATGGTAGTGAAAGAAAAAAAATACCTATGAGCAAGATAAATGAATCCAAAATCTTTATAACCAAACTACTTGGCCTATATTCAATAAGAGTTATCTTCCCTGAGAAACAGCTCTTTTTTTTTTTTTATTAAAGTTAATCTGCTAGCTAGGGTCACATGGAACAAATTACCTGTATACTTGTCCTGTGAGTGTGTGAGTTTGGGATATTTCTATTTCATTTGTTTCTATATAATGTACCCAGAGTTAGCAGACTGGTCATGGGGCAGGGGGAGCTGCCATTACTGTTTGTTTGGTCATGTGACAAAATTTTAGAAAACAAACTACAACAATTTATCCAACTCAAGATAAGCAATGGGGATGGCGTAGCCCAGAGGTACAGCGCTAGATTGCTAACACAAAAGTCTCGAATTCGAATCCAGGTTCAACCAGTAGGACAAAAACAGATGAACTCTACTTCATCTGCCCCATGTGATTTGTGCACGAACTGGAAAAGATGATGATGTAAGATAAGCAACATAAAAATTACCCACATTCTTTAAGCTTTACTTAGGTCATCATGTCTATCATGTCTGGGTGGGTGTCATTTAAGTTTGTAACTCTACTTGATTGCTCATTAAATCTCTTGACCCATTTTACTTAAAAAAAAAAGAAAGTTTGTGTCCATTTTTTTTATATTTTTAGCGCATTTAAAAGATTAAGATTTTTTTAATGTTTTATTTTTTAACTTTGTTTTATTCAGGAGCAGGTGCGTATGATAATTTGTTGGCAAGGCATATCATTGCACATATGAGCAGTACAGGGACAGCATAAACTGCTAACCAAAGTTCCCTCTTAGGTGGAAAAAGCTAGTGTGCAACTTGTACCTTCTGTGTGCGGTATTCTAAAAGTCTTATACGAGGATATATGTATTTTACAAAGTGGTTTAAAACTACTGTGCGGCCAAGCAACTGCACAGCTTAGAGTGCACATAGATACTAACCCCAAAGTGAAAATGAAATTTTTAAAATGAAAAGGACTGAAATTAAATAATCTACAGCACTCTATAAATTTGAATGAATTACCTTCAGAGAAGCTAAGCAGAGAGAATAAGAATTCAAAATACTAAGTAAACCTACCACTTTTTGTTAATTGTTTTATGTACGAGGCCAATAGTTGTTGTTTTTTTATTTTTAAAAAAACATAAATTAAGTCCACAACAAGAAAAAATTTAAATAAACAGACCATAAGTTAAAACAATGTTAATATATAATCTTTTATATAGCTATCTGACAAATAGAACAGTACCACCAAAGCTTTTAAGTATTTCCATGTGATACAATAAAAATGTAATACAATAAAAATAATTTTACAATAAATTTGTCATAAATATAGTGCTCATAGACTAAAATAATTTCCTTCAACCAAGAAGAAAAATTCATAAGCAGCAATCAGCAGTGCAGACTAAAGATAATACACCATTCAAACTAGATATACATTTATTTTTTTGTTATTAGTAGCCTACACAATTATTAGATGAACTTACTTTTCTCTAAAGCCATTTAACAGTGGCCCATCTCAGTAATTTGTAATAGGTTACTTTCATTTAGAAGGGAGACAACTTACAATAAATTTTTTAAACTCCACTGCTTTTAAAAAATAAATAACAGTAGATTTCAATTCACTGCAGTAATATTTCAGTACATGCTAATGCAGGCTATCTTTATTGTATATAGATTACAAGCCTAATTTTTTTTTTTACCCATTTTAGTTATCATGTCACTGTTATCAAAACAGTGACATCAGGAATAATTTAACCATAAATTTGTCACATGTATAAATAAAGAACACATAGATCAAACAAATTTCTTCCACCAAACAATGTGGGAGAAATAAAAAAAATTTAGCAGCAACATGGTAATTAAAGAAACTATTTGCTTTTTTTTCTACCTTCTTAGTACAGGGGTCGGCTCTTTTGATATCAAGATGCGGCTCTCCAGCTCTTTGAACAAATACTAATAATCTTAATAAAAATATTAAATATTTAAAATAAAAAAAATGTTAGTGGCTCTTTAAAACCAGCGAAATTTTGAAAATTGTAACTTTTGGCTCTTCCGCTTCAAAAGGTTGCCGACCCCTGTCTTAGTAGATGACATGGTGATTAGAAATATTTTCATAAGCAACATCAGCACAGTAAATATCAGCATTGCACCACAAAAAATATACAAATATGTTTAAAATTCCAAAATCACCACTCGTAACTATGTTGTGATCTGTTGTAGTAGTTACATAAGACCCAAATGTAATCTAAAACTATATTACAGCACTGATCATGGTTAAATCAAAATAATTAGGAAGATACAGAACTCTTTAATAAAAAGTTTAATTTTTTTTTTAAATATTAGAGGTGCTGTCTTGATAGATCATCAGTAGCATGAATAATAAATATGGGCAGATCTTTAAACTCAATAGACACTACTAAAACATGTTAAAAATATTTTCAAAGTAAGACAAGATTGTCTTTTAGTGGTGTATTCAAGAAAGTTTTGGAAGTATAAATATTCTCTTAAAATGCTACATATTACCTCATATTTTGTAACACTAAGTAGTAGTGAATTCAAGAAAGTTTTGGAAATATAAATATTCTCTTAAAATGCTACATATTACCTCAAATTTTGTAACATTAAAGGTTACAATAACTACAAGTCAGAGCTGGTACACAAACAATGGAACATTAACTATTAGGCTTGAGGAAAATAGTGAGGTAATATTATATTTTTCTAAAAATTTCTTACATCTTCAGATGTAAATTACAAATGGAATTATGGGAAGGAATGGCTGCAACCCCAGCTAGAGCTATGCCAACGGAGTCGCCCAGACAAGCAACACCAATACAGTACTCCCTCTTGTCTGCTGGTACCTCATTGGTCATTCTAAAAAATGTATTGACATAAGCAGCACCACCCAACAATCCTTCCCATAATACTATCACAAAAACAATCCAGATATTTGGAATGAATCTGTAAAAAACCTGGCACGTCAACAGTGCCAGGTTTACAAACTGTAAAATAGGTAAAACCCATAGAGCTTTAATGTGAATTAAATTAACTGAAGACCTTGAGATGAAAACTCCAATTTGATAGTCAACCTGGTACCACCTGTACTGCTCACTTTTAGATAGCCATTGTCCATTAAAGTACAACAACTCATGTAGACCTTGATTGATAAAGTACTCACCAAAGTACACCAAGGTCAAAGGTATCATGTACTTGAAGAGAGACGGAATCAGCTTCAGCTTCTGTTTAAACGACAAAGCCACCTTCTTTTGTTTTTCTTCCTCTAACAACAAAGTAGAATCATCCACTTTTTTCTCCTTCTGCACAGACTTAGTCAGGATGGCAAAGTACGAAATCATCATAAGCACAGGTATGACAATCATGATCAACAGAGAATTCCTCGGTGACAAGCCGGCACTCGTAAACCCTGCGTAAACAAGCGCCCCAAAAACTCCAGCACCGCCTGTGCCAGACGACCACATGGAAACCACATTCCTGTTGTAAAACGTCGTCAGACTCAGGAATGTGATTTCTCCTAAACCAGCGCCAATGCTAGCGCACACAACCCCTAAAATGCTCAGCCAAACTTCATGCGCCAGTGCCACTATTAAAAAACTACTCAAGGCGAATCCTGAGATAAGAGAAATTTTAACACCATATGGAATTTTTTCCAAGAAAAATGGAAAAGTCAGTTTAACGAGAAGTGTTGGTAGAATATCTGCTAACAGAATCGCACCAGTGCTGACTGTATTGCATTGTAAATACGACAAATCTGGGGATTCTGTTGTGGTCGAAAAGCTAGATGAGTTGGTACTATTGGAAGATGGACCTTCCTCTTCTTTTAAAATATCATGTGCGGCACTCAACATAACAACGTAGGCAAAATTGTTACACAAGCCAAATATCCAGAAGGCGGCCAAATTTCTTCTGTTAGCAATTTTTTCAGCATTTCTGGCAATTAAATCTTGATAATCCTCACTTCCAACTGTATCATCTTCTATTCGCTGCTGTGCCAACATTTTGTCTGTCCAAAAGAAACATAAATGTGTGAGTATATATATATATATATATATATATATATATATATATATATATATATATATATATATATATATATATATATATATATATATATATATATATATATATATATATATATTTAAAGTGAATAGCGGGAGTAATTTGTCATTCTTTTTGTTATATAAAAGGTACACATTATTCTTAAAAACTACATAACTATCCTTACACAATATTTATATTTTATCTTAAAATCTTTGCCTAAATCTCCAACCATGTACTATAAACAAGCAGACGTGGGTAGAAGTACAGAATTCTAAATGAGACTGCAATTCAGTTCTTGATTCCATTAAACACTATTCTGAAATGAAATAAAATTATTTGACTTAAATTTGTTCCTGTAAATTACTAAAAGTAAAACCATATAGGCCCTAACTATTGAGTGGAATTTAATTTTTTGTTACTAGATCTAAATCTATTTTGAAAAGCAATTTATTATTTTAATTTGACTTTTGTGGAGATTCTACTCTACTTGACAAAATGTAGATTTACTAAATATTATTTTGGTTATCTATCATTTTGGGCACGTAAAATAAGCCAAAGCTAGTAATTTATAAGTAATGTGAAAAACAACTGCCTCATTGTTATAGAAGTATATTGTGATATATTATATTTGTGTCAAATATTATAGATAACTGAATAATAAACCAAAATCAATGGCTAAATAATATATATCACTATAGGTCAGAAATTAACTTTAAACACCAGTGTTTGCTAGCAAGATAAGTTATTTAAACAGCTGCCATCTGTAAATTAGAGTAATTTCCCCTAAATCTCCCACTTCAATTTTACCAATAAAAAACTTTAACAAGATAGCTGCTAAAGTAATGAGCTAGGTTGCATCAGATGAAAAAATTGCTAGTCATAATTTATAACTGGAAAGTTTTAATACAATTGTTTACAAACAGATACATGAATGAAACTTTAAAACATTTTTGTAACTTTCAAAACATAAATCTGAAATCCTCCTCAAAATGTGAAATAATTTAATTAGGCCCTACTAAAATTTAATTTAATGAGTCACCTTTTTTTCACATTACTAGTCTCAGCCCATTTTAGTATTTTACGTACCTAGGTAGATTATTTTTATTACCATAATTTTTATTTAAAACTAAACTAGAATCTAGATATCTAGAATCTAGATCTAGATCTAGTTTAGATCTAGCTCTAGTACTAGTACTGTCTAATCTAATTCTAACTATTCTGATTCATTCTGGCTCACTGGAGGTCTCAGTCTCGCTGTTTCAGTGACAGTGTGTGTCACTGTGTGAGACAGTGTGAGTGTTTGAGTTTGGCCACTGTTAAAGTTAAAAGTAGTTAAAACTGTTTGGCGGTTGGTGAGTTTGTGTCGAGGTTCTATGATTCTGGATCTAATAATCTAATTTCTAAATTACACCGAAAACAAGCATACAACTACAACCATAACCCATACAATTTTGATCTAGATCTAGATATCTAGATCTAGGTAAAAATTAATACACTTAATACTAGTGAATACATCGAACAAGGAGAAGAATCCATCTGTTCCTGTTGTGTTCATTACTTTGTTATGATCATGTGATCATTTCTAAAAATAAAAACTTAAAAGTAACAACCAAAAACAGTTATTTGTACCGGAGAGTGGTATAAATAAACAGATTTCGATCTATATTTAGATCTATGTCTAGATCTAGATCTATATCTAAATTAATTATAAGGGACTAAGATAGTTTTAAAAAGTATATAAATTCGTCTATTTGTTTCCTAAAAGTTCGAAAATAATCTAGATCTAGAGAGGAATAGTACTCAGTGGCGTAGCGAGGTCGGGTGTCACCCGGTGCGGCACTTAATGGTGTCACCCCCCCCAGAGGCATAGAGACCCTTCCCAGGGATAAACTTTCAAATTTTCGATTTGCACCCCCCCTCAAACTTTCGATTTGCACCCCCCCCTCGAATTTTCGATTTGCACCCCCCCCCTCAAACTTTCGATTTGCACCCCCCCCCCCCTCGAGTTTTTCTCTATATATTTTGCTATTTTTTGCCTTGGTGTCACCCCCCTAAATGGTGTCACCCGGTGCGGTCCGCACCCCCCGCCCCCCCCCTCGCTACGCCCCTGATAGTACTTAGTAGTTATTAGTAGTTCATTCATCGAAGGGGTGGTATATAAACAACTTCACACTTTTTTGCCAAATTACTCCCTTGTCTTCACTAAAAATCAAAACCTCTCCTAAAAATGGTGCCATACTTTACAGAACCCCATCCACTATACTAAATCCAACCTCTATCGTGTGTTCACTTTCCGAAAGACAAGGGGATATTACCAGGCTGGGATTATTTTCATAAAGTATTACTTGAGTTGTTTCCCTTTGAACATAAAATATTTCCAAATCCGATAAAACATTAAAAAATATTTTTATTGATCTTTATTTAATCGTCCTTGTCAGGTCTCATAAAAGGACGTCACACAGCCGATTATCCTCCCGCTCCACCCTTCTGTATTTTGTTTCATTTCTGTAAAATTCAGTTTAAAAACCTCTTTAATGCAAAAGTGTGACATAACACTTTCTTACCACCTTCTCTCCCATGTCCCACATAGTCTCAAAATTTATATCCCCTCGCTATAATATATCGTCGTTTTAAAACAAATTTCTAATAATTTTTTCTTAAGCATCCCTCTTCTTCTCTCAGGTAACACGTCATCCAAACCCCCCACACTTAAACTAGGGTAAACAAGATTCATTTAGGCTCCCTCCTGCCACTATAAACCTGCCTTCCCACTGTCTCTCATCAGATCTGTTCCTTGCCATCATCTGCCTGCTCTCTACTTCCCCTGTGACTTCCAATTCAGGACCAGTGGTCTTACCATCTGCCTTAACCAGATATTCCCTGTTCATCTTCACACCAGTGTTTCTTCCAGACTTTTTTCTCTGGGGGGGGGGGCACTTGAAATTTTCGAGGGGGCGGTAGACTTTCTTCGGGGGAGGGGGTGCGGACACTGTTAAAAGTATATATTTTCTATATAAATTATATAAATTTCATTTCGTTCGGGGGGCGGTAAAAAAATTTCGAGGGAGCCCCCCGAAGAGATGCCTGGAAGAAACTCTGCTTTACACCCTTCTTCATTTATGATTTTCTGTATACCTCCATCTCAAATATCATTATGTAAAGCATTCATTATACAGTGATACCTACCAAATTATTATCAATAGCGTTATTAAAAAAACTTTTATTTTGTTTTATAAAGAAGCCTTTTTTTCTATCTTTAGGGTAGTGTTTCACTTGCTAAAAATTTGGCAGTTTGATAAGAGTTTACCCTAACACCATCAGGTGATGTGGCATTTAGTCTTGCAACTTTTCTTTAAAGTTTCAGTGAGCTTTCAATTTGTATTAAGAAACAAAGAAAAGAAGATGGAGACAGATGCCCAACAAAATTGAAAGACAAGGCAATTCAAGGCTTCCACAATGATCAAGGATAAAAAACCTGGATTCACCTACCATAGACAAATTGACAAAGACATGAAAATTATTAAAGAAAGAAAGAAATAGAAAAAAATAGCAGAGCCAGATTACGTTTTAATGTTTTATCTGATAAAATAATGTATTTTGGCTTAGATAATTCACACACTACTACTTTTCACTTTTATTTTAGTCAGGCTTAAAGGAAGTTTATTTATTTTAATGACAATATTTAATCGAAATATTTATTATCTTACTGGGCCAGTTGTAGGATACAATAAATATACATGACACTAGACATTCATGATAGTACAGTTTATTTTAAAATCAAACTTGAAAAAAAAATTAAGTATTTTCTTCATATTTTAATTTTCAAAAAAAGGGTTTACATATTTTAGACATAAAATTGTAATATTTACAAATATTTTAAAATTCTGTTAACAGATGTGCATATTTTCAAAGAAAATTTATATGTATATATATATATATATATATATATATATATATATATATATATATATATATATATATATATATATATATATATATATATATGTTGTAAACAACACGCTACATTTTAATTTTATACATGCAATTTACTATAAATAAATTAAAAGTATTCTGCCAGACGTGGATCCTGTCTTAGTTTTTGTTCCAAGTTCATATACTTGTGTGGAGCATTTTCTTTGTGTCTGAAAAAGAATAATAATAGACCTAACATAGCTTTACACTTAATTTTGTTTCTATTTATGTTTCTACAATTAGGAGAGAAAAAGAAACGTAGTGTAGAAAGCTAGAGTAAAAAGAAGCTTCTGTTATAGCAATGGCGTTAATTTCTAAAAGAAATTATTGCTTCTTTTCTGAAACAATGATATTTTTAATGAATGAAAACCTATCCATAAAATACAAGAGATTATTTAAAGCTAGTAGTGTTTGCCTATGGCAAGCCAGTTTAAATGTTTGATTCATTCCACCCTTAAAATGCCATAACAAACCTTCATCCCCCCAAAAGTAACCATTATTCAAACCATAATTCATGTTTTCCATCATATTTTTTAAGAGATTTAAATGCCTGTAACATTTCTTAACCACCTTTTCCCCACAAGTCCATCATTTTAAAAAGCCTAAATCCTCCCCTCTCTTTATTTATCAGATCATTTATGGCCAAGCCCTTACAGTAAAATAGTTTTTCTAACCTGGCCAGTCTAAGCTCTAATATGTGTATTCTAAACATGGCTTCACTGCAGTAGTTGAGATAATCTTCTTCATCATCTTTCGACATAGAAACCTGGTTCTGCTGGTACCATGCTTGTTTCTTCTGTAGCTCTTGTGTTTCCTAAAATTAGACAAAAAAAGCTTGAAAAACTGTGTTGATTTCTATTTAAGTTTAATATCATATTACATGCTTTTGTTTAAATAATTTGACAAAGTGTTGAACCCTTTAGAATTCTAAGCTTATAGTCTTTAATTACCTAGCATGGAATATAAATGGATGCATAGAATGCTGATTAAGAATCGTGGAACAACAACAAAAATCAGAATCTTATACTATGGCCATTATTGCCAAAAAAGCTAACCTTTTCAAATCTTGACTGAATGAGATTTGCTTTATTAATGAGACGATGTTTCAAATCTGCTAAACAATCCTCCTTTAGTTTGAGGGCTTGGGGTTTAGTTATCTTCTCAGGGTCACCCATTTGAGCCAAGAAAGGTGCCAGATAGTCAATTTCCATTTCCTGCTTTCTCATCTTTTCTTCCAAAAGTTGTCGTTCCTAAGTAAATAAGTTTCAGAAGGTAATATTTTCATGAGCCGACAAAATTTGAAAACAATTTTTTTCATTTAAGGCCTACAAACTAATTCAAAGTACCAAAATAGAATTCATATTTTACTGGTGCCTAAATGATTTCTGTATTAATTACAATTTTAGTCAAGTTTAAAAAATGTATCTATTCTCAGAATAAATTTTTAACGTAAATATTTCTCACCAGCTCTCGTCTATGTTTTTTAGCTTTCTCATTTCTTTCAGTGTCGTACACAGATATATCAAGCTGCGATGCAATTTCTTCTCTCTGGCGGCTGGAAAGAATTTCTTTGACCTAAAACATTTTTTAAAAGATTTCTTTAAGAAGAAGAAGTAAATTTGTGTTAATTATAAATACTGTGAAATGACGCAAAAATGGGGGAGCAGATGAGGACATCAAAAACTGTATCAGCAAGGTCAAGTATGCATTCCACAATCTCCTCACAACCTGGGAATTAAGAGTCAATGCTTTCCAAATAGCCACAGCAATGTGAAATCTGTTCTCCTCTATGAAATGTGGAGATTAATACAGACTAACAACAAAAAACTTCAAACTTTCATTGACGGACGCTTCTGCTCCATATTGAACATCAGGTGGCCTGAAAAATTATCTATGCAAAAAACTGAGCAAGATGCTATTGGCAAAGAAATACAATAGCGCAAATGGGGATGGGTTGGACGCATCTGGCGTAAACCAACTAGCAAAATCACCAGATAGTCACTAGTTTGAAATTCACAAGGAAAGAGGAAAGTAGGCCAAAACAAACTTGGAAAAGTTCTGTTGTCAGCGAAGCAAAAACAGCCAGAATGTCGTGGGCCCATCTTAAAGGAATAGTCCAAAACCAAGTATGATGGAGAGGTGTGGTTGCATCCTTAGGGTCCACCTGAATGATGATGATGATAATGATGATGATGGTGATACAATAACACAAATGGTGTTACCTCTTCTTCAGAGTCTCTCACAGCTTCAGTACAAGACTCTTCCATCTTCAACAAATGAAGCAGGTTTTGATACAACTCTACTTGCTTGCATTGAGGAAAGTTTGGATCTGCCTGTAAACATTTCAATTTAAAAATTTAAAAATCATTTATCTGTTATTTAACAAGCTTGAAAAATATTGGCTGGTCATCAAAGGTTATTTTTGTTTATATACATATATATGTTCAAGAAAGTCACTTAAGTTGGGTGAAAAATAAAAAATACTTGAAACAACACTATAAATATTACTGCAGAGGGAACATAAGAAATCAGAAGAATGAACTTAATCAAAGCTGAATACTACTCTATAAAAAATTATCATGGAAATGAAAAAAAAAATAGTTGATAGAATAACTTGATGAACAGTAATAATTATTTAAGTTGTGTCAGTGATTGATATATAGAAATATTTTTATTTAATTCAAAGAAATCAGTTTAACATTGTTAATTGAAAAGCTAACATACTTTCATGAAATTGGCTGAATAAATTGAGTTTACAAACACTCTTTAATTGTGTTCTAAGATTTTGTCATTATTTTGTGAGAATTCTTTGAAGTCAAAAATTTCTTACTTGGAATGTTGCATGCATTTCTTGTGACCATGCCAGCACAGCCCCTTTTTCTTCCCAGTTTTGAGGTTTAATGTACTCTCTAAAAGAAGAGGCAATATGGGCCTCTTCTGTGTGGTATGTAATGTGGATTTTGTCCTCTGCAACCAAAAACACAAGTTCACTGATATCTGAGTTGGCAGGTTTGGCTGGGTTGTGATCAAACCTTTGAATCATTTTCTGTCAAGAATAAAAGAAAGGAAAATATATTAGCATTAAGTACAATAAACTTTGAATAGAGTCCACCAAAAGAGGTTTAACATTTTCGATTAATTAGAATTTTTTTAAATTGCACTTATTTCATGAATACATTAATTTTGTGAAAGAGTTAATAAAATTTTAAAATCTATTTACAAAGTGTGTTTAACGTTCATTTTTATGCTTTATGTTGTGCATTACTTACAACAATAGGCTTTAGTATGTTTGTGTTGGTATCTTCTTGAGGCCCAAATTTTTTAGCTCTTTTACCAAACTCAACATGCTTGTAGAAAAGAAAATCATCTCTTCCCTTGAAGTGTTCAGTCATGGATAAAGGAGTCTCAGTTCTTTTGACTAGACCATCGACTCGAGCATCAGAATAAAACATCATCGTTCTGTCATTCTCTGGTTCAGGGGCGCTGGCTCGGTAACAGTGCTCTGATTGGTGGAAAGATATTTCTTAAGTATTTTAACCAATATAAATAATGTTTAAGCTACAACAACAGGTTCTTAACCCAACATCTGCTGTGTAGCACATCGTTACAATAGTCAAAACTCACATTCCTACTATGTAAAAAATGTTAATTATTTATGATCCCTAAAATATTAGTGCTTTTTTTTTTTTTAAAGTTTGATTTGAATTAATATATTTATATTTATAAAGGATTTTCTAAAATCAATACTTAACTGTGTGAAATATAAATTTAAAGTGTAAATTGTTTACCTTTAACTTGTTTAAGTCTCCCAGGGTGAAAATATTCAGTGATCCAGCCAGTCCTGTGGTTATGAACTCTCAAATTCAATTTATCAGCTCGATGTTCAAAATATTCTTTCACCATCATCAAATCTGTCACTGTAAAGTAAACTGAACATTACTCACTGAAAACTATACAAGTCCCAATGTGCTTTAAATTCAGCTACCACTAGTGAAAAAAAAATATTGATATAACAATAGTGTAACTTACAATCTTTATCATCATAAATAGAAAGCCTTGTGATAAGCCCATCAGGCATAAGGTAATGTGCAAACTTTTCCACCTTAGCTCGTTTGTACAGTTTTGTTTTTTTACCATGTGGGCACCGCATTTCAAAATCTGTAAGAATCCAAACATGTACGTAATAAATATTAGTTTTGTAACACATTGTGATGAGGGAAACAATTATTTAAGTAAATGGTATTAATATAGATTATTATATTTGGAAAATGCATTTGAACTAAACATGACTAAATTAAAATTACCCTTCTGGGAAAGTTGGAGAGGTTCAACCCAAGATGGCGGCATATCCAAATGGTGTTCTTCTTCTTCTTTATTCTAAAATTATAGTAGAGAACTTGATTAGCATAATTCAAAAAGGGAAAAACCATCATTTCTACCCATACAAATTTAGAAACTACCTTATCAATATTTCTTTCAGACATTTTACTCTGGGGAGGGGACATGAAACTTTTGGGGGGACAAATGACACTTGTTAAATTATATATTTTCTATATAAATTATATATGGGGGGGGGCGCAAGGTACAGGGAAGCCTGAAAGAAACTCTGGACACTATAATGTTAACCCATTTTCTACCTCTTCTTCATCTAAGTTATCAAGGTCGTCCTCAGCCTCTGGAATAATCAACTGTGGTTTGTCAACACTTGGAAACATGAACTCCCACTGAACACAATCTCCAAGATCATAGCTAACTTTCTACAGAAAATATAGAAAAGTAAAGGAACGTTACAGTTTAGAAAGATTTTCATTACCTAATAGGGTTGCCAGGTGTCCAGTTTTGAACTGGACAGTCCAGTATTTGAGCAGACTGTACAGGATAAAATAAATATAAATACTGGACAAGTATATGAATAATACTGTTAACCCCCTTCTTCTGCTTTGCGGCATACCAGAGAAGGGAAGGATGGAAAGGTGTCCAGTATTTTCGGAAAAGGTATCTGGCAACCCTATTACCAAAACAATTATTTAACGTAATTACAGAATTAAATCAAACTTTTTTTTAAGACTTACACTTATACCATCTGAGCAGTTCTACATGCAAACCCAGTAATTTAAATGGTTCAATAAGTAAAGGAACATTACAGTTTAGAAAGATTTTTATTGCAAAACAATTATTTAAAGTAATTACAGAATAAAATCAAAATATTTTTTAAGACTTACACTTATTCCATCTGAACAGTCCTGCATGCAAACCCAGTAGTTTAAATGGTTCCATAAGGATTCTATGCCAAGGTAAGCATCACTGGTTGTGGGATGTGACAGCCCTGTAAAAGGCTCAATGAAAAAACTTTCTGGTACCTCACGCTTCCCAGAGAGAACAAGAACCCAAGAATGAATTTGTAATCCATGGAGTGGGTTTGGCTGAGGCTTTTCTAACTCCTTGAAAATAAAATGAAATCATAACTGTTATCAATTTTATAAATAGTTTACATTAAAGCTATAAAATAAATAGTATATTTTTTTTTGTTAGATTGTTTCAATTATTTAAATTAGAAGTATACAAAGTAAATCAATAATGAAGTTGGCAGAAATTAGACCAATTTTGACTCTTCTATTTTATAACAAAGAATGTGACTCTGTGCAAACTGAAATCAGTATAAAATATAAAAAAGCCTGAGAGCACTTTACTATATAAAGGACTATATGCTTATGTTTGCACTACTTCCTGAGTTATTGTTTAATGTACTGTGCAATTTATATAGATACTAGCGTACCCGACCCCCGCGCGTTGCCGCGGGGATAGAAGAAAGTTTGACGAAATATATTAGGATTTCACCAACCGTTTATCAATTATAATTATATGTTCTTAGACGCGTGACCTACTTTTCTAAAACCTTGAGTGTACATTAATTAATATGGTAGAACACACTTCGGTGAGCGCCTCTGTGTAAGAGCGTAGAGGGGCGCTCTCATCCCCCCGTCCCCCGATTACACTACCGCATAGGCGCGGCGTACTACTCCAGGCTCCTTAAAACTAACAGGTGCCATCGGCCAAATAGCATCCTGTTAATAAAGATGCAGATTTCGTCATTCGCTAAAGTGACACAAATGATCAGGATTTTTTTCTTTAACACGTAAAAAAAAAATTATTTGACGTGTTTTAAATATCAGTGTGACTGATGCAATATGCTAGCATTACTAATGGTTTATTATTAGATGCTCGATCTCAATTTCTGACTGGATTGTCTAATAATAGATGCTTATTGCATCATTCGCAAAGTGATGAAACTATACAATAGGCTCCTCATATTCAAAAAGTTATTTTTTCATCTTTCGCAAGGTGACGAAACTGTACAGAAGGATTTCCTCGCGTTACAAAGTTATTTTTAGAAGCCTGTTGTAGTTTTACTGCTGAATATAGTAGTACTCCTTACTCGCAATGCAGGACGCTCGATTAACGGATGCCAAGTGCCAACATAGTCGCTCTAAAACTCTGGGCGCCAAACCGTGTATTGACGAAAGTTGTACCCTATATGGCGCCGCCCATAAGAAACTTTAGTTTTCTTTTTCGCAGAAATATTCTCGGGAGTATTCTCATCTACTCCCTAAAGTTTCATGGTACTCGGATGAACCGCATCCGAGTTTTATTTTTTATAAACCGAGTATAGAGAAAAAAAATCGCTCCCACCCCCCACCCCGGGGACGCCGCCCTTGCAATATTAAACAATATTTTTTTGCAGAACCCTACCATTGAGTGATCTAATCATCTCCCCAAAGTTTCATGGTACACGGATGAACGGTATGAAACCGAAATTTTATAAACCGTATATAGAGAGAAATCGCAGCCTCCCGTGGCGCCGCCCTTGCGAAATTAAAAATGATTTTTTTACAGAACCCTTCCCTAGAGTGTTATTATGAACTCCCCAAAGTCTAATGGCTATCAGATGAACGATGTCAAACCAAAATTGACTTTTTATTTTTATATACCGTATATAGAGAAAAACAAATCGCGCCCTGCCGGGGCGCCACCCCTGCGAATTTTAAATTTTTTTTTTCGCAGAAACCTCCCCAGGAATATTCTCAACAACTTCCCAAAGTTTCACGGCGATGTGATGAGAGGTGTAGTAATGCATAAAGGACAAACACACACAAAACACACATACATTGCTTTTTATATATATAGATCTCACATATAAAATTATTAGAACATTTTTTGAAAGAAATTTGTCAATGCTGAACAGTAACAACTGTATGTTAACATGAGATTGCTCTGTTATTATTGCTGAAGCACAATTATTCTATTATTTCTCAATATCATGTAAAGAAAGTAACTGAGATAAAAATGCTGTTGAGTCTTACTGTAATGCAAATTCCATCTTTTTTAACAACATATTTGAAAAATTAAAAGCATTCTTTAAAATCTGTAGGCTTACTTACTGCTTGTTTTTGTTCTGCCTCTAATTTTCTTCTCAGATCTTCTGCTTTTTGTTCTTCAACCTTCCTTGCCTCCATTTTTAGTTCGAATTTGCTTCGTAAATCTTTTGGTGGTTTGACTGTATATTTTTTTATTTGCTTTTTCTTTTCTTCCTGTTTTTCCTAAAATTTCAACATATATCTGGTTAATAATAATTCTATAACTTTAATTAATTCTAAGTTACTGATTAAATAAAGGGGATCACACATGACCACCACAACATACATTATCCCTTCATAGTTAAAAGAAACAGGTGAACCTTACTTCATATGCCCCATGTAACACCAGGTCTGAAAGGGATATTTTACTGTTTTATACACTGGGGGGCCTGAAATCTACTAAAGCTTACAGAAGCAGAGCTCTAGCTTGCCAACAGATCTACCGATGGTTTGATAAATTAATGTCTCCCAGACAAAAAAAATGTCATCTAAAATTTTAATATTTTTGACAGCTACACAATATTTTAGTATTAAGCTGTAGATTCTATGTTGCAGACCTCTAAAAATATCGTGAGTGCTGTGACATTTGCAATATTAAGTACTTTTTTTATTGTTGCTATTAAGTTATGTATGACAGATGCTAATATTTTGCTTTTCTTGTTTAAGTATAGAACCAACTAATTTTTTCAGATTTTAATATTTAAAAAAGAAAACTACTACAAAAATCATAAATATCGCATTGAAATTATTACCTCCTCCTTTTTCTTAAGAAGAGGACATATTTCTCTAGATTCATCAGCAAGACATGTGTCTCTATTGGCGTAACCACTGACAACATATGCATCGTATCCAGCACCGATCAGCATTGAACAGAGTAATGTGCTGTACTCAAAACAATTCCCCTTTTGACGTTTTAATATTGTGGCTGGAGATATAAGTCTCTTAGGCTGAAAAATAATTAATTGCAGTTTTAAAATATTAAATAAAAACTATTACCATAATTGATTTTAAAAAAAAAAAAATATTCAATATTTAAAAGTTTATATTTTAAAAATTATTGTAAGCTTTTGTTATTTTTAATTGATTTAACTGAATAAATACCAGTTCATAAGAAGGGTCGAGAGTTTCAAAATTTAGGTAATCAGCCACAAACTCTGCAGCTCCTTCCCAGTTGTATAATTCTTTAAATGGAAGCAGACATGGTCTGATAGTGGTGCACACAAATTTCTGTGGAATAAATATTAAATACATAATATGAAATGAAGACTTGCACTTGCTGATATGAATTTTAATTAGTTTCTATTAAAATATTAAAAATGTGTTATGAAATACCTCAACTCCACATTCATTGATGGGACAAAGTAGCAGAGGCTTACGGTCTCTGTATAGATGAACATACTGACGACGGAAGCTATCTGCATATTGCAAAACTATTTGTTCTTTAGGTAGGTTGTCTTTATATGATGAAGGAAACTTTGATGGATCAAATACTTCCACTGGCTGTGGACTATAATTTAGGTAATCTTTTAAACTGTATAGTATAGTATAGTATAAAACATAGCATATAGACTTAGCTAAAGCTTATCTGAATTAGGTGAGTTTAGTAATAAATTATGTTTTATAATAATAATAGTAAATTAGTTTCAAGATTAAAAAGACACATCTAAATGATGTATTATATAAATAAATTGTGATTTATGCCATTCAATTTATGTGAATACGTCAAATAAGTTCATAAAGTTTAGTTTATGTATAAAATTTTAATTACGCGACGTCAACTTCTGGTGGAGTAACTATAATTTTTTCTAACTCCTCTTTTAAAGCTTCGGCATCTTCTGAAAACTGTTCATTTTCAGAAAAAGGTTGATCCTCTGCTTCTACGTTTTCAGTTATATCTGGTAATGAACTTGAGTTGTTATCCTGTATTACAGAATCAGATAGTTTTTCGCCCTCGGTATTATTTTCGGAAGAGGACTCGGTGTCTGACTCCATTTTGAATGAGTCTAACCTCATCACCGACAAGTTAAACAATTGCGCAGTCATGGTAACCATAACGAAATAGTTCTATAACATAAAAAATGTATTCGTTTATTTTTTAAACATGTGTATGCATTAAAGTGATTTAATGTATTCTAAAATGTGATTGTAAAATTAACTCTTCTGTTAAAAATATTTAATTCATTTTTTTTAAATGTTTGCTCGTAATTGAAATTATAACGCTTCACTATTTTAAGGGTACTCTAAATAACTCAACAGATTAAAATAGGGCCTACTGAAAACAATATAATATTTATCAAAGGGGAGAAGGAAAATCGACCATAAATGACGTTACACGCTGAAGGGGTGGGAAGATTCTGAATTTTGTGACGATCGATGTGCTACGAGGGGAATTAGGGGGTTGGGAAATTGTGACGTAGTGTAGGAGTTTTATTAAAATCATGTTAATATTTTTTGTAGTTATTTAGTCTTAAACAGTGCTTCTTCCAGACTTTTTTCTCCGGGGGCGGGGGGGGGGGGCACTTGAAATTTTCGGGAGTGTTAAAAGTATATATTTTTTATATAAATTCCATTTAGTTTGGGGGGCGGTAGACTGTCTTCAGGGGGGGGGGCGGCTCTTTCCTCCCCCCCCCCCCCACCCCAAAGAGATGTCTGGAAGAAACACTACTCACAGCTTACAATGTTTAATCAAGTGTAATGGAACCTCCTCATTTCAAAGTAAAGTAGGTAATTATTAGTAAACCCACCAATTGGAAGTTGTTTATTTATCTCATGCAAACATTTTTCTCAGACGCAAAAGAATACTTTTATTTTTTAAATTGGATTAAATTAAAAGATAAATGTAAGAATGAATATTAAAATAAAATTACTTAGAGGCTGAGTTGTTCATGTATTCTTGTCATGTGTAGTATTATTATCTATGCTATAAGCAAGAAGATTTCATAAATTGTAATTCTAGCTGTATTATACAGTGTTTTAATATACAGTTTTAATTTTAAAAATGGCAACAGAGTAAATGGTATATTATATTACCACAGCATTTGATAATAGTGGATAAAATAATAAAGCGCAAAAGCTTGATATTCTAATGAAGTACAAATATAGAGTTGTTATTATTGTTTATTATACTATTCCCTGCCTCACAATCATACTAAAGGGATTCCTCAATTATTTTTTTTTGTGTAAAAAATGGGCATTTGGGCACTTTTAGCATGCTTTAGGGTGCATTGAAAACAGATCAGAACCAATAAGAGTTGTTGAAACTATGGTCACGATTAGTGGTGGAGTGTTCAGGAAGAAACGCCTCATATAATCAGACTTTAAATATTACCACCCATTTCTAGGTGGCCCAAAAAGATACTTCACAGTATCCCATTCCATCAGTGTCGTATCTTTAAACTCTTGGTATCAATTGACGTATGAAGTAACTTTTGTGTTCTCTTGTTTGAACAAACTCACAAGGTAAATGACTGAATAGAAAAAAATAATAAGAGCTCTCTCTCTCTCTTATCCAGGAAGACTGCAACACAAGTTAGCTACTCTCAGATATTATTCTGCCTGCCGCTAAACTCACTAGCCGCCACCCCAATCAGCAAGTGTGCATTCTACTTTTGCTAGACCAGGTTAAGAAATACTAATTACTAATATCTCATAAATAAAACTTACATTATAAAATAAAATTTAGCCCTTTGAACCCTTAGCTCCTGAACCTAAAATCTCCATGCCCTTGAGTTAAATGTACACACAACAGACTCTCAATAAAAAATATGAATATAACAACAAGATTAATTTTATTAATTTCAACTACCATTTGTACATGAATTATCACCAATATTTCGACTTAGTAATCCGGTCATCCGTGTAGGTAGACCCTTCTTTTAGTAGATGTAGACATAGGTAGAATGCTAGTTTTGGAATTTTTAAATTGTCTTTCCATTGTAAATTTTAATAGATAAAAAATTTAGTTCATTTACAGGAACTTATTACGAGTCGAACAATACCAGTTACATACGTTTTTAGTATCGCAATCAATTGTTCGGACTGCCAATCTAGGTTAAAGTGTCTAATAACACTTTATTGGTATTTTTTGGGCATGGAGGTTAAATACTTGTACCGGTAAAGTGGTTCCGCGGGGTCAAAGGGTTAAGAAACACAAGTGGACAAATGTACTTCAAAAAATTATTTCCTGAATAGAGTATGCAGGATAAAGTTCACTTGCTATTTTAACCCATGCGCTCATGTTTTTTTCCAAATATAATTAACTTCAAACAAAGTGGAGAATGTTAAATGTATTTTAATACTCTGGCTTCCTGTAAAGGAACTGTACATCATCTCAATACAACAATTCAACTTAACAATCTATGTTTATCATCCAGTATGTGTGTAAATTGTTTAGTATCCCAGTTTGTCATTTAAACTTGTGCGTCCATCTCCAGATTGTTCTGAAATATATGTAAAAGGGCTGTGTAAGTAGGTCAATTAAAACAATATTAACATAATTATCCTGACCATCTTTTAAACAATTTTAAGAGAGCAGAGTTACTGATTGTCTTGTTAGTATATGAGGTAATTTATAATGACTAACTCATTTATGATGAGGAAAAATCTAAAAATAAATGACCAACTTACCTGATGGAGGTAACCACATAGCATAGTCAGGGTCCGCACTGTCAAAGTTAGGATTTGGTTTTGGCTTACTTGCTGCTTGACTTTTGTCTAAAGATTCTATTGATTAGAAAACAAATATATTCAAGTAACATCAAATAACAAATAAAGTACTTTTTGACATGAAATCATTAGTTAAATACACTTCAAAAGCTCATTGTGTAAAACATGCATCTAAAATATATTAAAATGTGAATTCATTTTTAAAAAGCAACCCTAATTTACACCATTAAAGTGGATTAATTTTATACATGCACACCAGTATAATGCTCAAATATAGCAGTGTTCATTAATTATTGCAAGAAAAATTAATACTGAAAATGGGTAATGGCTTCTTTTTTTTTTAATTTAAAATTGTGTTAAATCAGATTTATTTAGATTTACTCTCCTCGCTGTTCAAAATCCAAAAATATTTTTGAAGGAAAAAATGTGCATAACTTACTCAAAAAAGATCTTGTAGAAGTCTGATGAACACTGTCTGATTTTTTTACTGGCTTTTCTTCTGTTTTTGGCGGAGGTAGTGAGGGGCCTTTCACTATGTTTTTTGTTGTTTTCTCTGATTTTGATGATTTATCTTTTATAGCTGTTAGACCAGTATTATTAGGACTTGAAGGGACTTCATTATCACTTGCTTTGTTGGGTGATTCTGAAGAAATGTCTTTAGGTATGGAACTACTTTCTTTACTAAGATCTTCTTCATCATCATCATCTTCTTCTTGAAAGTCGTCAGGTTTGAGATCAACTTGGGCTTGCTAAAAATAACAATTTTAATTGAATACAAGCAACTGTGAATATTTAAAACTCGATCTACCAATATATTTTAGGAAATAATAATCTATAGATAAATAATTAGTTATTTCTTCCATCAAATTACTACCACAGAACAAATCATACTGAGGTTAAAATTTAGTAGGACTAAATGTTAAAAACTATAAAGTCTGTAACTACCACTTACTTTTCTAACAGGTGTCACTTTTTTATTCTGTTTTTGTTGGGAATGAAGTTTTCTTGATAAAACATCAGCTACAGGTGTAGTAGCAGTAACTGACGGTTTACTATTTTAAAGAGAAATTAAAAACATTAAATTTAGATATTTAGCAAATCAAGTTAAAACTTTGAAATGTTAAAGGTAATACTTTGAATATCTTAAAAATATGTCATTAATCTGATGTCTTACAATGGCTGCAGAGGGGGAAGTAATGCTGGTTTAGCAATATTCACTAGTTTTCTCAACTTTTGTTCTTCCACTTTAAGCTTGAGCAAATCACCTTTGAGCTTCATGCGGGTTTTAGTGTCCATGGCTCCGGATTTTATGGACACCATGTAAGCATCTAGTTCATCCATTTCTTCAGATGCTAATGCTTCAGCATCTAAGTATAAAAGATTATTATTTTAAAAAACAGAATATTTAAGCAACTCACTGAAAATAATATTGTTATGATGCAAGTAAAGGTAGGTAACTAAAATTATGCAAGAATTTTCTGGTACATTTGATACTAATCCTGGTTAATTCGGAAATAAATGTACTCATGAGTTTACTCGGCTCTTTTTGCATACAGTGATACCCAATTTTAGTCATATGAGAAAAGGTGTTGGCTGGAATTGTGCTAGTTATGCCAATGCTACAAAAGCAGACAAAAACTACTTCACCTGAATCACATCTGCTTCACAGTGTATATAGCTGTGAATTTTTTTAATTTTCATGAAATCGGCAAACAATAGTTTTCAATGAAAATTTAAACAATACCGTTATTAATAATGAGTTACCTGCTTTAGCTTTTTGAAGTTTATTTTCAATATCTTGTATCTGTGTTGATACTTTGTTATATTTTTCCAACTGAAATATAAAAAGAATTCATTACTGATTAATAAGTTCTTAATTTATTATATCTAATCTTATTATTTATTAAATTGAAAGGTGTATGTGTGTGTGTGTTATGTAGAATGTCCTTTTATTTCTGTATGTGGGAAATTCCAAGCCAAACTTTTTAACATGAAAAGGAAAGAAAAAGATAAGGAATAGATCTCTAGAGCAGATCCTTGTTAAACAACTTAAACATCTGTGTCAAAAAAGGGAACAAAGCCAGAAGAGAGCATAAAACTGATTTTAAAAATGTGTTTAAAAACTCACCAAAGAATCATATGTTTCTGGTTCATCTTTACCAGCTTTCTTCATTCGCATTACTCTCTTTTTTTCTATTGTCCCAGTTCTGTCCAGAAAAGTGTCCTCATCGCTGTCATAAAAATCATCGTCTTCCCATTTCTTCTGTTTACGCTTTCTGCTTTCTTAAAGCATAAAATTATTACTTTACTTTATTTCTTCTAACAAACTGAATTTACTTAATTTAACATATGTGATCTAAATTTCCTACTCTTTTTTTTTTAATTAAGAATTGAATATCATTTTATTTCAAACTACATATGACAAAAACTTTTTAAAAACAAAGCATTTCCAGAAAAATGATTTACAAATGAAAATTAGTTTGTGTCAGCTATGTCAGTATGTTAAAATATAATGTAAAGATACCATTTTGTGAATAATGTTTATAAAACTATGGAAGTAGTTTTCATATTGTGTTAGAAAACTGAATAAATAATAGAATAAGAAGGAGATTGACTGACCATGCGTAGATGACCGCAACAAACCCAGTCGGTCTAAAATTCTGCAAGCTTCTAAAGCACAAGCAACAACAGCATCTTTTCTTTTGCCTGAAACAATGGCTTCTGCTACAAGTTCTTCTCCATTTGGGCCATCAACAGGAAGTCTGTAATCCAAACAATAATTTTTGACTAATAACAACTTTTTAGAATAAAACTTCTGATATAATTGTTAAAAAAATTTTTTTTACCAATAATTTAAAAAATTTTGGATGAAATTTACCATTATACTCAACTGTGCTTATTTTATTATCTTGATGAAAAAGAAAATCACCACTTACTCTAATCTGCATTTGTGTTTACCCATAGCTATTTCTGTGAATTGGTAATCAGGTAAATCACAACCTACAAAATAAAAAACAGAAACTTGTATCTACAAAATTGATTCATGTTATTATTTGATAATTAGTAAAGTGTTTGAATTTCCATGCTGAAAATGTAACATCCTAAAATAGTGTTTTTTATAAACTAAATAAAAATTTACCTTCTCTTTCATAAAATCCTTTTAAAGCCTTTTTAGGATCATCAATATACAAACTTTCATTTTCTGCTATTAAAGATGCAAAAGCATTTTCTCCTTCTTCCGTCTCTTCTGCATCATCATCTGAAAACGAGTTAACTTAAGGGGTTTTCAACACATAATAGATTAATAATACATGTTAATTTTCAAGCAATACAAGACGTTAGAATGAAACAAACATAACTAGATGGCAATTTTTTGAAGCCCTAACAAGAACAAAAATGGTTTAGAGAAATAGTACTATTATGTAAGGGAGATGAATGAACAATCTAGACCTGAAACTGTTATAAGAAAAAAAATTTAATTTTACCCATTCCCCATCCACAGCCTCTGTCTTCTAACATTTTTTTTTCAGCCTCTATCCTTTGCATTTCTTCTTGCATTTCAATCTGTCTCAGCAATTCAGCTTCCTTTTGAAATTTCTCTTTCTGAGCTTTCATTTCTGTAATGGTCATCTCACTCTCTTCTTCAAGATCTTCAGGAGGGCCCTTGAAAATTTAATGTTAAAAAATAAAAATTAAGTGGCTTAAAAGGTTAAGTTCAATGAAAAAATTGTCACAAATAAGATTAATTAGTAGCTTAAGTACTTTTAATTAAAATTACCATCACAGTTAAAATCAGAACCTTGCCCTCTAAATCTTACAGAACTTTAAAAACTCTTATATTTAATTGCATTCAATGATTTTAAAAAATAAACCTGCAAAATGTGAAGCCTTGAGCTTCCTCCAAACTTAATAATATAACCAACTTTGAGTCTGTGGTATTTCTTGGGTGATATTTTATTTTTATTAACCCAAGTTCCGTGTGTGCTATCAAGATCATAGACAAACCATCCTTTATCTTTTGTTGAAAATTGCACAACAGCATGATATCTTGAAAGAGATGGATGCTCCAGTGTAATATCACAGCTTGGAAGACGTCCAAATATGTAAAATGGTTTACTGGTAAGACATACTGTGTCTATGATACTACCATTTTTTAGCACATCAAAACTGTATTCCTGATCAGTCAAACCACTCCAATCTGGTTCTTGATAAACAGAAGATGGGATAGTTAATTTTGTCGCTTCTGTTGGTTGTTTATCTAGTGCTTCGTTTATTTTTTCTGATTTCGTTTTGTTTGTAACATTGTTATTTAATTTAACTTTGGCTTTATTTGTAGAAAGCGAAAGTGGAACTGCAAAAGGTTTTGTTGATTCTGACTCTGTATTTTCACATGAGGTTTTATTTTCATTAGAAAGTCCATTGTCTGAATTGATAGTCTCTAAATCAGGATCGTTCACATCACTTTCTGTATTCTTATTTTTCTCAGGCAACAAAACATTTGCTACAATCTCAGAATCGTTATTACATCCAGCAGATGAATCAGGGTCGGCCATTTTGAAACAAATAAAGTCTAATCTACAAGTAAAGCTATCATGATTATTTTCCCATTAATAATAACTAATTAAATTACAAATGGCATAATAATGTTTTGTTTAAAAAAATAAACGATAGAAATAATTATAATAATTTAATAATGATAATAATAAACCATTAGGCCATTAGGCATTAATAACCTTCTTTAATTACGAATATTGTATTTTGTCTAAAGAACTCTACTATTACTAAACGTCCAAAGAACGTTAGCTGCTCTATCGAGATAACCTTTTTAAAGAAAAAAAAAGCATTTTTAAAATATAAAGCAAGAAATATGGCTATGGCTAAAATAATTAATATGCTTGTAGGTTATTAACATAAAACGTTATTTATCACGTAGGACTATACATTATGTATACACTTTGACGACATTTAAACAATACATTTTATTTGATTTGAGAGCAGAGTTTCTTTCAGGCATCTCTTCAATCAGTGGGGCGGAGCCCTCCTGAAGAACGTCTACCGCCCCCAAGCGAAATAGAATTTTTTATATAAAAAATATGTACTTTTACCAGTGTGCCCCCCGCCCCGGAAATTTAATATTCTTTTAAATAGACTAATGATTGCTTTATACAATAATATGTTGCGCTATTACACACACATTCGCGTGTTCATTTTGTTGCGCAAAAAATATGAGATTTATTTTATTTTTAAACATTAAAAATGTTTTAATAACAATAAACTTTTAAGTTTTTTTTTTAAAAAAGGCGAATATATATATATATATATATATATATATATATATATATATATATATATAACCACTATGGGGTCGTCCATAAACAACGTCACACTCGTCACAAGATTTTGGAAAAATATCGATTGTTAAAAAAAATTTCAACTGCAATTTTGAGGGGGGGGGGGGTGTAGGCTGAGGTGTGACGGCATTTTAGGGGGGGGGGGGCTGGCTTTTTGTTACGATGTGTGACGGAGGGGAGGGGGAGGTAAAAATCATCCCCAAAAAAGCGTGACGTCATTTATGGATGACCCCTATATAAGCCTAAGTCTATATTTATATAACTATAAACAAAAGTGTAACTCATTAAATTTTTTAAGGGTATTTATCAATACATATAATATATCAACCGACGCTTTTATATATATATATATATATATATATATATATATATATATATATATATATATATATATATATATATATATATATATATATATATATATATATATATATATATATATATATATATATATATATATTTATATTTATATATATATATATATATATTTATATATATATATATATATATATATATATATATATATATATATATATATATATATATATATATAGTATATATTTAGGCATAATATATAGATCTATAGGCCTATTTTTTTTTCTTTATATACACAGATGTCTTTGAAACTGGTGAACTCTTGCTTCCTTGCACATTTTTTGTACAGTTTCAGCATTTAGTCCACTACGTTTCAAAATGGCGTCGATGTCTGGTAAGACAAGTCAAATTGTATTACGAAGATATTTCTTGTTGTAATTTTTTTTTGCATTAATACAAAGAATTCTAGATCTAAATATATTCTACGTTAAATCAACATGTGCTATATAAGTTGTAACTTAAACTAGAAGATGCATGTCGTTAGATAAAAAACAAAACCATCAAATGTGGCATTAATCATCGTCATAATAAAATTTGTAAAATGCGAAAAAATGCCAAACGGAAAAGTAAATTGAAATGAGATTTTAAGAATCTAGAATGCAGAAAAGAGACAGATCTAGACTAGATCTAGAATCTATATCAGATCTAGAATCTAGATCTACTTCAATTCTAAATTAGATGCTAGAGTAAATGACTAAATCAAAAAATCTGGATCTAGTTGTGCAACCACTGGTACTGGTAGGTCTTGACTAGAATTTCTAGATCTAGATCTAAAATAAAAAAAATATTTCTAAATCAAATCTAACAATTTGTAACAAATCTATTTTGAATGCTGCTTTAAACTAGATCTAGTTGTGAATTAGATCTAGATCTAGTCACGGCTCTTCTTAGTGAATTACATCTGACCCCAATAAATTGTGTGTGAATACTTTCTATAAGTATAAAACATCTTGGTTTGTTGCTTGGTTATCTATCGGTTCAACCTAAAATACTTAAAAAATACCTAAAATGTCCAAAAAGTGGAGTTTTCTCAGTGAGATAAATAAAATCTTGCTTTTTTATGCCATTCAATATATAAATTAAACACCAGGTCTATGTATGTAAAAATGGCTGCACTAAACTTAAACTAACCCAAAAAATTGAGATTAGGCCTAATGCCCTAAGTGCTAAGAAAACTAAGCTGGCTATTATAAACGAAGTGACTACTCGGAAGAAGATTTTTCTCCCCAACGTCTCCACTTAGTCGGCAAAAGATAGCTCTGTGCATGCGCAGTGACCTATGGCTAGGGTTAGGGCTTATTCCGGATAGAATATGGCCTATTATAAATAGGGCCTACTATTAGTTAGAATATGTCTATTACTAAGACATCTAGAACAAGTTTTTCAAAATATACCCACAGATGGTTGAAAAAAATTGACTCCTTTTGAAAATATTTTGGACACTTTAACGATATAGATTAAGTAGGCTTAACAAACTTGTAACAAAATAATGTTTCAAGAATACACATTGATGGAAAAGAAAAAACTACTACTATGCTGCCTACAACCCTAAGACATGTTATTATTCCTTACAATTTATCTGAATTCTACTTTAGGTGGTTCCATCATATTTTTTCTTCTGCTACTACACTAAAAGAGTGTAGAGCTTTTCAAATTGCTATCACATAGGCCTAAATTAAATAGAATGATCACTTGCACTGTTAAAAAATTCTAAATGCATGCATCAACTGCGGATATCATATAGTTGATAGCCACTTCATACACCCATCTTGGAGTGAGTGTTGCTATTATTTTGTATTCATTCTGAATGAAGTGTAATCTGCCTAAGTTTTTATTCTTATGTCCCTTCATTCTATTGCAATTTTCTAAATTCTATGTTTAGTTTAGGTTCTCTGTCTCATTTTAGCAATATCTCTTCTAAGCCTAATAAATATTTAGACAGCCTTAATAATGACATTAAATCATCTAGGTCACTCTAAATAAATTTTACAAATTGCTTGCTTTTTAAATTCATCCAATAAATAAAACTATTAAAATATACTGCTTATATTATATTTAATATATATTTTTTTGTATGTAATAAAATCACAAGTTAGTCTTAAATTTATTTTGCTTTTTTCAGAGACCTCGTATTGGATTAATTTTTTTACATCAGCTGGAATCCCAGCAGGAGATTCTGCCCATTATGCTGTTATGTTCTCAGATAATCGCATCACACGGGAAATGCTTTTAGACCTTAGTAAAGAATATCTAACAGACATGGGGATAACCAGACTTGGAGATATTATTGCAATTTTAAAACATGCAAAGGATGTTTTCAAACAAGTAAATTAAAATTAACAGCAACCAAATTAGCGCAAGTTTATTAATTGTTTATTAAATTATACTAAGCTCCAAGCAGTAACTTGTAAGTTATGGTTATGATTAATTTGAAAACATTGCTCTTTCTTTTTAGGAAGCAAAAGACAAGATTTTAAAATCTACTTCTTTGACATCTCTTTCATCTTCTAATTCAGTATCGCCAGTTTCACGCAGGTCAACAGGTATAATATGCTTTCATTCTGTTGTTAATAGTACTTTTGTCTCACCAGTATTTTCTTTCTTTTTAAAGAAAAATTAGTCTGCCTACAAATTCAAACTTAAAAATCATTCTAAATGTAATTTTTATTAGTGTTAAAAATTACCGAAGTTTGTGAATTTAATATTCGAACATTTTGCATGTGCTCATTGTTATGTGCCTGGACTCAAAGGAGTTTTATACTTGGGCTTTGTGAACAATTAGTAATCACAATATATTCATTAAAAATATAAGTAGTGACTAAAAAATTATTTAATTTTAATCTTCTTTGTGTGATTATAAAAACAAAGGATTAATAATTTATGTTGATTTGCTATTCAAATTAGCTGCAAGCCGCATGGTAAATCACTTCACAGGCAAACATCCAGAGGCAGCACCAATGAGCCAGTCCCCAATTCCAAAACCAGCACCACCACCTCCAGGTAAAAAACATTTTCCCCATATGAAGTTGGTAAATCATTCATTTTTAAAGAAACAATAATTGATTTCAAGTTGTAAAAGATTACATTCAGTAAATTATTTGTGTATAAAGTAAACTTATTTTTCTTTGTGTTGCAGAACCACCTCGCTCCAAAAGAAAAGTTTCAGTATTTGACAGGCTAGGCTCAGATGGAGTAGAAGAAACCATTACGCTTAGTACAAATTCAAATTTGGAAGCACTATCTTCCCCTGGTGTAAGAACTAACATTTTTAATCAACTAATTAACTAGCTTATTTTAGATGAAAGAATAGTCAATTCATTAAAGTAAAGAGTAAACATACAATTTTTTAAAATTTTTCAGCAAACATCTGTATTTAGTCGGTTAGGGGGTAAGTCTGGTTTGAAGAGACCCGCCTCAGATACATCTGTTGAAGGCTTTGATGACCTGTTACCAACTAAAGATAGCCTACCATACGTTGGGGTGTTGAAAAGCACAGGGCCATCTCCTGCTAAGAAGCCAACTGTTAAGGTGGCTGTCAACAAAGCTAGTCTCAGAGACCCTATTCTGAAAACTTTACGGCAACCTGTAACTACCCGAACAAACCTCAGAGAGCCATTAAAGATTAAAAAGACTATTAAAACCATAACTCTAACGGACAAAGAGGAAAAGAAAATAACTCGTAAGTATCTTGTGTTAACTAGCATTAACTAATTAACTAATTTTATACTTTAGGGTCATTCATAAATGATGTGGTGTTTCTGGGGTAGGTGCCTATTAAGTCAGTGATGAATCATTTATTTTGTATTTTTAAAGTACAAAGTGTCATTACATTGGGGGGGGATTTTTGTGGCACTTCGGTCTGACATTTTGCAGAGTGGGGTAGGTTAAATCACCTAAAAAGTAACTAAAGTGTGAAACCACTTATGGACAAGCCCTTCCCAGTAATTGCTATTGATTGCAATGTAGCTTTAGCTCATATGCTACTAATGCAACAAGGACACAACCAGAATTACTGCCTTTTAACTATCATGCTTCTATTGTATTATTATTATGAAAAAAATTGTTATTCTAGCCATACTAAACATAGAAAAAGAATGCACAAGATTTTATCCCCACATAAAGAATTTTGTAGCATTTTTGTTATTACATACTAAGCTTGTTTTCATTTTCGCGTAAACTCACTAAACAATTATGTAGTACTTAATTTGTTTTAGATAATTAAATCATTAAATGGGTTATATATTAAGTTAGATATTTTCACAATAGAGCTAAATTTGCTGGTTTGTAACCTGTTACAAGAAAAAGTATGGAAATTGTTATGATTATGTGTATTGTTTTTTTTGTCTTAGACATACAAAGGCCTGAAGTATCAACAACAACAGAAGGAGTCTTGTCTGATTTTGCTAAACGTGAAGCACCTTCATTGAAAGATAGACTGGGGTCTAAAACTGAAATGGCTTCAGTCTCAAGTAGTTCTTTGTCTAAACTATCACTTCCTGTGAAGACTAAAAAAGGTTTGTACTTATTGTACTAGAGTGTTGTTAAAAGTTGGACATTTTTTGTTATATCTTTAAAAAATTTCTCTTTTTTTAATATGGATTATAGGTAGATAATCAAAGATCAGGTTTCGCACATATGTTTGATTTCAAATACATGCTTTTCAACAGTGAGCATACAAGACAGATTAGGTGCAAAGAAAGATGAACAACAGTCATCCCCAGTGGTTTCCTCAACACAGAATATCACAGCCAAGCTGAAAAAAGTAAAAGCTAGTGAAACAAGTGCTTCTAGTGACGTGAAAAAAACTAGTGGGGTATTCAGTCGCCTTGGCAAGAAATCTCAAACATAGGATATTTTGAAAAAGCATTTAAATTTGACAGATTTTGTAAATATTTAAAGGCACACAAAAGAAAAAGAAACATTTTGTCTTGCTAGTATGAACTTAAATGTAGAAGTATATAAATATATAAGTTTTAATACTGCAGAAAATTATTTAGTCTAAGAACTAAATAAATGTTTACTGAAGCTGCTGGTTAGGTAAGTTATTCAATTTGCAATGGCAAATGTTTGAAAGTGCTGATATTTAAGAGCATTCAGCTCCTTTGTTAAATAGGTGTAAATTGTCATTTCAAGTATAGGTCAACACAGGGTGATCTTGTCTGTGAATTTTATTTTCGTGTATTGTTCAGAGCTCAAATGCCTTATGTCTTGCATACAACTAATCACTTTCTAACAGACAGTCTCATAATAAACCATTGTGCTTTAGTTTTTAAACAATGAGTAAGAGTGTTCTAATCAATTAAATGCAGTTAAATAAAGCTTTTTAATTTCACCAGATTGTAAAATGTATTTTTTATAATGTACGAAAAAATGTAAATAGCTAGGCAAAAATTGCTCTGAAACATTCAAACATTGGTTTGTTGTTTTTAGCTATGTTTTTGTCTCAGAAGAAATATGAAAGCATTAACTATAGTTGTGTTGTGATTTTAATCTCTCGTAGGAGAGATGTTCTATTAAATTTATAGTTATTAAAAGACAAAATTAATTTATTTTTATATCTGGTACGGCAAATTTTAAACTTGTAATTCATTGCAAAATAGTATTTGGTGATGCAAACATTGTACTTACATAGGCATACTTTTAAATTGATGCCTTTTGTTTTTCATTATCCTGTTACTACTTTTTAAAAAAGTAATGTGCATTTAAGATTACATAAAAGACATTATTTGAATCGTCTTTTTGAAACTTTGAATGACCCAAAATAATAAGCACAATATTGAATTTTTTCCCCTTTTTGTCTGAGTACTGTTGTACAGGGTATAAATGCAAATATCTGAGAATAAATTTTTGAGGTATTTATTTTTGAATTTATTGTTTTTGATTGAAATTATAACTTAATTTAAGCTTCTTATATTAAAAAGTCCGAAAAAAGCATTCTAAATTTTAGAGTATATGATACATATATAAATATAGATTGGTAGAAACCACAGAACACTTGTTTTACCTTAGGTAAAAAAAATTTAAGACATTATGTTGGTATTTGGTTGAACAAAGTGGTATTTTACAATTACTCCCATAGCTGTACTGTGGTTAAGTCGCTATTTAGACTTAACTCACTGGTAGAAGTCGATTATATAATCAGCTTGATGTTGTGGACATGATTCAGCTAGAAAATTCTTTGTTTCAAATTCATGGAAATGAAATTGCTTACATGCCAAAATTTGAGGGATATCTTTACAACCAAGTAAGCGTTTGACTGCTAGCCTGGTCTCGAGTTCGGAGCATGGTACAGACTTGTGATTTTAGGATGTCCCACAAGTCCAACCAGCTCTAACAGGTACCTGAATTGCATTGGGAGTGAGGGAATGTAGTACTGACGGCAGGGCATAGTACTGACCACACCATCCCTTCATATACTGAAGTCTAGAAACATCTACTTCTTTTGCACTATGAATCGCTAGGTCTAAAAAGGAATCTTTACTTTTTTTAAATTAATTACAACCAAGTGAAGTGTAAAGATACATAAAAAGACACCAAATCAACAGTTGGTGTGGTGATAGGTATGTATGTGGAGCCATGTAGTGTAAATAGTGCATGTACTGTGTAACAAGACTGATGTCTGTGTATGTTTTTGGATGGAGTGAACAAGGGAAGGGACTGGGTTGACAGCATGTTGTGGAGCGGCATATAAATAAGAACAATGAATGAAATGACAAAGGAAAAAGTGGTTGACTGTGTAAGTGGATTGAAATGGGAGTGGCAGCACAACCAGTTACCATATAAACTGAAATAAAGGTGAGAAGTTAATTGAAATCAACATTTTGCTTAATGAAGCTCAATGTTTTTTATTCAATTGCTGTAACCACCTTTCAGTCTATTTCTCACCCCAACCATGAAGTGATCTTCAGACTAAGAAGAGGATGAGGATAAATATGTTGAGGAAGATGAAAGTTGTTACCAGTGACAAATGTGGCATGCATCCAGAAAATGCAAACCATGAATGATGCCAATCAGAGTAAAATTTTAATATGGTGTGGGGACATACTGAGTGAAGGTGTAATGAGCTGTTCACTAATGATATTGTGAAGACATTCACATATACAAACAGCCTGAAAATTGTTTTCCAAATTAAGTTGTAGGCCATCCTAGTATATTCATCAGTTCTTAGGCTAGACCACTCTTATAGTCAACTAAACTATTTACTGAGCTCTGTAATATTTAAATGTGTTGGCTATAAATTGGATAAACTGGATATACATCTACAGTGTCATGAGAAGTTTCATTACATAAATAATGTACCATTATATTAGCATTGTTTACTTTAATATGTCACAGTATAAATCTCTAATAAGAGATGCAGTAAACATCTGATGAAAATGTGTAACGCTTGGCATTACACTTCACAATTACCCATGTATGCAAAGAGAGGTGAACTACCACCAAGATGGTGGAAAACTAGTACAGCAATAGAATTACAGGCCTACCTAGTAATTTTAGAAAATCAAGGTTATCTATTAATATAAATTTGAAAAAATACATGATTAAAACTACCATGTTCTTTAAAAAAATGACAATGTTGAAAACACAGTTAAATTAGAGCAGGTATTTAACCTTACTTGATATGTATTATTTTAATTGGAAAAAACAATTTAAAATATAAACAATACATCATTTTTTTTTCAATTACTCAATGCCTTTTATTAAATCTTCTATAACCACTGAGATAAATGACAGTGTGTACATTCATTCAACTTACTTGTGAACATGTGTTAATAAAGGCATGATACATCAATGGTGAAATTTTAGGGTTTAAAAATAAATGATGCTTTTCTTACACCATCCCATATAACAATCAGACAAAACATGGAAATTAAACAATACATTAAAAGACATCAGGAATTAAAGTTAAAAAGATAACTGTTTTGAGTATACTTAACTGATTTGATTTCCAACTAATACTCATGTTAAAGCTGTATGGAGAGAAAACACTTTGGCAACAAAAGAAATATTAGCTGATAGTAAAGTAGGACAGTCTCAACACAATTTTGTTTTGTTTTGGAAAGTGCTTTTTCTATTCATATTACTATCAAAGAATTAAAAGAAAATTTGATCCACATTATTTAGCATACCTAATATATACACTTTAAATAAAAAGAGAACCACAAATATGGTATAGTAATACAATGTAAATTTTTTTAATATCTTGAACACCTAGCTTGAGGAAGTAAATAACAGCTTTAACAACCTAATAATTAAATAGGGAATATGAGGAAAAACAAAACGGTCATGTTTCTTTTTAATTTAGCAAATTTGAGTAAAGCAGATGATGCAAAAACTCTTCAATCAACTGTCTATAGACATATCCAGTTAGACAGGCATATTGATTAAAATTTACCAAATATCTGGCTGAGACAGTATAAAGGGATGATGCGGCCAGCACATTGCCCAGCAGTCTTCAACTGTCCTAACACAACTATTGTCAGTGATCAACCCAAGTGACACCAGTGATCAACCCAGTGACGTCAGTGATCAACCCAAGTGACGTCAGAGTTCCAGTTAAAAGGGTGTCTAAATGGCAACAAGGACAAAGAGCTCATGGGCTAACAATTGCATACTCTACAAGTTTATGCTGCTAAGGTATGTTAAAATATTAATGATACTTAAAAAAATTATATATATGCAACTTACTGCTGCAATAAAAAAATTAAACAACTGGTTGAAGAAAACTACCTTCAGATGCCTAGCCATTGGTTTGTGGATTAAATTAAGCAGTAATCAAGTGACAGCCCACACATGTGAGAAGACCATTCACACAACCTCAAACCTGGTTTCAAGAATGTTCACAACATATACTGTACAAAAATACATGTGAAAGTCTACATACACATAAGATTCAAGTCTCACTTTTGTTTTTACATGAACTTAACAAAGAATGTAAGGAGCATAACTAAGGATGCATTTTTAAAATTATGAAAGATACATAATTAAATGGTGTTGATAGATTATAAAGTTGACCTTGCATGCCAGGATATTAATAAATTAGCAATAACAAATATAACTTTACATTTGAATATTCATAAGATTACTTTTTCTATAAATGTAGGTGAAGATTTATAGTCTGCCAAACAACTCCACAACTCTTTCCTGAAAGAGTATTGAAGAGAACAGAGTTTCTTGTCATGTACCTAGATCCTAATCTATAATGTAGTTGCTTTCAGTTTCTTAAATACCTAGTGTACCACAGTACCAGCTACAATATTTCTATTGAAATATTTTACACTAATTAGCAATTTTTAAAAAAAACAGGTTCAAGGTAAATAAATCAAATACCAATTTTTAAAATACATAAACTAGCCCTGTTATTGAAACTGCTTAAAATAAAATCACAAAATTATAAATAACAAAGTATTAAGGTTAATGTTTCACAATCATTCTTACCTCTAATTCAATAGTCTTTATTTGTCAATGAAACACAATCTGGATGCATAACTGAAGAGATCATTACCTTAACTAGTCAATATACTGTTTAACAACACACACAAAAAAATGAAACTTAAATAAACTTATCAAGATCAACAGGAAAAACATCACTTTTTAAACATTCTTATAACTGGGTCTTATAAAATTTCCTTCAATTTAAAATGAAAATATTTTAATTTATGAAAATGGTCAAGGAAAAATATTCATTAAAAAGGGATGGCAAGTTATCTAAGGGACTGCCCCCAAATGGGCTGCAAGCTTTTAGTTATTTTAAGCTGTGTACCTGTTAGTAATAATGTAGGTATACATGCAGTTTGATAACAAAATTAATTTCGAAATAAAAAATGATCAGTTTTACCTGTTTTTTAGAAAAGATTATTTATCAACCATTTAGTAATTAACTTTTTCTTCAAAATAGAAAAATAAACACCCAAAAATAAAATACAATTTAAAACAATGTCCAGCAAAATTTCAAAATAAAAAGAATGCAAAATTCACTAATTACAAAAGTATCAAAGAAAATACTAAAAAATGAATGCAATAAGAATAAGATAACACCATTATTATAGTTGATGACATTGTTTTGTGCACTTTATTATTGTATATATGATGTATTTCACTGAAAACTTTTTGTACACAAAAAGATGTTTGGTCATTATGATGGTACAAAATACTTGGTAGACAAGACCAGATAAAGCCATTATATTTTTTAATTATCTGCAAAAATTTAAGCACCTATATACTAATTTAAACCTCTTGAAAAATCAATTTTTTCTTAGATGTTCATCATTTTTTTAAAAAATAAATTGGATGATTCACTATACATTTGATAAAAATACTGACATGTCAAACCTATGTTAATTGTTTTGTAAAGCCGGCATAAAAATTTACTTACATTATAGTTTTTTGAATGGGTATTTTTAATTGCAGAGAAAATATTCATTTGCATTACTTTTCAGAATATTCTGCTAACAGAAAACCTCATACTTTTGATAAGTGTTGTTTATAGATATACTTTACTAAATTGCTAAGGAAAGGCAGCGGAGGCACCAGATATTATATTATACTTTTAAAACAAATTTATGAAGCTGATTATTTTCCAGTGCTAAATGACATTATTATCCTGGCACATTAAGAATGATCAATAAATTTTAAAACTCTACTCAGTATTTTAATATGACTATTTCAATAACTAGTTTCATATTGAATAAATAATTAATTACATTTACATCTAAAAGTTTTTAATCACTTTATAAAGCTAATTGACACCAGCCCTAAAATAAAACTAAAATGTATTCATGAAGAATTCAGAAAGTATAGACATAGACTATCATAAGTTTTCAATCTATGCATTTACAGGTAGTTAGACTTCATGTAAAAATTAAATAAACTACAGTTCCAAAATATGTACAGTCACTAAACCAATTAAAAAAATTAAAAACATCAAGCCTAATCAAACCATTGGAAAGAAAGACTGACTTTAAAAAATCTATAAAACAAACAATAAAAAATTTATGATGGCAGGAATAGTTTACCTGGCAAGGCCTATGATGATATTGGCTCAAACTAAATAGCACTATATTTTTTTTAATAACAGATGTGCTGTAGTTATACATCAAAGATAGTTTTAGCTTTTACTTTGTTGCTTTTTTTGGATATACAAGTTGCTAAATTATTGTATGGGGTACATAATTAAAACCAAACTCATTTTTTACTCATAACAACAAATCCAATCCCTGCTGCTGCAGCCAAACCAAGAAGTAGCAAAAGGAGGAGGCCGCCGCTACCACCTTTTCTGGCTTCCAATTGTTTCTGTTAGAAGAAAAAAAAAGTTAATTTTGCATTACAGAGAAAAAAATATGAAAGATAAAGGCTAGAAATGTTAAAGTGATTTAAATTGTAAAACATACAAGTAAAAAATCTTTAAATGTATATGTGGCATCACTGTATTCTAATAATTTGACAAAATCCTAACAATATTGGATAAAATATCATCTACACTACTAAGTTGGTATGGCTAAAGAACATTTTGACAAAAATAAAATTACTGAAGGCACAAATTAAATATAAGTAAAGATGTTTTTGGCATATAAAAGGATAGTGTGTCAGCACTATGTCAAGCCACCATTAGAGCAGGGTGGACTAATTGAAATCTTTTGGTCTCATAGATTTTTAGCAGATATGTTCTCTACCAATCCATCCAAAGATACACAAGTAAAAACTGTGTAATAAACAAGTCTTTCCACCGTATCCTGTTTTTTACACAACCTAAACTGTTTTTCATTTTTACTCCACTTACTAAATTATAACCTACCTTTTTTCAGTTTTACTACAACTACCGAATTATATCATACCTGAACTATTTTTCCTTTTTACTCAACTTACCAAATTATATCTTACCTTAAGTGTTTTTTTTCCGCCGGCCTTACTAAATTATATCCTACCTTAAATATTTTAATTTTTACACCACTTACCAAGATGTATTCCTCTGCACCATGTTGAACTTTCAAGTGCACTGTTTCTCCAGCTGTGATGAAAATTTGGACAGCTTCATTGTGAGTAACTGATTGAATTTTATGACCATTCACCTAAAAAAAGTTTTTAAAAATTATATCAAATGCCATAGTAAAAAGCACATTTTAAATGAACTAGTTTAAAATTTAGTAGAACTCTATTACCATATATAATATAAACAGCTGGCATTTCAAACCTAATAGTTAGTGGCCTTAGCTATATTACATAAATATGGGGGATAGCTAATACAGTATAAAAGCTTAAAATTAAAAGATTGTGCCAGAACTATACCTCTATAAAACTTATTACATCGCTAAAATATAGACTTCATAGCAAAATATGATCAAGAAACTGGGATTAAATACTGTAGTTTTAGTTTAATTAGAAAGCTCATCAGCATTCATCTGAGATTTGATGTAATGTAAATACTTTTTTTTTTTAAAGTAAAAAGTGTGATAGCAATAAGCCCAACCACCTTTACTTTCCCCAACTCAGGTTTCCATTAGAGCTGGTGGAGTTGAGAAACATCCAATAGATTCAAGTTCATGAACCAAACTCAAGACTTTGAGCTTTGTAATACTAATAGTGTGCTCCTTTACTTGACCACACCATCCCATAAGAAATAAACTTTTTAAAAATGTAAACAAAAATAAAACTTATGCAACCTCTAAGATTTTATCTCCCTCCTTCAGTCGACCATCTCTGTAGGCAGCGCCAGCCTCCTTGAGCTTAGTTACGAAAATACCCGTGTCTTCTTTGAAATGGGGAATATCTGTGCCTCCTCTGATGTTAAATCCTAAACCTGTTAGATGGGGAAAATATTAACATGTATGATAAAATACATTGTGTATGGTTTTACAAGAAAAATGGGAAAATCTGTGACTTCTCTGATGTTAAATCCTAAACCTGTTAGATGGGGAAAATATTAACATGTATGATAAAATACATTGTGTATGGTTTTACAAGAAAAATGGGAAAATCTGTGACTTCTCTGATGTTAAATCCTAAACCTGTTGGATGGGAAAGATATTTAACATGTATGACAAAATAAAGTGTGTATGGGTTAAGGACTGTTATGTGTGTAGTTAGTGGATCACCTCTGAAAGGTGGAGTACATTACAAATGTCCTATTGGCATTCAAGTTACTTTTTACAAGCCCAATCCATCTCTATCCCTAGCCCTGGACATACCTACATCAATGCCAAAAGAGCTAATTTATTTGATCTTATGTCCATGGCTATGATTATTGGCACTTTAGGTTACTTTTTACTAGTATAACTAGCCTAACCATCTATCTGTAGCCCTGGACATTCCAACAGCAGTACAAAAATAACCACAACTTGCAGCAATAAACTATGATCTTGTTACAATTTTTTAAAGAAAGAAATTATTGAGCTGTTAGGATTAGAATTTGGATTATGATCAAGGCTATGATACTAGCAAACACTAAGATTCAATTTAACCTTTCAATGTATTTATAAGTACCACACTCCATTTATTAATGGCAATGTGCTAAATTTGAAATATAATGAATGTTAAGTGTGCACCAAATCAATCATCCATGTGACATTTTTATCCCAAGGAATACTGGATGCAACCTGGTACCATATCTTAAAATGCAGAGATGTGTTTTAATTTTCTCCACCCATGAAGTTCATTACACATGCTCATTGTGGATCTTTATTCACATTATTCTGCCAAATTTGAACCACAAATAAAATCTATTAAGATTACTTTGCCACAAACATATTTCAAGTCAAATAAATCTATGAGCCCAATTCTACTGCACCCTTAACAACTCCGCCACACAAATATAAACCAAACTTATGATTTAATTACAATTAAAAAGCAGATCAAGTTTTGAGATACTTAAAGGTATGTTTTAAATAAGAAGCAATACATACTTGAGAGCACTGGTTTCTTTTATAATTACAGTTTTTAAAACAAAGTGATCACAAATTAAGAACTAAACCAAGCTTACAACAACAAAAAAATTCTCACAAAATTATTTTGCAATTAACTGGTAGTTATACCAATTAAAAATTGCCCTCCTCCTCTTTAGAAATTCGATTCATGAATTTTTACCAACATCCAAATCATACATCATCTCTATCCCTAGCCCTGGACATACCTACATCAATGCCAAAAGAGCTAATTTATTTGATCTTATGTCCATGGCTATGATTATTGGCACTTTAAGTTACTTTTTACTAGTATAACTAGCCTAACCATAGCTCTATCTGTAGCCCTGGACATTCCAACAGCAGTACAAAAATAACCACAACTTGCAGCAATAAACTATGATCTTGTTACAATTTTTCAAAGAAAGAAATTATTGAGCTGTTAGGATTAGAATTTGGATTATGATCAAGGCTATGATACTAGCAAACACTAAGATTCAATTTAACCTTTCAATGTATTTATAAGTACCACACTCCATTTATTAATGGCAATGTGCTAATTTGAAATATAATGAATGTTAAGTGTGCACCAAATCAATCATCCATGTGACATTTTTATCCCAAGGAATACTGGATGCAACCTGGTACCATATCTTAAAATGCAGAGATGTGTTTTAATTTTCTCCACCCATGAAGTTCATTACACATGCTCATTGTGGATCTTTATTCACATTATTCTGCCAAATTTGAACCACAAATAAAATCTATTAAGATTACTTTGCCACAAACATATTTCAAGTCAAATAAATCTATGAGCCCAATTCTACTGCACCCTTAACAACTCCGCCACACCAATATAAACCAAACTTATGATTTAATTGCAATTAAAAAGCAGATCAAGTTTTGAAATACTCAAATGTATGTTTTAAATAAGAAGCAATACATACTTGAGAGCACAGGGTTTTTTTTTACAATTACAGTTTTTAAAACAAAGTCATCACAAATTAAGAACTAAACCAAGCTTACAAAAAAAAAATTCTCACAAAATTATTTTGCAATTAACTGGTGGTTGTACCAATTAAAAATTGCCCTCCTCCTCTTTGGAAATTTGATTCGTGAATTTTACCAACATTCAAATCATACATTGCATCTTTTAAACTCTATTGGAAGGGATTTATTGAAATTATTTTAATACCAGCACCACTACCCTAACATTTATTCTGGTACTATCAGCCTGAAACTTGCCCTGACAGCAACACAAATAGAAGAATTCATTTTTTCACAGTGATAATATTTAATAATATCACGCCAAAATATTGCTAGTAGTAAACTAATATTTGCTAGTATCACTCTCAACACTAAAACCTAGTTTGGCAACTGTGTTTTACACAAATGATTATAATTCACTGAAGCTAATGGAAAAATGGAGATTTGGTAAGATATCTGATAATTCACTTTTCTGAAATAGTTGTGTTGTTTTAGTATTGTAATCCCAGGTTTAGTGTTATGGTCAGAAATTAAAGTTAGGGCTACAGTTTAAATGTAGGACTCAGGTAAGAGTTTGAGTTAGAGATAGGGTGAGCATTGACTCAAGTTTGACATTAGCAAGTCATATTTCTATTTAGTTCTAGTTAACTACCAATAATCGATAACCCCTCTTCTTAGAAAACTCTGTTCATGTGACTTGTTTAGACACTGTGTCTGATCCTAAATAAATCAGATATTAGATACTTAGATTACCACCATTACTTTTAACTAGAATAGTATTAGTTAAGATTCAATTCAATTCTGGAATGCAAAACTAAAATATAAATTAGATCTATAAACTATAAGTAGTATAAGCTATTAAGAAATATAAATAAAAGTCAAACGCCTGAGGAATAAATAAACATGAGGAATAAATAAACGTGAATGTAAAACTGTAGCTACGCTAGAAACAAAGCCACGGTGAGATTACCTACCATTGAATTCATTGATTCAAAGTAATAAACTAAATTTAGGTAAATCTATTAGATCTACACATAAGCTTAAAATTAATAAAATAATTAAAATATGATAATACTAGTCTAATAATAAAAACCACAAATTGTAGATCTAAATCTGGTGTAGGTTAGTGGTGTTTTTTTTTTATAACTGCAGTGTCTTCCACTATCAGTGGACTTGTTAAATTACAAAGTCCATATTATTATTAACAATTGAACTAAAATAATTAAATGATTGTGTAACACAAGTCCAAGACTTAGAGAGATCAAGACACTGAAATAGCAAAACACGATCGTGATAAAAAGTGATAATGAATCTCGGCCTTGGTGGCCTATGCTCAGTAGAGGGAGAGATCCAGATTAGCCTTGACTTGGCCTAGGTTACAAAATCAAAACAGATATTTAAATTAATAATTATGTATCCTTAACATTTAAGTCCTACCTGTTTCTCCTCGATGTAACGTAATCTCTGTCACAGCCAGGCCTTCTGTCATATTCAACACCGGCGCAGGCATTTTGGCTTGTTGAGATACTTCCCACCCGCAAGATCAAACCCGGTCACAGAGACAGGGGATACGTTGCTATTTTCCTGTTGACTGATGCCTACTTACGAGGCTATTCTCCCAACTGTCAGTCTGAATAGACTCAGATCCTAACGGTAACCAGCCGGTTAGTGACCGGCTTTCCAGGTCAAGTTTTTTTCCGGGGTGATCCTATTTATAACATCCATGAAACATTATCATTATAAAGTTGAAATCAAAACATGTCTACCAGTAGAAAAAGAAGGCGGATTTGTTGCGTTGTGACATGACGTCATATACTAGAGCGTGACGTATTTATCAAATGTGTTGCCACCTTCAATTACTATTTTATGCACGAAAAAAATAAATATTTATCTTTTGTTGTTAAATTATTATGTTTAATCAAGCAATGATTGACCCAAACAAAAGTTGCAAAAAGCATGTTAAAAATCACAGTATAATTTTTTACATGTTACTTTGCACCTAACGCAAATAATAGAAATAGTTTTTTTCTCATAGATTTTGAAATGAACCTTACAGTATTAAATACCAAGTGATATAAAAAGTCTTTGTCTTAACAATTTAATTATGATAATGTGTAAAATGTGATCCTTTAAATAATGTTTTAAAAATAAATAAAACTGTACAATTTAAACAACAAAAAAATTTAAACCTATTTTGTATTAAACTAACATTATTTGATCCAGTGACCTACAAGCGCCCTTTGATAAAACATTACTTTGTTATAGTTTGATTCGATTTCCCAGTTCAGTTACAACAATGCCTTTTATTGCTGAGCTAATTAAGTTATGTCCTTGTTTGATTTAATTTATCAGGTTTCTGTTATTTAAAAAATTAAATTGCTTCATGCTGATATTCTTTATTTATCCTAGATCTATGTCTAACATGCTATTTTATGTTAAGTCCCAGCCATACAAATTAATATCTTTTCATTGTTGTTTTGCTATTTGACAAATAAATGCATTTTTAAAAAGGTACAGCAGTCGATATAAATCTCTGTTGAATTATGCATTGTCTTAAAACACGACTACAGGTGTACAAGATTCAGATCTAAACCGCGAAGTTTATTTCCATCTTTCTCTTACATTGATATCATGTGTTAAACAACAACATCGTTACGCAGTTTGTACAGAAAAATAGCTTCCGTATCTATAAAATGTAGGCTACATTGTGTGTGTCGTCATTAGCAGAGTTTCTTCCAGGCATCTCTTCGGGGGGGATTGCAACCCCCCACCGAAATTTTTTTACCGCCCCCCCCCCCCCCCCGAACGAAATGGAATTTATATAATTTATATAGAAAATATATACTTTTAACAGTGTCCGCCCCCCCCCCCCCCGAAGAAAGTCTACCGCCCCCCCCCCCCCCGAAAATTTCAAGTGCCCCCCCCCCCCCGGAGAAAAAAGTCTGGAAGAAACACTGGTCATTAGCAGATTGAAACAATGTACTTTGACAATTATTTTACATAGGCAGCGTTTCTTTTATACTTCTTCTTCGGGTGGGGGAGGGGGTGGCGGACTAAAATAATTTCCGAGGGGACATTTTTCGGAGTTGCCGCCCCGAAGAGATGTCTTTAAGGAAACTGCACATAGGCATAACTTTTATGGAGTTGTCCATAAATGGCGAAATGGAGTCACGCTGTTTGGAAGATTTTTTTAAAAGTAAAGTCTATCACCCCACCTCAATTACAACTTTGTTTTTTCCGAAACAGAATTTCTTTCTAAAATGTCTGTAAAAAAGTAAAAATGTTGAATAGCTGAAAAAGACAGCTTATTTACTTTCAAAAATTGTAAGCTCAAACTGTGAGCTGACCACACTATCCTTCATATACCAGGCTCACAATATAGATCAATAATGAGTTCCTATATCATACAATTCTAATACAATGTTTGTAGAGGTGGACTAAGTTTATCTGTATAGGAAATTTTGCCACATTGGTCCTCGTTAGGTCACCCGTTTATGACGTCACAGGATAGAGGGTAGGCCCTATAAGGGGTCCACGTAAATCATTTCAGGCCTACTTACAACTTACGTTACAAACAATACAAAAGTTCAGCTTATCTGACGTAATCAAACGTCAGCGCCAGCGTTAAAAACAACTAAGCAATTAACTGTGGTAAGCGAGCGATGAACAATTTTTTTTTTAAATTAACTATTATGCTATAATATAATTAGTCTACAGAAAAAAATGTTTATTTGTAAATCAAACATTAAGCTTTAAGAGTAAACCAAGTGTTTAATAAATAGGCTATATGCCTACCTAAATTGATGTTTTAAAATGCTTTATTTATTTTTCATAGGCCTAATTAAAATCTTTGTTCTGTTTTTATTATTTCATCTTCCTTCTTAAATACAAATATTATCAGTGAACATTTACGCACCAAATAGCCCTTTGGCTTGAGTTTTTCTTTATAAATTAGCATACATAGCTTTTGTCCACACAATAACAATCTGTAAACAGATTTTCTTCCAGGCATCTCTTCGGGAGCTCCCCCCCCCCCGAAATGGAATGTATATAGAAAACATACTTTTACTAGTGTCCACCCCCTCCCCCGGTAAATGTTGTTGTCCCCCCCCCCCCCCCCGAAAATATCAAGTGCCCCCCCCCCCCCGAGAAAAAAGTCTGGAAAAAACACTGTCTACAAGACAGCAGTTGTTGGGTTTTGGAGTTTTTGCGCTGCTAGATGTGTCCCCAGCTTATGAGCAACTTTTGCGTGGTGTCCAAACTCTGGACTTTTGTAGTTAGTAATAACGAGCTGCGTAGCGTACGCCGCTATTTAGTTGTTTTATTTTCTACTTTTCATCATTTGTGAATTGGACACTACCGTCCTCCTACGCCCCCCGCCCCCGTGAAAGCAACCGTCCTTGACGGCAGTTTACAGACGACAATGAAAAGACCAAGCAGAACTTTTTATTAGCTCCCCTTAGTTTCAAACCCCTTTAAAACTAAATTATCCGCCCCTAATCGCCATCACTAATTCGACCCGGCTCTACGATTGTAAACATTTGACTTGAACCACAGCTCACCAGACAGGAGAGCGAGGGAGGGGGCGATAGGAGGGTTAGATAGATACGCCCTACCACCCGACTTTTTATTGTTAAAAAGCACTACCTACATCACTACATTATTACATTCCGTGTTACAATACACTAATACTTGTTTTTGAATTATTTTATTGAAAGTAAGCTTTGAGCATACTATATAGTATATAGGCTAGGCCTACATAATTTGTCGATGTTCGCACCGAAAAACGAGTATGGACTGGGGGGGGGGTCTAAAATTCCAATTGTATGTGCGTTTCATGAATAGATTAGAAGAGTTGTGTCAAAATGTTTAAGAAAAAAATGTGTAAGCTCTGTCCTTGATATAATAATAACAAAGTGATTGAGATTGGACTTGGAGCCATATTTAAATTACACTTTAAAAAAAAAAAAGGTTTTTGGCTTTCAAACCAATTTGTATTTATTTTGGTAGGAGTACTTCCTAAAATACTCACGCACATTTTATGTGTGAATAGATTAAGATTTCTTTAAAGTAAGTTTGTTATTTAATACAATATAACGAAACAAAAAAATCCTAAAATTAAATTTATATATATGTTGTTAACAAAGACTTGATCAATGCCTATTTATTTTTAAATAAATATAGTTGTTTTGTATAGAATAAAGGCCTTCAATAAGATTTTTATGAGAAATCTACAGATTCAGATCTAGAAATTAAACTAGATCATTCTTTATTAATTTTATTTAGATTTATCTAGATTCTAGATCTAGAATCTAGTGAAATATTGGAATTGTGTCCCTTAGTTGCCAAATTCGTCAAAAGCGCGAGTAAGTAAGTCTTCAGTTACACCTAGACTAGTCTAGATCTAGCATAGATCCTAGATTCAAGGCCTAATTTTTGAAATACTTATTACTATTAGGCCTACATTTAGATCTACCTGCAATATTTAATTAGGTAAAAATAATAGATATAGATCTAGAACTAGATTAAAAATAGATTATTTTTTTAGTTTTAGATCTGGATCTAGAGATCTAGATCTAGATCTAGATCTACTTTACTACTTTACTTACTACTACTACTAGTCTATCTAGATCTAGAAATCTAGAATCTAGTAACTAGAGCAGGCCAGGGTGGTAATCTATCGTTTTTTTTTTTTGTTTTTTTTTACTTTCTCGTAGATCTAAGCATTTTGTTGACAATTTCAAAATCATTTTTTTAATTAAAAAAAGTTTTAGGCTAAAGTATCAATAATATAGCACACTAGTAAACTAAGCCAATATTTAGCATAGAATATTAACTTTCTGTGCAAAGTCATTAGGCCGATTCTAGCCGGAATAAGATACGCATGCGATACGCATGCGCAATGGAGAGAAACTACGACTTGCCTTAGCGGCGATGTTTTCGATGGTACTGCGCATGCGTGTGTTTACAACCGCAGAACCCCAACACCAACCCTAATCCTATCCTTAACCCTATCCCTAATCCTATCCCTAACCCTATCCCTAATCCTATCCCTAACCCTAGCCCTAACCCTATCCCTAATCCTACCCCTAACCCTCATTCTAGCGCTAACCCTAGCCATAGGTCACTGCGCATGCGCAGAGCTATCTTTTGCCGATTAAGTGGAGACGTTGGCGAGAAAAATCTTCTTCCGAGTAGACACTTCAAAGTCATTATTAATGAAAAAAATTCCAAAGTCAGGTCGGCCTGTGGCACCCCTCACTGAACTTGACTAAAGGAAAAAATATTTGACCTGTGACCTTAATTAAAACAGAATTTACCTATGTTTTTTTTTAAACTATTAGTAAACATGTGCTTAATCTTACCCAATAAGTAATAAAAATGTGAAAATTGATTTTTAATTACTGTTGTAAAGTGAGATAAATAGCTTGATATCATAAACACGTGCTGTTTGAGAGGAAGATTTTCTACATAAACAGCCGCCATCTCTTAACTAGAACTAGAGTGGCTTCCCCTGAATCTCTAACTATAATTAAACAAAAAAAAACTTAAACAAGATGGCATTATTACTTGCCTTAGACGATTTTATGTAATTGTACCTAAAACTATAGAGGTAAAACTCCATTTTAGCATATTTTATTTGCCGCTTCCTGTTCACCTCTGCTTCAGCGTATTTTATTATAAACACAACGGGTTGCAGTCCTTGGCTTGGTTAAATCATCCAATATTGTGTGCCACCATGTGAATATTGTAGGGTGCTTTTTAAAATGAACGTAGGCACAAAAGTGCTCACAGTGATTCAATTTAGTGAACGACTATAATATTACCACATCTTATCCATATTCTGTCGCACTGTTTAAAACTAACGTATGCACTATAGCGCACAGGAAGGCCCAGGAAACCAAACAGCTCCTGATTCAAGTTAGTGAGCAACTATAGCAACCCATTCTATTCATCCCATAGCCTATTGCATTCTTAAAATTAAACGTAGGCCCCAAAGTGCTCATGGGTCAGCCAGTGGGGTGGCAAATCGCCCCTGCTAGGGCGGCTGATTTGATAAAGTTAGCAATTATTGTTGCCCATGGTCTCTTTAGTGTATAGCCTTTTTTTAAAACAAATGTAGACGCCATAGTGTTCACAGATATAGTAGTACCCCTACCCGGCCAAATAGAACATGGAAAAGAACGGTAGAGGAAGAGGCAACGACAACTGGGCCCACATGGGCACAGATTAAGGGAGCAGCCCAAAACCGAGTCAGGTGGACAGGTGTAATTGCAGCCCTTTGCTCCCCAGGGACCACAAAGGAAAAATGATAATGAAGTGCTAAGATAGCCGCTCTGGAACTCAAGGCGCCAAAATGTGTATTGACAAAAATCGCACCCTCTGATGCGCCACCATAAGAAATTTTAATTATTTTTTTTTGGCAGAAATTCTTATCAATTCCCTAAAGTTTCATGGCGTTCGGATTAACGGTGTCATACCGCATCCGACTTTTATTTTATACACTGTATATATAGAGAAATGGCATCTCAATCTGCCGGTTCGCCGCGCCTGTGAACCTATTCTGGAGTATTCTCATCAACTCCCCAAAGTTTCATTGCGATCTGGTGTAGTAATGTATAAAAGACACACACACATACTTTCATTTTTAAATATATAGATTATATTCTAATTAATTATAGTATATAGGACTTGTGTTGTGCTTGGTTATACATTTAATAATCTTAATTTTTTACAGACACTGATTAATTAGAATCTATAGGCTGTATTGATAAATAATTATAGCCTTTATAAGCCTATACTATACTATAAGCTAATATAAAAATGGAGGTTGAACAGTTGGGGTAAGGAATAAATTATAAATTTTATTAAATAAATAGGCTGATTACAGGGATTATGGTTTAGGTATAAGCCTGGTTTAGGACAAGGTAGTAATAATAAAGATAAACCTTGAATAATTCCTGCTGACATGTTCTAATTACTTTTAGGCTTATATATTAATTAAAATGGGCCTATAGAATCTAGATCTATCTGGCTAATTTTATATATGGTGTTTGTAATGATTATTTTAATGGAATTTTTTAAATAAGAATGTGTTAATCATTTCCTGGTATCGTTAATTAATGAATGAATAAATAAAAAATTAATAATCCAGAACAAAAAGGACGTTTTCTTACTGCTTCTTATTTTACACAGTGAGTCAGTAATTTAAACACATGAGGATGTGAGCATTACTCAGAATGACTGCTACTTGGGATGAATTTATTTCAGGTACACTCTTATATCTCATTGGCTACTTTCTGTCAGGTGTTCATTGCTCAACATGCTAATCTCATAGCTGGTCCAATGGTAATAATGAATAATCTTACTAAAGCGGCCAACCAACTCTGATTAGTTAATAGTACCCAATATTAGGGAGAAAAGGTGGCTAGGCAGTGTACACAATGTCATTATGTGCTGTTGTCACAGCTGAACTTCAAATATAAACAGTTTGGGTTCATCTGTGTACATACATTTACTGGTGTAACTGTCAGGAATTCATTTCAGACATTGTAAACTCTCATATGCTGTCTCTCCTATTCTGAAACAGAGGTCAGCATTTTTAAGTTAAATTAAAATATATAACATTGTTTCTTTTCAGAAAACCTTTTAAAAAGTGGATTGTTTACAGGTCTATGTTTGCTATCCAATAGAAAAGAAATTATATACTCATACGGCTCTTTGAAAAATATAGACAAGGTATGATTAATGTATAGTCTCTTGTTCCAAATGTTTGTTTAAGAAATGTTTTTTTTTTTTAATTTACACCTAAGTACATTAGGTACATATTAGTACATATTAGTACATATCTCATTGGCTACTTTCTGTCAGGTGTTCATTGCTCAACATGCTAATCTCATAGCTGGTCCAATGGTAATAATGAATAATCTTACTAAAGCGGCCAACCAACTCTGATTAGTTAATAGTACCCAATATTAGGGAGAAAAGGTGGCTAGGCAGTGTACACAATGTCATTATGTGCTGTTGTCACAGCTGAACTTCAAATATAAACAGTTTGGGTTCATCTGTGTACATACATTTACTGGTGTAACTGTCAGGAATTCATTTCAGACATTGTAAACTCTCATATGCTGTCTCTCCTATTCTGAAACATTAAATGGGACTTTTTTGGAAAGGAGAAAGTGTAAATTTGTGGATCCTGTGTGTAATATATTTTTAGTTAACCCAACTCTAGTACCAATGCACTAGAAAATTCTCAGAGAGTTCCTATGACAGATATTTCCCATTAATCTTATGGTCTTCTACTAAAAAAGCTATCAATCTAAGGAAAATAGTAAATTTATTTTGGGGTATTATTTACCTCAATAAATGTTATTAAAATTATTATATTGTACAGCCTACTTACTTAAGCCAATTTAGTATTTTTTTAAAAGAAATTATTTTCTTTGCAGGGAGAACAGGATCAAATTTTTAGTTTATTTTCAGGAAATAAATTAGAAGAAAACCACACCTGTTTAAAGCTAAAAGTGGTGACTTCTAATCAAAATAGTGTAGAAATTAACTTCAGGATCTATCATAGGACACAAACTAGGTATTGTATTTTTATTCTTAGATTATTGCTGTAAAATGTCTTGTGTTATTTTTTTACATTTTTTTTTCTCTCTCTTCTTGTAGTTTAAAGATAACAAATTAAATAATTCAACACATGAAGAGATTGTTTTTATAAGTTGAAACTCTGATAATTTGATATTTTTTTGTTTTAACAATTTTCTAAAATGAAAACTTTAATGTTTATTAGCACAATACCAAAAAAACTATTATTTAATTGTCTATGGTAGTCATTTTGGCTTAATATGCTTGCTTTGAACTAATCGGATAGAGAATTTAGGAGTAAACAGCTCTGCCAATAAATAATGGAGAATTTCAAAAGTAGTAGTCGTTCTAATCTTTACAAGTTATATAAAAATCTAAAGGCATAATTTTTTTATAAAGTTATAGGACATTAAACAATAATTTATACATGTTTAATTATACTTTTGTGTAGGAATTCAATTAAACAGACTTTATAAAATGCTGTATTTTATACCTTGGCAGTAAAACTTTTAAATATTCCTAATACTATCGTTGTGTATGTTTCTTTGTTGGATTTTTATTGATAAAAATATTATTTATATTCTAAAATTAGTATTTTATTTAACTGTTTAATTTAAGTAACACAAAATATTTTTTTTTAGTTAGTTTGAACGCTGTATTTTATATTTCAGCATATATGCGACGACAGAGGGTAATAAGTTTGGAATAACACTAAGTAAGCTGCCACACGGGGTATTCGTTGGATTGTTTCAGAAACCTGTCATTGCTCACAAGGCTATAGCCCTCATTGAAAACTTCACCGAAAGACTAAGGCTCTAAAACATTTGTACACAAGACACATTTAGTCTAACTCAATCTCTTCCCCTGTTGCAATGGCAGACTTGTTGGAAATAGCTGCTGCGGCTAATATTGAAATTGTTGACGCTGCCCCAGGAGACGGTGGGGATGTTGAGAGAAGTGGACATGCTGAAGGTGGATCTCTGTTGGGAAATACAGGGCCAGCAGAGTCTGGGGATTCCTGTGTGTATCCTGATGTAGCCGAATATGAAACCTTGTTCTCTAATCGTTACACAGAGTCCGATCCAGATTATGTCAAGGCATTAAATGACGTGGACATCACCGTCCAGCCACCATGTGTAACTGATTTCTATGTGAGGCGCCAGCGGGATGGCAACTGGAACAGGAATCGGGGTGGTTCTGGGAACTTTGGGGGTGGGGACCGGTATAGAAACAGGAGTAACCACGGTGATTGGGGTAGACAGGGTGGAGGCAACTGGGGTCGTGAAGACAGATCTTATAATCAGCCTCGAAGTCATGGTGACTATCACCAGGGAGATAGAGGCTACAGGGACAGAAGTAGGGATGACAGAAGGGACAGGTCATCTAGGTACTAACATTTGTTAAAATGTTGCTAAGTCAAAAATGTTCTTTACTTTTATTGGATGAAAATTGTAATTTTTTGTGTGTGCAAAGGCAGCTTTGTGTTAAATGAATAAATTTCAAGATTTCTTTATGTGAATCCCAATTATTTCTTTTTTAGTACTCCATTAGAGATAACAATATGAAGATTTTTTAAAAGTTGTTTTGTTTCTTGGAAAGCAGACCTGATGAATGCACATGTTCAGCATTACTGTTAAGAAAGTACTTGATGTTTTAGGGTTTTTATACATCCTTAATACTATAAAGTATAGTTTTTAAATATATAGCCATCCAATATAATTCAAGCCATCTGCTTTGTAAATTTTCAATGTCTCTGACAATTAAAAATATCACATGAATACAGAAATTTATTAAAATAAGTGTATTTGCACCACACTTGGCAACTGATGTAATGAGACTTGACAGCTCTATGATGGGCAACAAGATAAATCTCATGTCAAATTCTGATCTTAAAATCTGTGTGAATGTATGCAGACTGAGTGTGCAAAAAGAACGAAGAAAAAATTCATGAAAATATTTATTTTAGTCATTTTAACAGTAAAATCACAAGAAATCCACCAAACTATCTGCATATGAAACAAGTTTAGGTTTTACCTAATACTTAGAGCTAGGAAAATGTTCCTTAATAATAATACAATTGTAATTTCATAAACCCAAAACTAAGACCAAAAAAAACTTTTCTATCCAAGGACACTTCAATTATTTACAATGTGAATATTTCAAAGTTTTCAATTTAATACAAACAAGTCCTTGAATTGCATAAATGAATACTAATAGTAATATGGTTGCATGAAAAGTTACAAAATGCTTAACATTTTTCAAAGGATTTAGGAGCTAGATTTATTGCTTAGTATTTCATAGAAGATGCTTCCCCCTCCCTTTTTTTATGTAACACCTTACAAAAAGAAATAAATATGTGGTTTAGATTACCCAGTATTCTTACTATTTCATTTAAAACTTAATATACAGTTAAAATTAAACAGTGGAAGGGGGTTGGACCTCAGCAGCTAATTTGTGTTAGTGAAGTTTGTAATAAATAGTTCTTAAATGTAAAAGATAGATATAATTTAAATAAAAATGTATTACCTACATACTTTATGAAGTATAAACAATGCACATGTTTGTAAATGTTATTTTGAATTAAAATTATAATCGTGCATAACTATAATTATTTTTACAAAACTAAGTCCACATGATAAAGCAATATTTATAAAAGAATTGTAGAAATGAACTATTAGTTTATGCTTGCAATGATAGTGATGAAAGTAAATGAAGCATGCCAAACTGTAACAGGAGTAGTATGATCTTTCTGTATTATTAAGTTATTCTCTTTTCAACACTGTTTGAGAAAACTTTAAAAAAATTCTATCAATATTTCTTACACTTTGGTCAAAATTTTAACTGTTGAAGATAAAAAAATTTCTATCTACATTTCTTAAACCTTGGTCAAAATTTTAACTGTTGAAGGAATAAAGAATATGTATTGTTTTTATCTTGGTCCATGAACATTAAATAAAAAGGGGGATACAATTTCAATCAATTGGGAAGTAAAGATCTGACAGGCTGAGCATTAATAAATAAACACGGAAACAAGTGGAGTCAGTGATAGAATGGTTTATGAATACAAGGTCATGGGAGGTCATTTCTTCAAAGCAGAAAAGATAGAAAAAAATCAAGCTTCTTGCTTCAAGATATTAAATATATAGCGAATCAGTAACTAAGTAATTAATGCAGCTGAGAGATTTAAAAATCTTAAACAAGTGCAGTTGAAGGATGTTAGAACTAATGAATGCAGTTAAAGAACAGACTAGCTGCACTTGAATGAATGAAATCTCAAGTACAATTTTAATTGATATCTCCTCCGGTTTTTCCTTGTGGAACTATCAACAATTTTCTCTAAAAAAAAAAATTTACATCACTTTATTTATATTATATAGCTTTATAAATTATAACATTGTAAAGAAAAAAGAAAATTCTATTATAATTACCAATTAGTTTAAAGTACAACTAAAACAAATTACATGGTGGATTCAAAAATATTGGTGACTTAATTAAAAGATTAGGTGTAGTCAACAAAACATGTATCAACAAGGTGAGAATATAACAGACAAGCAGCAAGTAACAGTTGGTAGAAGTAAATCAACTAAACAAAGTGCAAGAGCTAAACATTAGGTGGCGGGGGGGGGGGGGGGGGGGAAATAACTAAATTTGCAGCTCCTTGATGGAGAAATCAACTGTTTATCGGCATGATGCTTTTGCAATGAATGAGCCAGGTGAAAATCCCAGCTATTATATCATTATTCCTTTACTAAATTCTTTATTGAAAAAAAATTAGGAAGAAATACTTATTTTGACACAGTAAAAAATTTTTTTTCAAATACTGACTGATAAAAATTGGGTAATACTAAAATTGGTAAGAACTATACTTTTGTTTTGAGAATCCTCCTCTTTTTTTATCTTTCACAAGATGTCTAACTAAAATGAGAGCTGTTGATTTTGCCTTACAAAAAACAAACATTTTAAACACTTTCAGATAAAAAAAAACAACCCAAAGCATAGATATTTATACAAAACATCTTTTGACTTGGTTTTTACAAAATAACATTAAAGTATGAAATATAACTGTTCAATTTATTTTATAATACACTTGATTTTAGCTCAGGGAACTGTTTAAAAAGCATGTATTTATTTAAAAATATATATGTATATATGCCTATATATATATATATATATATTAAACAAAATTTACCGAAAAGACATTCCAGTAAAATTTTTTAGATTAAAAATATTTATATTTATGACAATTGTAAATGGAAAAAATAAGGAAAAAACAACTTGTATAGCAAAAATACTTCTGACTAAAATGTCATTTCAGTTTAGCATGAAACAAAATATGAAATATAAAGCTCGTTTTAAAATAATGAGCATGGCTTCTCAGCAAAATAAAAATTCCTGCAAGAGTTAGTATTATTTATTAATATTGCTTTAATAAGTAAATAAGGAAATTTTTAAAAATTAACTCTCTCAACGCAAAACAAAAAAAAAATGAAGGTTAAGAACAACCGTAAAAGAAATTATGGTATTATAATGTTAAAATTATTTATTTCTTTATACATACATACTGAATTGTTCAAGATTTTGACAGTAAAATATATACTATCTTTTCCACCGTTTAAACTTCATTTAACTAACCCTTTAATTCATCAAAGGGGAAAAGTATCTTTCAATTATTAGCATGCCCTAAGTTTTATATTGACTGAAATAAGCAATTTATATAATTTAAAAAAACTCTCCAATGATAGCTGATGTAAAGAATTGAGAAACTATTTACAATCAAGTATAAAACTGTACAGGACAGACAACAGCAGTATGAACTAAAACTTTAAAAAAAAAAAAAAAAACAATGGCATTTATATAAAAAAAAAACTGGAAGGCTGCTAGGTCAGAGCCTATAACAATGGCACCCACAACTTTTTTCCTTCAGTAGTGCTTCAAGTAGGCTAGAATGTCAGTCTCTATGCTTTATTTGAGCTCTCACCACTGTCAGCTGCCCCTGCTATCACATTATTGTTCCCTGCTATGTACACATTGCAAGATTTTTCCCCTGAAAGACTTTTCTCCAAGCTCCTGGGGCTCAGGTCGATGACAGGAGAAGGTGACATCATCGATGGCCATGACAGGTTGTTGACCTGGTTTTCCGAAGATCTACGAACCTCCAAGTTCAGCTGGTTAAGAATATTCATACTAGCAGGGTCATGGGGTGGAGGCTTAAGTCGCCCGTTGACCAATTCACCTTTATCGTTGGCATCCAAAACTTTAACAATGTGCTCCAGAAGAATACCAAAGAAATTATCGATAGCCTCAAATCCTGGTGTAGTCAAATAAAAATGATTGTTATTTGTTTTTTTAACTTAGTTACTATAAATCATAAATACTTTCAGCTTTGTTAATTTTTTTTTATTACAAATAATTTTAAATAGTTATTTCCCTTTCTTCAGACAGGATCCTTTTACTTTTAACATGGACAATATTTCAACTCTGAAAGTTATTTTATAGGTAAAAGGCTTAACAAAAGTTAGGTAGGGAAAAGAAAAAACCTAATTTGAATAGATACTATATAAAATAAAATGTTTTCAAAGAAATTCAAGAATCGTAAACTAAAATAACTTTTAAAGTAAATTTGAATTTTGTGAACTTTCCCATTCCACGTTCAAAAAAATTGTAATGTTTATTGTGGCTAGGGATTACTATGGAAATTCCACTCACCTGGAAAGAAATTAATGTCAATAATTCCATACTGATTAGTTTGGCTGTCGATGATGACATCAAAACCAAAGAGATCCAGCTCCATCGCTTCTCGCATGCTCTGACCAAGCCGATCAAGATACACCCAATCAGGTTTTGTTGGCTGGTTCTCCAGTGTAGCATAGTCCACCTGGGTAAAGACATTATATAAGTTACCCTTTTGAACCTGGGGTGGTCCATGGGGCAAATGAAGTTGTGGTAATCTATTTCTGGGACCTCAGCATATGGAAAGTGTGGTCAGCGGTAAGCACTTTCCTTTATGTCAGGTACCAATCAGAGCTGGGTGGACTCAGGGACATCCTATGGACTCTAGCCTGGAATTTAGACTCAAGACTCTCTAGTTAGAAGCATTGTGCTCTACAATCTAACCATGTGGTCCCATAAAAACATTATAACATAACTTTATATAATGATTCCAAAGCAAATAAAAACTGTTAATAAAACAAATATTGGCTTGGGAATTGTGTGAAAAACAAACTGACTGTAGCACTGTTGATTACAACTAATAAAACTGTTTTATTACAGAAGCAACTTACAGCATTTAGTGGATGATCTGAGTCAGCTTTTGATACTTCCTGTGTATCAAAGAATATTGTTGGGTGAGCTGTAGATAGAAAAACATCATTAACTATTCTTCAGTACAGTCTTTTTTTTAAAAATCTCTTTTAAATCCCTTTCGTCTCCTTACCAAAAAAAAAAAGGATATTATATAGGTAATTTTGAAGGCAAACATGGTAAATGAAAAGTTTAGAATCATAATTTTGATACATGAGTTCAACTTTTTATCAAGCATGAGTTAAGTTTATATGAAATTGCTCACAGAGTTATTTTTAGTCTCCAGCTAAAAACTTTAGGAACAATTTTTAACAGTCTCTCCAACCTAGATACTACCAGTAATAATACCTCCAGGGTACAGGTTCTTTAGGGAAGGCCTCTGAATGATGAACTGCTTGCAACCAACCACAAGAATCTTATACAGGATGGCGTTATGGTTAATGAAAGACTGGGCCACACAGGGTGGGTCAATGTCCTTCAGCCCCTCTTCATTGAAGATTATAGACATCTAGGGAATAGACAATTCCAACTGATTAATATGGGTCATGTTACATACGCATAAATATATTTAAAATTTCCATACATAAAAAATTCAAGCTAAAATAATAAATTAAAATATAAAATTCTGATTTAATAAAAATTATTATAATTTTATAATGCCTCCAAAAAATAATTTTGTTATGTAATTAAAAATTCTACATAAAAACGTTTAAATAAGATCAATTAAGAAAGAATCTGCTCATACAGAGCACACGAAAAACTGAAATATTAAAGAAAAGTGTATTAATGACATAGATAGGTGAGTTGGTTTTAAAAATGCTTTACCAGAAATGCATTTATAAAACATTTAATGTATTAGTGCAGTATTTTAGGGGCTTGAATCTCAGAAGAATTATAAATAAAACCACTAAAAAATATATAGTTAACAAAAATTCTTTAAACTTAAAAAAATTTCTTGAAAAAATTAACAAAAATTTATTTATAAGCCTATTAACATTATTTTAATCCCAGGAAAAAAAAATCAAATTATTGAAGGTATCAATACAATATAAGTTTTAAACTTTTTATGAATGACTGAGATAAAAAAAAGTATGACCTTTATATAGCAGAAATTGAATGAATCCAATCGTTCAATTTAATATTATTTAGTGAACAAAAAAAAAATAACAAGCGGGTATCTAAACACAAAAAGTGTATTTAGTAAGAAAATGCAAACTACAAGGTATCTTTTTTAAAAAATGGGTAAAAATATATTCCTGATACTTAAAATAACAAAAAAAAAGTATACTTTCTCTTTTATTCATTGCTATTAAGATACCTGATGAGCATAGGTAGATCCATGGGCCAGTATAGGCTTGCATACTGCAATAAGAATGGTTTTAGTAAGTGTGTGTCTGTGTGTAAGTAGGCTCTTTGGCAGAGTGAAGTGGGGAAACAGTGCATGTTTGTGTGTTGGCCAAAGTGATTTGCATGCTACAGAAAAAAATAAAATAAATAAACCAATGCAATGCAAGTGTATTTCTTAAAATCTCTGTGTCCCTAACTCTACTTAATATTAATTGCAGCTCTATTGTCTGTTTTTTAATATGAAAATAATCCAATAAGGCTGGTAATATTTCACTATAAACGGTGTTGCTGCAAATTAAACAAAATTTAGTTTGTTTTTTATGGTGTCAGCTTTCATGTGCAGATTTGAAAATAAAAACATTTTTCGATAAAAATTATCATTTGAATTATTATTGACAATTTCCTATTCTTGTAACGAAGCGACTGTTTAAAAATAAGTAGAACTTTAGCTCCAATGATGATAATCTTGTGAGAAGTGTTCTTTTAACATATTTTCTTCATCATAAAATGCACCATGCTAAATTTTTGTTAACATAAAGGTATCTTTGTTTTTTTAATGTTGCTACTCAAACCTATAATGCAAGGCTGTACACTACTATAAAAAGAAAAACTTTGGTTTTATGAAAGAATTAATGATTTAAAAACATCATTGACTCAATAAAATATGTTTATAACACTGACAAAAATGAAGATTTGACAATGGAACATATTTTTTAATTATTATGGTCCAAAACTTGTGTTTTTTTTCTTTTTTTAAAGCTTAAAGCATTCTAGGATAGGACCATGCTATGTACAAACAGTTAAACTTCATTAAAAAAATGTATTAAATTTATTGGAAACACACTGGGCATTAAAAATAATTTACTTTTGAAAAAAAAAAAAAAACTTGGTATCTTCAATTGCACTGTAAGACAATCTAGTAGGACTTACCCAATGGGAATGTAACACCAGCTCTGGCCAATTTGCCTTTATTTTCTTCTCTGTCTGTAGAATTGAGCTCCACAAAAGTGGGAATCATGCAGCGCTGGTCTAATGAAGGTGGAATAGACCACAACTCAATTTAGGAACTAAATTTCTAAGCAACCATGGGAATATGACTTAATTTCTGTTGTTTTTAAAATAAGGAGATGAAACAAAGTAGGCACTAAATTTCTAAGCAACCATGGGAATATGACTTAATTTCTGTTGTTTTTAAAATGAGACGAAAAAGTAGGCACTAAATTTCTAAGCAACCATGGGAATATAACTTAATTTCTGTTGTTTTTAAAATAAGGAGACGAAAAAAGTAGTCACTAAATTTCTAAGCAACCATGGAATGATTTAATATCTGTTGTTTTTAAAAAATAAGGAGAGGAAAGGTAGACTAGATGGGGAAAAAAACCCACCATCAAGCTCACCTTTCATGATGCCAGATGTTGAGACCCTCTGGTACTGGGTGTACCTGTCCAGCAATCGCCTGATGCTGTCCAGTGGGTCCAAGACCACAGTCTCAGGATGGTTCTGGATGTAAACCTGTCAATCAAGCAAAACGTAGGGTAAATATAAATAGTGTTTTGAAAAAAAAATGTGTTAAAATAACACACTTCTGAGGTGTAAAATACCATGTTTCAGATTGTTAACTGTTTATTTTAAAAATTTAGCAATTATAAAATTAATTTATCAATAATAGCACTCCACGGTCAGAGGCGTATCCAGGTTTTCGTTATAGGGGGAGCGAAAAGAGCAAAAAAAAAGGCGCCGAATTTTTTACACGTTCTCTAAACGTGTATTTTATATATATATATATATATATATATATATATATATATATATATATATATATATATATACAATTACTAGCTGTAAGTCATTACTTCGCTATGATGTAAAATAAATTGAAAGTAGCACTCTGAAGAAATAAGAAAAAAACACACAATGTAGGCCGACAAAACAAAATTTGTATCAATCTAAAAAAAAAAAATATACACACACTACAACAAAAAATAATGAACGTAACACAATCTGTTCTGTAATTCTTGTAAAAAACATTTCTTACATAATAATTATTTAAGACAAGTGAAATAGGGGAAATAATTACTCTCTTAATATAAATATGCATATTTCTACACATTTAATTATAAATGTCAAAACAAATAAATAATTACTTAATAATATAATGATATTGTTTAACACTATTCGTGTTTACAAAATGTTTTTGTCTATAATCAGAATTTAATATATTGTCATCATAAATGCTAAAGTATTACAGCAAAAAGAAAATTTTTAAAATCAGAGTTGGTATAAAACCACGCTTTTCGATATTGTAGAAAAACATTCGGAATAACAGCCTACATTTAACTAAATGTCGGTCTTTTAGTCCAGATCATATATTTTTAATTAACTACTGCTTCTTTGTGTTCTTTAAAAATGATTTTTTAACATAGTGATAGGTATGGGTTAGATCACTGTATTGATCACATACCTTTTTACTGGTAATTGCAAAAACAATATTCACAGAGTTTTACGTTTAAAAGGCTAATTTTCTGGCGGCATGGTACTTTGGTACATCATTACGCGTTTTTCTACATGTACTTAACAGATCAGTTCGGGGTGGGTTGGGGGTGGGGGGGGGGGGGGTTCAACTTCATTCACCACTGTCCGGTCACTTTAGGTCATTTATCTAACCCAGTGTATACCTAGGTTTGACATTAATGTCGCTCTACACAATTGTGGTGGTGAGGTGTGTGTGTGGGGGGGGGGGGGATTACCAACTCAAAGTGAACATAGCGTCACTTTTTAGATGACTTTTCTAAACATACATATATATTACACAAATATATAATACACAAATATATATTACAGAAATAGATTTAAATAAGTAGCAGTGGTATTATGAAAATATTTTTTTTACAGAGGGGTCCATGGGGGAGGGGGGTTGTAACTGTTTCATATAATTTGTAATCGTAATCACTATTGCCCAAACTGTAAGAATACTACTACTTCATCGTGCTGACGTTGTTGATCTTGTCAAAATTTCCCCACCACTACGCAGTTTGCTCATAAGTAAATTTAAATAGAGGTGCCACATCAGTTGTATTTGTTCCTGTATTGTAATTTTTTTTAATTAATCACACGATTCAAACTGTATATATAAAGTAATTATGTGTGAAGTTTTATGTATAACATTTTCTAATTCAATTATTCGTAAGCAAATGCATTATACAGTTGCCTTAAACTTAACACCCCTCTTGCCAAGTGGTACTACCCGTAGAGGTTTTTTAAACATTGCAATGCATCGTCATGGTTATTTTAAGAATGGCAAACTGATGCAGCTGTTAATACGTGTTGTAAACGTAGACACAACTAGACTAGTACAATAATGCTTATTTGATGCATGAAAAGAAATCTTGTGATTTACATAGATGTGCCGACCAAAAATATGTTTTTAACAAATATCATTGTTTAAAAATTTGAGTTTAAAAAGTTTCCAAAAAGGTGCCACTTTGCTGAAAATGGCCAGAGGGGGAGCGGCCGCTCCCCCTGCTCCCCCCCTGCGTACGCTACTGTCCACGGTTTTAAGACAAAGACATTGCTTAAACATTGATAAAATTTTAGCCAATAAATAAATTTATACTTTCATATTCAGAGCACAGACTATTGAAAACAAAATTTTTTTTAGAGGGTTTATGGAAAATCTTGCAATGAAAAGGAATCTAGATTTTGAAATTTCTGCAGATGCCAGCTGAGGCAGATAAGAGACAGTTATAGTTTTAATTTCAAATGTATGCTTGATTATTGCATAGGGAAGGGATGAAAGAAAAATGAATAAGACTAAAACACCTCTACCTGATCTCATTTCAATGCTACTATTCTAATTACAAATAAAAAATATATTTTTTTTTACAAGAACTGAGTAGGGAGCGTAGAGAGGGGAAGACAATCTATTTTCATTTAAGGAACTTCCTGTTTATGCTCTGCTATCTTGGTACCTTATAATTTTAACCCCACCCACGTCAATGCTACAGTTTACTATATAAAAATATTTTAATCTTTGAAGAAATGAGCGTGAAGTATAGAGAGTAGAGAGAAAGAGCATGTTTACAATGAAGTTGTCTATTGCTACAGTAACTAACGATGCTATTGGGGGAGGAGGGTGGAGGGTGCGTGCGGTGAGCTGTGATGATTCATCCCCAGCAACTGCCGTACTAGTTGGACAGTGAGTAATAGTGCATCGCGTCTAGCCGCCCTTCCTTCCCACCCACCCAGCTTACGAACACGCTTTGCTCGCTGATTAACACCTTGTGAGCCAAGGTTGAGTTTTTTTTTTCCCCCTTCCGTTGCGCGTTCGTTTGGCGCGCACCTCAAATGTATTTATTGGAAATTCATTAGATAAGACTTGAGGTGTAAGGCATTAGCTCACCGGGCTGGGGTAAGGTGGAAAGTAGTTTTTTTATTGTACAGACCGGCTTAACCCAGTGATGGCTAGAAGCATTAGTTGCTTGTCTAATTAACATTAACAAGGTTAGCATTGACGTAGCCAAGTGCCGCGTCGTTCAAGGATAATGTAATGTGTTTCAACGGATGATCAACGGGGTCTAACTGTAATAAAACATCTAATGAACGTGGCCTAACTGTAATAAACAGAGGATCAACGTGTAACTGTACTAAAACAGCGGTAAACTGATGCAAGAACGACTGACACTAGAGATGTAGTCCTTTATAACCAGTTTAAATTATTTGGCTTTTTTTTTTTAAGTTGGGGTAAGGTGTTATGAAACTTTTTTTGTGTGACACGGATGGGACTGTGCAGACATTACAAAACTGTATTCTTGAGAGGCTCTCGTTAACTTATAAAATGGCATGTACCCACCCATCAAGTTTTAATCGCATATACCAACCCATCAAGTTAGAACGAAAGGTACCCATCAAGTAATAATGGTATTACCTACCCATCGCCTTCTAATGGCAGGTATCCACCCATCAAGTTAAATGTCAGGTACCCACACATCACCTTATAATAGTAGATACCCACCCACACCCATCACCTTATAATAGCTGGTACCCACCCATCATCTTATAACGGCAGGTACCCACCCATCACCTTATAATGACAGTTACCCTCCCAAAGTCCAATGTCAAGCACCAATCAAATTCTAACGCCAGTAACCAATTAAAAGCTGCCTGGACACATTTACAGAATCACATTTTCACTCGCATCTCCTTGTGGGAACCCTCAGGTCTATTTATAGACCACCAAGTGGAACCTCTCACGCGGTGAGCATCTCAATCAGGAGAGAGAAGAAAGGCGATTGTTGGGTCAAGCCGACCCGAGCTCAAAATATCCACCTTAAAAACAGAAGGAACAAGCTTCTCATTGAATTCAATGTCCGTTCTAGGGCAGCTCGGGGAAGCCAATCACAAACCTGTTTGTTGTAGGTTTTTTTTTTATTTAATCATAAAGGAATCAGCTACAGCGCCATTTCCAGGAACACCGTGGGGGGAGATCAATAAACGTCCCAATCAAATCGATCCCATGTGAGACAGCGCGCATACTGGTACAGAGGCACGGCTTCTAGTCCTGCTGGCCGGCTGGTTCATTCAACACTGGTGATCGTGGTTCTTTGCCCTTATGATCAGTGATATTTTTTTTTATACGCAGGCAGATCATAACTGATCAGTGACCACTAACTCATATTAAACAAGTAGCCGCATGAAACTTGACTAGTAATTCCCTAAGTGATAGACCACCAACTCTTTTAAAAATAGCCCCATGAAACTTGACTAGACCACTAACTCTTTTAAAAATAGCCCCATGAAACTTGACTAGACCACTAACTCTTTTAAAAATAGCCCCATGAAACTTGACTAGACCACTAACTCTTTTAAAATAGCCCCATGAAACTTGACTAGACCACTAACTCTTTTAAAAATAGCCCCATGAAACTTGACTAGACCACTAACTCTTTTAAAAATAGCCCCATGAAACTTGACTAGACCACTAACTCTTTTAAAATAGCCCCATGAAACTTGACTAGACCACTAACTTTTAAAAATAGCCCCATGAAACTTGACTAGACCACTAACTCTTTTAAAAATAGCCCCATGAAACTTGACTAGACCACTAACTCTTTTAAAAATAGCCCCATGAAACTTGACTAGACCACTAACTCTTTTAAAAATAGTAACCCATTAAAACTAGTAATTCCCTAGGTAAGTGATAGAGACCTCCACCCCCCCCCCCCCCCCCCCCCCATTTTTAAACAAACAACAAGCAACACATTTCAATAAAATCAAACTTTAATACAGCAGCTGTAGCTATTGTTACATAACTAAAGGTTCACGGGTGGCAAATCACTTAATGTCGTCTACCACTAGACCGGTTAGAATACACGTCTGTATTTTCAAGGTTATTCAACGAATCAAAATGTGTCACGAGCTTTCCATTAAACTACCTTGTATTTTTTGACAGGTAGTTTTTTTTTGTGTTTCTGACCAAGCCACCCTATATGGGAAAGTAAACACTACTGTTTCCGTTTTCTAAACTTCAGTTGATGTCGCAAGATGACCTACTTCTAAAAACTGCCAAGTTACATTTGCGTCACTAATACGTGACAGCCAACACGCTACCCCCCCCCCTACAATACACACACCCAACGACCCCTATCCGCCTTTCCATTTATAAAGACGACTCAGTTTGACGTCATCCCCCAGTCACAATGGTTATGCCCTCAAGTAGATTCCAATAGAATCAAATACTATCACCCAATCTAATTATAGATCTTAAACCAGCGAGAGATTCTTTAATTCGTTTAATTTTGTCTCTCTAAAAAAATAAACCAAAACAACTCTCAACCATAAAAACAAAGTGGGAGCAGATATTTTCTATTTTAAAGAAGTTCAGTAGTCTCTATTAGCAAATAATGAACCCCTGAAAAAAAATATCCCTCGGGTAGGTGTGGGGATATTCTAAAAATACCATTCACATAAATACCACATGACGTCACAACTACCTTTAGCAATAACAATTAGGCCATATATTTCCGCTTAGGACTGGCAACCCCCTCTTTCCTATACATAATGGCTTACGGAATTATTAAGTTTTAACAATGACTTTTTTTTGTATTTTGCAACAGCCTTGGTTGCCTATGGATTATGACAACAATCAAAATACATGTCAGCTATTCTATTTAAGTTTAAGAGACCAGGTATAAACAGCTGACTACGTTGTAACAGGCACACGTACTGATTTAAAAAGAAAAGAAAAAAAAAAACTCGAATTAACAGAAAGCCGAGGAAACAAAATGGAGGAACACAAACAATAATCGTTAAAGCTCAATAGCATATTTTGACCTTTGATTCCCAAACATTCATCAAATAAACCTAACCACGCGTAGAGAGTGGCCTCCCCTGCTGAGTTTTTTCTTCTCCCCCCAACTCTTCAATAACTGGCGCTGACTACGTCATTCTAGCTTCAACTAAATCCAACCAGTCGAGGCGGGGCGTGGGTACACACAAATCCTGTTTACGCCGTCCCAAAGCAGATATTCAAGCTCGGCGCTGACTGTAGGGGGGGGGGGGGGGTTGTTAGTTCAAAATACTCTAATACTTTGCGTCAACAACTAACCAATTCATTTTAACTAAACGCTAATGGAACGTTGAGATTACGAATCATCTTTTTTTTTTTTTAAAGTTAACAGGTAATTAATCACTAGGTAAAACCGGTTCGCGGCGGGCTTAACAGAGTTGAAAAAAAAAAGGCGTTTTGTTATCCATGTGTCAACACTGCAGAGGCTAACGGTGTGCATCGTCCTCACCACGTCTGATTGGACCAGCTGTAAACGAGGTTTGGGCCGGCCATTGTAGGTCATCCAACACGATTGTGAGCTGGGTGACAGGCGGTTGACTCGACATTGATCCGGCGATCACTGGTCCCATACATACACAAGGACGATTCTTTTTGTCGGATTTGTCCACACCATATCCGTTTTGTATTCCCCCCCCCCTCCCACTCTCTCACTAGCCGAAATCTTCGTCGTAGAGTGCAAATGTGATATAAATTACGGGGTGTGTGTGGAGGCGGAAAAGGGGGAAAAAACGCGAGTTATTAGGTCAAAGGTTACACCCGATCTGTGCTGTTCCAATCACACGAGACTGACTATCCAGGTAATGTTGCTAGCACGTGCTACTACAGCCGTCATATTACCTGGTGTGTTCGTTGGAAATTGTTTAATGCGCGACATCGACATAGATCGGCATATCGAAAGGACCGGACAGCCTGGTCAAATGACAACAACTTCACGCAAATTGCTTAAAAACTGGTAGATGAAGTAGGTCAACAGAGCCCCGGGCTACCGGCCCCCCATGAGCTGCGCTAGTTTGGCTCATGGTCCCACAGTCACGGTGAAGAAAATAAGTGTGTAGGGAGTGCAGCTAGTGCTGGTCGTCTCAATCATCGCTGGTTCTCAAATTGCTAGCAACCACAACCTTAACCATGTAATGCGTAGTTGTTTTTTTTTTTTTTGGGTCATAACTACATGCATCTGCGCTATTCAATCATGTTGTTCACGATAGATACGTAAACAGTGGATCAAAGCGTAAACTAGGTTATTGTGTGTTTAAATAGGGTCACCAACAAGGGCTTGTTTTTTGTTTGTTTACATAAATTAGCAAAAACTATCACGTGAATTCAACCGAGCGCTACCGTTCAACCGACTACTGGTAGGCCTACATTTTGCAATCAATTAGGCGTGTATGTTTTCATATTGCCGGTGACAGGACAAAGGGGGAGATGATGAATGAGGCCCTATGCTCCACAAGGAGTAAACAGGACAAACTCCAGTAAGCCGATGTTTATAAACTTTCAATGGACCAAGACAACCATTGCCTGCTCAAGAGCAATATCCTAATCTATTTGGGACAAGACGCGGATCAATTTCCAAAGATTGGGGGAAATATTTTTTTTTATCCACGCACATGCCCAGACAGTGACTTGTAATCAATACAACATCCCGTCTCTACAACAGCCAGTCACTAAAGCGGTTTGAAGCGGGTTCGGCTAGTCAAACCCAAGCACGTGTGTCGCTGAACATTCTGACTTGTTATCAGCGTATACACACACACACACACTTCTCAAAACGACACGCTCAGTCAAGAAAAAAAGGGACCCAGCAAGCTGTGTGTTGACACAAAAAGATAGGCTGTGTCGTGGCCGGCGGCGTGGGGGCGACACAGTTGACAAGGTGACGTCATTTCTGCCGTGGTAGGTGATGCAATACGAAACTGGAGGGATCCGTTGTTCGACTTCATATTGGGTTTCTTTTAGCCATTTTTTTCCTGGGGGATGGGGCACTGGAAACCTCCAGGGCTGGGGTGGACACTGTTTTAAAGTACATATTTTCTACATATTTTTTTATTTCGCCAGAGGGAGATGGGATGCCTAAAAGAACCACTGCTTCATATTTTGGTTTAAGAATAAAAGAATCTTTCTGTATGTTGTTTATTTTAATTATATTTTTTATTTAAAAAATACATTTCACGTACAGTATTTAAAAATACAGGAATGACAACTATAAAAAGACAGCTTTACAATGTCACAACTCCATTCATAGCTTCCGAAGCCGCGTAGATATTGTAAATATCGATTTATTTTTTACCCCAGACACGTAGTCGACTGAATGGTTTGATGGCTACTATCGTTCAAAGAAATCAACTTAGAAAAACACAACTACATATGAGAACTAAAAGCTGCGGTCAACTCGGGTCAACGATGGTACACGGACGATGATAACACTTAGAGCGGCCTAATTTACAGAGCTGAACTGTAGACCCAATCAACGCTAAACTAAATGTAAACATTAGGTTCAAGGACACCACACGCGGCTGGCTAAGGTCATAACTGAGACATCTCCGGCATCCACCCAAGTTCAAGGACGTTCAGTTTAACCTATTGGTCATCATTCCGGATTTTAAAAAAAAAAAAAAAAACACCCCTTCTGTGTGTCGACCCCCCCCCCTCCCCTCCCCCTATTGTTGACGTTCAAGTGACGTGCAAGCCACTGGAACTACGGAGAATTCCATTGATTATTCCGGCCTGATCAGCCTTACTCCGGGCGGGAGGAGAGTAGTGGGGAGGGGGGGGGGGTGAAGAAATAAACAGAAGGGAGGAGACGGGCGATTTAAACAAATCAATAGAATCGATGGCATTAAACCATCAGCTTGACGACGCTTGCCTTCCATTAGGTCTGGTCCCAGACACGTGATACCCGTGTTTTTGAGGGCAGGGGGCGGACATGAATTGTTAACTGGAGAAAGTGGCCATTATGCTGATGTGGCCATCACTGCTGGCCTGGTCATGACCCGCGATTACCAGAATAACGCCGGCAGGGGAATACCGTAGAACGCAACAAATACAAGGTGGATTTAAAAAGATTTATTTTTAATTCTAAGATACTCAATTATAGACCGTTTGATAAAAATGTGATACTTCTCCGGTTTTTTTTTTGTAAACTACAAATTCAATGAAGTTTTAAACTAACACTGAGGGTTTTCTTACTGCCCGTTAGCAAGATTTAAAACACAAAAGACATTTTAAAGTTGACATGAATGGTCTACAGCAGAGAATGACTTTAAAAAGTGGAGGGGGGTATTGTTTTAAAACAGTGAAATACACCCCCCTCCCCACATTGCAGACAAAATGTTGGGGACAGACAAAATGATTGGGACAGACAAAATGTTGGGGACAGACAAAATGTTGGGGACAGACAAAATGTTGGGGACAGACAAAATGTTGGGGACAGACAAAATGATTGGGACAGACAAAATGTTGGGGACAGACAAAATGTTGGGGACAGACAAAATGTTGGGGACAGACAAAATGTTGGGGACAGACAAAATGATTGGGACAGACAAAATGTTGGGGACAGACAAAATGTTGGGGACAGACAAAATGATTGGGGACAGACAAAATGTTGGGGACAGACAAAATGTTGGGGACAGACAAAATGATTGGGACAGACAAAATGTTGGGGACAGACAAAATGTTGGGGACAGACAAAATGATTGGGACAGACAAAATGATTGGGACAGACAAAATGTTGGGGACAGACAAAATGATTGGGACAGACAAAATGTTGGGGACAGACAAAATGTTGGGGACAGACAAAATGATTGGGACAGACAAAATGATTGGGACAGACAAAATGTAGGGACAGACAAAATGATTGGGACAGACAAAATGTTGGGGACAGACAAAATGATTGGGACAGACAAAATGACGGGCGCAGACAAAATCAGGACACATACAACAGGAGCACACACAACACACACCTCTAACTAAAAGACCACAGAGCAGGACACAGAACACAAACAAACGCATCTCACAAACCTCCAAGTTTCGCACGGCACGCTGGGAAGGTTGGTGTCCATCGATGGCGGTAGCTAGAAGGTCCGTTACCTTGTGTACCAGAAGGTCGAATGGCCCTTGAGTTTCTAACGATTGATTCAAGTCAATCTGGAAATAAGTAGGGGGGGGGGGGTAAAAACTTTAAAACCTGGTAACATTGAACACGTGTAAAAAAAAGATTAGGTACTTATATTAAATTATATTTTAAAAGAAGTTAAGCAATTAAAGGTAAAAACATAGGAGAACTATTTTATGACGGATACAATGCTAGACATGGAGGCCTTTATAAACACTGGCCGTTATTTTAAAAAAATCACATAACAAAATGATACAAGAAACGTTAAATCTAGCCCAGTATTATACACTAACAATCCAATATTTGTGTAGTTCAAGTATGACCAAGGTAAAGAAAATAGTGTATATGTAATTATTTTGTTTGGTAGCCCCCCCCCCCCCCCTTCCCCCCAGCAACCACATACAAGTACCTTATCCCAATCCACATGTTTTTTAAAAAGGTGGAATGGAGCAGAAACTGAATGAAAAAGTGCTTAGCACCATGGCGGAGATCCGTGTCGACACAGCCAAAACATCTCATCACCAAGAAAACAAAACACCCATGACGTCACATGCCGTGACATCGATTTCTCAATGAGCTTTCCGTTTCTGTCATCGGGGCTCAGCCCGCTAATAATAGAAGAAAGACGAGGCCAAATCAAGAATGACAACTCGCCGGTTGCCTGGATCAACGTAAACAAACTTTCCAACGTCGGTACACCAACGGCAAGCATACTCTTAAACAATGGTGTGGGTCTGACAATATCTCCTGGTTTAAGTGGGGTTGTGCAGGGCGTGTACAGGCACTCAAAGCACTGTGTTTACTCATTTATTTGAAATTGTATTTGAGTAAATCTCAAAGTTGTGGTACTAAGCAAATCAGGCCGTCAACCCAACCGCCTAGCAAATAGGCATGTATTATTCGTCAGCAGCGACGTTAATTGGTTAAACATAAAAATAGCTAAAGAGAGAATGTAAGTTTATTTTCCACACAAGAAAAAAAACGTAATTTAATTAACGAACTTTTAAAGTGTCTAAATTCAGGACGTGGGAGTTGGGATGGATGTTAATAGTTAGCAGGGGGCGTGGTGTTCCGTGTCAAGATGACTCAAGGCTTGATGACGTCACACTGCTGGAAAGGGTACCTGACTTAACGCATAATCCCCCCAGGTCAAGCATACACAAACAATTTCTAAATGGAATTCTTGAAACGAAAAGATAGTAATCAATGTACCAACTGGTCGATCTAACACAGGTCTGATGTGTTCAGGTTGTTAACAGTGTTTCTTCCAGACTTTTTTTTCTCCGGGGGGGGGGGGGCACTTGAAATTTTCGGGGGGGGGGGGGTAGACTTTCTTCGGGGGGGGGGGGGGCGGACACTGTTAAAAGTATATATTTTCTATGTAAATTTCATTTCGTTCGAAGAGATGCCTGGAAGAAAGTCTGGTTGCTAACATCGTATTGAGCTGCCCGCAATAGTTTGACTACATTGTTCTAATCTAGCAGCACACAAGTTCTAGCCCACACGAACATTGGATTACGTCCCATTCTACCCACGGTACCAACAGTGCGGGCTCACACTCAAAGACCCAAAGATTTGTTCTGTGTTCGCCAAAGAAAATAAACGGTTGGATACAGTCGTGTGAGCCAGCTGTGGGTGCAGACGATAGGGCAGGCACTCTGTGTAGGCGATACGCTAAGTATTTTGTGCATTTGATACGTAAGGCACTCTGTGCATATGATACGTAAGGCACTCTGTGCATATGATACGTAAGGCACTCTGTGCATATGGTACGCAAGGTACTCTGCATATGATGTGCAAGGCTCTATGTGCATATAATACGTACGGCACTATGTACATACGTTACGTAAGGCACTTTGTGTATACGTTACGTAAGGCACTTTGTGTATACGTTACGTAAGGCACTATGTGTATACGTTACGTAAGGCACTATGTGTATACGTTACGTAAGGCACTATGTGTATACGTTACGTAAGGCACTATGTGTATACGTTACGTAAGGCACTATGTGCATACGTTACGTTAGGCACTATGTGTATACGTTACGTAAGGCACTATGTGTATACGTTACGTAAGGCACTATGTGTATACGTTACGTAAGGCACTATGTGTATATGTTACGTAAGGCACTATGTGTATACGTTACGTAAGGCATTCTGTGCATACGTTACGTAAGGCACTCAGCGCATACGATACGTATGGCTGATGTTACTGTAAAACAATGAGTAAGAAGGCAGAACAGACGAAAATAAAAGACATTCCTCAACTAAAAAAAAACAACTCAACAATCCGTGTTTAGCGCAGACAAAGGGAAGTGTCCATGACCTTGCTGTGGTAATCTGTTCCCTAATGAATATCTTCTCCCACTCGCCGGGCGGCTAACACGGCAGGGTCACGCATGACGATACCTACGTGTGTACGCACTAGTGGAGATTTGTTCCAAGCTACATGTCTTGTATAGCACGTGTGTTAAATATGCATTTATGTAAAAGTTTTTTTTTAATCTACTTCTTTTGTGCGCAAGATATCAAGCGCACAAGATAAAAGAGAAATATAATGCTATGCTAGCAGACAAGTTAACCTAACATTACGCTTCAAATGCTGCTAGTAGTTGAGGTGTCAGCTGAGAGCCAGGTGCTCGTTTTAAAATTTAATCATTGAGGTAATTGGCAAGTTTAATTTAACTGATTAATTGATTATGACATTTGAAAAAGGAGATAAATATTAAATGTACAACATTGGCAATTGTAATTAATTAATTAGGGCATTTAAAATGAGATAAATGTTAAATGTAGTCGACAGTTAAAACAACAAAATAGTTGGGTGGGGTGACCGCACCAGGTGACACCCGCCCTAGTGACGCCAATGCATATATCTTCTGTTACTTCAAGGACATCGCGTGTCTCACATAAGCGAGTAAGTCACAACACGCCTACAAATGTCAAGATGAATGTAAACAATCAGGTATAGCGCATATACCACACAAGTCATGCGTTAGAAGAAAAGTGTACTTTATGTCAATCAATGTGAGGACCCCGCCTAGCATCAAAACACATGTGTTGCCAGAAGAGTACTTTTAACACAAACACCTATCTGCGTACATTTGTCAAACACGACCTCGATGGTTTTGGACACGGTTCAACGATTATATAAGAGATGTTTTTTTTTAAACATATAAACATAAATACTTAACCAAACGAAGCTCAATAAGGTTAACAATGTGCCATATATCTGGTGGAGGGAAAATGCCACATAACAACGTGTTTTTAACAATTCATCTCTATTGTATCGGAAATGTTAGCCACGCGCATATTGACCAATGGTCTACGAGAGACAGACATTTCTACGCGTCTTGCTAGTAGTTGAATTTGTTCAGTTTGACATGAGACCATTGCACGTCATGCTATAAGTTGGATTGTCAACAATTAGACATTAGACATTTCTACGCGTCTAGCTAGTAGTTGAATTTGTTCAGTTTGACATGAGATCACTGCACGTCATGCTATAATTTGGATCGTCAACAATTAGACAGACAGTTAACGCGTCATGCTAGCAGTTGAAGTAGCAACAATTAGACAGACAGTTAACGCGTCATGCTAGCAGTTGAATTAGCAACAATTGGTCAAAATTCTACGCGTCATGCTAGCAGTTGAATTAGCAATAATTGGTCAAAATTCTACGCGACTTGCTAGCAATTGAATTAACAAAAGTTACAATTGGACAACACTGGGTTAAACGGAAAGAAGGGCCGTGTCTCTTATTAAAGTGGAGAGCCAGTTAATTATGGATGCTCATGTCCACTCCGCGCATTCTTTCAATAAGTACGACCTCTCCACTAGTACAAATAAAAAAACGAGTACTTAGTATAAATGTCACAAACACACAGTGGCAATCATAGATATTGATGCGTCACGACTGCGCTGGCCAGTCGCCAATTTGCTTTCTCGTCCACGATATTATACTATTGTAGTACCAGTTTCATTAGTGAAATAGTTGCATTCAGGGAGGTTTTTTGTAGGCAATGAAACAGTACACGGAGTTTATTTTTTTAAGCAATGAAACAGTACACTGAGTTTATTTTGAAGGCAATGAAACAGTACACGGAGTTTATTTTTTAAGCAATGAAACAGTACACGGAGTTTATTTTTTAAGCAATGAAACAGTACACGGAGTTTATTTTTTTAAGCAATGAAACAGTACACGGAGTTTATTTCTTAAGCAATGAAACAGTACACAAGAGTTTATTTTTTCAGAGTTTATTTTTTTAGCAATGAAACAGTAGGCCTACTAGGAGTTTATTTTGAAGGCTATGAAACAGTAGACAGGTTTTTTTAAGCAACGAAACAGATAAACGAATTTGAACTTATCTGTTGATGATAAACTTTAATGGTCTAATTTAAGCAACAAACAAGTTCACGTTGTTGTATGCAACATATGCGAAAAGGTGATGCAGGCAACGCCAGTATTGCAATTTGTCTTCCTTTTGTCTACAATCATGTCAAACGTCTATATGGTTATAAAGTACCGAAATCGGCACTTAAACCTACAATGTCAGCAGTTCGTGTCGTGTTCATTAGAAAATTACGACAGCCTCATTGACATTTTTGTTGCCGCAAGTTGGAAAAGGTTTCAAGTCGTGCCTCAGATGATGATAACAGAAACCAGGACCAAGAACACATACAAATGACATACGTGTACATACAATACAGACATAAAGAACATTAAATTGTCTCACATGTGTGTGTGTGGTGGGGGGGGGGGAGGGGCTATGTCTTCGCTTCATTTATCTATAACTTTTATACACACGCTTTCCTAAGCAACACAAAGTATACCACTAGCCACACTATTCAATCTTCTGTATGGTGTTGTGGGAGTGTGGGTCACATTGTACTAGTTATCCAAGAATAGCTAGTCGTGCGTCGGAGACTGATTAAACCGGATTTTTACAACAACAAAAATAAAAACGATGTCCGCCCAGCTCCCCGTGGATAGAAGAGCTTCAACAACGTACTACCTAAGTTTTGCTGCACGT